AGGTAAGGAGTGATGAAGAGAAATGCGTCATTATATGCTCTCGATCTTCAGCAGTTGATTACATAAGCAACTATAATATGAGTCGTCAACTGATAGAACATTTCAATTATTGTATTTAGGTATAAAATAAAATAATTAATCTACTTTGTAATATAGTAAAAAGTAATATGACATGTATATAGCTTTCTAAACACACTGATGTAATTATTACAAGTAGATGAAATGCTTTTTACAATAATTGTAAACTATTTGTATAGATAGTCTAAGTATGATATACATATTATATACTTATAGTATACTTTTATTAAGATAATAATTATATAACAAGTGCTCTTACAATATTATATACATTAATATACCTTTTACATAAATTATTAGACAACAATAGTTATTGTTACATTATTATATTATAAATATAATTCTTTCTTTAAAATTATAATAAAAATGTAATGCAAGCATAATACTTTAGGCTATTATACAAAGTTAGTATAATACTTTTAATAGATTGTATTCATCCATAACACTTACTTAGCCTTTATATACATTAACATGTCTTATACAAACTTTACAATTGATTTGCAAGTCTTGTAATTACTTTACAATATATATACAATACTTATGTTACTTTACAAAGTCTACAATATATTATAAGAAATGCGACTTTTTCCTGATGCTACTGTATTGCTATCCCCTGTGCCCGCAAGTAACTTATTTAACTAACGAATGCTGTAAGCATAGAGCCATTTGCTCTTGGATTTCGAGCTTATCAAACTTACGAACTGTATAAGGAAATCAAATTAACGAGCTACTTTACGGAGGCGACGAGAGCAGTCATAGTAAAGGTACTAAAGGAGCATATTATGCCCGTTGAAGCCGATCCTCTGCCAGAGTCAGTGTGCTTAGAAGCTGCTATCGCTGTCTATTATGTTTCGTCACGAATACTAGTGATGTACTGATGCGCGTATTCCGCAGACAGGATTGATTTCAAGGGACTATGAGAACCAGTCTGAAAGAAGCACTTTGAAGCACTTTGCTTGTGGTAATCACGTGGCAAATGCATACCTTTTCGGTTTCTTACGTCATTATTATGTCATAACAAAGTCGCGTATATGTCACATGAGAAATTCTTTACTCATTGCGCTACATTTTGCATCTAACCAACGTATCATTGCAGATTTACGTGATCCTATCTGTCACCATGCCAGGCTCGTATGAATAAACACAACGTCTATTACTTTGTCCTGGTAGCTACATGCTCAACGATGGTCGGTGTTGATGCCCCTTCTTGGCAGTTTTCGCTTATCGGGGCCGCCACACTCACTAGGAGTGGGAGTGCCTGCCTCACTTATCTCAGGCTTAACATTTGAGACTAGGCTGGCGTCGAAATCCTGCGAGCGAACTTCTTCGACTACAGGTCCCTCTTTGACTTTCTTGCTCGAATGATGTGAATCGCGACGGGAGGCACGCTTATCATTGTCATCCCCTGTATCAGAAGAGGCCGAGAATGCATGACCACTTTTACGCTTTGTGACACGGCCGACACCATCGTCCAGGTCAATTGTTCCATCGACTTTTGTATCCCTAGGAAGGAACTTGACCTGTCCCTCGATCACAGCTCTGCCATCTTTCTTATAATGCGTTCTAATGTCCGAACCCCCTAATGCTTGTGCAAGCTTGTCAACTTCACTGGAGTCTTTGTCAGTTCTGCAATAACAGAGGCAGAAGACACAAGCTGCTTACTCTTTCTGTCTGTAACAGATTTTTCATAAAAGCACGCACGCATCAGGATACCTGTAGAAAGTACTGGTACGTGCAAGAAACTCACCGACTGTTATCCATCCATGTATCAACACTAGCAGGTAATTAGTTGTACTCTATACTATTAGAAAGGCAACACTAATACATACTCCATTCCGTCCCTGGAACCCATTACAATCGAGTTTCTCGAGCGTTTACCGTATGTTGTTCTTTGTTCCCAGTTGCAAACCTGTGTTTCGTTCAAGCTGACGTGGCGGTGAAGAGGAAAACATATTTATACTTGGTTTGCATCATGGAAAATGAAGAATATGCAAAGGAGCTTGGTAACCCCCGAATTCACTCATCACCACTGAAGCGACGTAATCAAATGCAAAGTGAGCACTGTACCATATTTACTGTCATAATCGGTTGAGGACCCTTCTTCAAGGAGCTTTCTTGAATTCAGTCTAGCAAACTTACTAACAGTATGAGCCTTTGATAAGGCAAGCCTGTGTGACAAGCGAGTTTACTGAAGCAATGGGAGCAATACAATGATTCAGCACATTCCTATACCTATAACTGGCATTATAAATCCTCTGGAATCCTTTTTGGGAGCAAATAGAACTGTCGAATGCGCTTCTCCACTACGAATTCCCGCTATGCGAGGTGTTTGCAGTTTAAACTGGTTTTTCACGGCCGCAGGGACTAGACTAATGAACTCGCCACATCAATCCGAAACATACAATTATGTTATTTTGCATTACCAGAAGATGAACAGGGAAACAACATTGCTGTACTTGCACTAGGAGGTCACCTAACGGACAGCAATTTGGAATGATGTCATTCTCAGTCCCATAGCACCTAGCAGGGTCACCATAGGGATGACATTGTTATTGGAGTGGCCTTGTGAGCTGCAAACGACTCATAGTCCACTTTGACAACAGACAATGGTTCACGGTCATCATTTGAGAGGTATACATGACTATTGTAACGAGTGGTCGTGTATTCAGAGGCCTTTAGATTACAAGCCACCTTGCACTTGGAAACTCGTCAATACATCATTCCAACCAATTCCTAGGATCAACTGGGACTGCCAGTTCATGCATCACGAAAAAGTCTTAAGTATTATACTTGCTTGTAATCTTGTATATTTTATAAATTTTATAAAATTTGTCCAATTACTTATAATCTTCCTGGGGGGTTAAGCAAGGAAAGTACAATGTTAAATAAGCAAGAAAAAATACTTTTAAAACTTGGCAATTTCTGATATAATTTTATAAATTGTCAAGTTATACAAGTGATTATAATATACTTCCTAAATTACAAGGTTAAGACATACTTATTAATTTGTGACAGTGTAATATCTGCTTATAATGCTTACAAGTCATTACAAGTGTTTGAATAGCTTGCTTTTGCTTACTATACAATTTTATATCAAATAATTAATCGAATATAATTATATTTAAATTATAGAATACAAAAATAGTAAATAATACGCCATTTCTACAGTCCCAACCCCTACACCACCAGCTGCCTCTGCCTCATTCTTCTGCGAGTGGGATTTGTGTTGGACAAGGATGACGCATTCTCAGGCCGTTCGACGTAGTCTTCGTCACCACGTTTTGGTCGTTGCTCGGTCCCTGCAAGTTGAACTGCGAGTGTGTGTGGAATGAGGTTGAGCAGGTTGTGGAGATTGAGGCTGCGCCTGTGAGACGAGCTTAGAGTGATTAGCAAGTGACAATAAGAGCGAAAAGATGGACGCACTGCGACAGCGTGTAGCGAGTGTGGGTGGGTCACCTGGATTGGAAATCCGGAGCGTTGAGCGAGCTAATTTGGGCTGCAGGGGAAACGTGTCTGTGCAAGCGCGTTGCATGCTCTAGCTACGACGCGATGCGCAATCGGAGGTGCAGTGAACTCAGTAATAGTTGTGGATGACTTCGAAGGTGTATCTCTAGGACGTTCTGGCTCGAAGGGAGAGGATGAAGTGGGTGGTGCGGGCGGACTTGGCTCAGGAGAGGTGAGCGGTGGCTACTGCTTCTGTTATTCAAAATGGTGTCATGGACGGCACTGGGGTATATAAATGCACACGGCGTGGGCCCATCAAGGGTGATGTCAAGCATAGGATGGTAGGTGTGGAAGGAGAGTGTGCGGGGGGTCAGAGAGAGGATTGCGCCTGAGGAGTGGTAATACATGGACATTGTCGCGAGCGCGTACTCACCGATTGTTGCTTGCGTTGCTGAGCAGGAAGAAGTACACGAATGCATGGAATTATTGAAGAAGTCGGTCAACAATGCGGATGCGCGAATGCGAATGCAAAAAAGAAGGCGAGCATAATAAAAAGGAGGACAATGAAGGAGAGGCAACGCAAGAGGCAGAGCGAGGAGCGGGAGGGATGAAAGGGAGACAAGAAGTTGGGAGGAGAGGGATGAGCAACTATTGTGCGAGTTATTATGAAGTGGACTGGCTACTTACGCTTTACGCTGAAGGACTGTGTAGCCAGCTCGGCCGTGTTGTCACAAGATCTGAGGCTCAGCGCAGGCATTACAGTGGCAGATTAGAGAGACGAATCCAGCGACCTTTGTTGTCTAGGCAGTTGCAGGCAGTGTGCCTGCTGGAGGATGCTTGTAGGCAGAGGACTGGCCTGGAGAGGACAAAAGAGACGACATAGCGTTGGGGGAAGAGGGTTGGGGAGATGATGGAGGTAGGAGGAAAAGGAGTGACGAGAGCAAGTGCGTCATTATATGCTCTCGATCTTTGGTACTCGATTATGTAATCACTTCGATATATTGTTTAAAGGTAAAAACAAATTATATTATAAGTCTGACAGAGTGATTGTTAACATTATTAATATATATAATTGTATATTATCTTACTAAAAGTATTGTAATTAACTTACAAGCACAACATATTACTTTTATGACTATTATAATCAATCAACTATTGTTACAAATAACTTATAATATAATTTTAGCATATTATAATAGGAGTTGAGTACTTGTACCTCACATGTAATGTTGTAATAATACTATTAGTAAGCTTACTTACTCTAAAACATGTTTGTAGTTTAATAGAAACTTTGTATATTTCTTACATTTATATACAATCATTATAATTACATTACAAGTGAAATACAAGTATTATTTTAGAATGTAATGCTTATGAAATCATTTTATTAGTTTACTTTTGCTATTATTAAATACATTTGTTACGACTTTTTCGTGATGTGTCTGCCTCTCTTCTTAGTGGTACTAATTATCAACTTGTAACAACTGTATCAAATTAATAGAACCATCCTGAAGCTTGAACTATCCTCTGGTAATTGCAGGTAGACTGTCTCATATAGGAGAGTAGCACTTGGCAGAGTAAATATGAAACATTTTTTCACCCAGTCAAGTTGTTAGTTTATTAGAAGTTACACTTACAGTGCAAGACAGTGCCAAAAGATGCTACTTGTTAGGACACAAACATTTATCAGTATATATAGTGTGGACCAGGTGTCAAGCCAAGCTTAACATTGCACCCTTTTGGTGAAGAGGTTCTATGTATGGTCCACTATATATGGTAATCCCTCACACTACTAAAAGGACAGGTGAAACTCTACAACACGGGTAAGAAGACCACAAGGTCGATAACATTACATAGCACCAGGACGCATTATGATTATGACCGATGCATAGTATTGGTACTTACGAGTTGACATAATTGTACTACTTTTGCATTTCGGAGTGCAAGCGGATCTCGCTTGGCTGTGCAGAAAGGAATTCGGAGCTAGCAGCCGGAAGGCGCACAACGAGTTTCCAGGTGTTACAAAATAGACGTGTACTCCTGTTTGTTCCACTGAACTTCCATCGCAATTGATAATAGTTTTTTTTTGGTTGACCCAGCCGGATTTGAAACGAAAATAGTTATGAGAAAAAGTAGTGGCAGCAGCGCCTTCTCATAGACCGAAAGGGTAACTATAAAGAAATACTCCGGATCTACAACGGATGCATTCTCCGAAGCGGAAAGAAGTTACACTATTACACAGCCGTGTTACATGCCCACTCCGTACCCCCGTTTTGAAATTCGTAATTGCACTAGAAGGCGGGTACACAAAATGTAAGCGAAAGAACTTGTAACATATCCTCGCACATGATATCGTTTGGCTTTTAGCTTTGGATTGTCGGGTGCTTCTGGTGCGTATGCAAACGAAGTTTGGGGAACTGATCCGGGTCGAGGAGCTTTCGGGTGGCAGAGGCGGTGCTGAACGCCATGAGTCGGCCCGGCGTTAACACTGAATAACGTGTTGCAGAGTCCGGAGCGAAATTTACAGTGGCACTGCTGCCATATAGGCATTACTTGAACCCGGCTCGCGAACATCCAGCCTCAAAATCGGGATCCATCAAGAGATTGACAGAGGTTCCACACATACATTTACAAAGTAACTTTACCCCTAATTCAGTCGACTGAATTTGTGGCGGTGGAAGTCCCCGCGAAGAAATTTTGCTTTGCTTGAACGTCGATGGGGCTTAACATTCGTTCCTTATTCGATTGTGGTCTCGACATTTGTTTGGCTATTTGGAGGGTTTCGTGCTAAGAGGTGTACCTCATACTCCGTCCCGGTCCGTGGAACCATTGACGGTTACCGGCGGGATAGTGAATACGGCCAATCTACGGTCGAGGGCGAGGGCGGGCTGGGCGTCGGGGCTGTACATCGATCTGCCCTCTGCGTTTTGATGGACTAAACAGGGGATCCAGGCCACATTCGTTGGGGGATTTTTTAGTTAGTTAGGTGTCAGAGAAAACATGAAGGGAAAGAAGAGGAAGAGGAGATGATTGGCTTGTGCCTTTATTTACGAGATTTCACTCCCGGTGCATGCCTCACGAGGTTGCCAAATTCCAGCGGATGCCTTTCGTGTTGCTCGCTGCGCTCTTGCCATGCGTTAGAGTTGTCGTTGCCATCACCATCACGGAAGTACAGGTGTTTCAGTTGGGTCCCGAACGCCGAGCAGGGACAAGAAGCGGGAGCGTACAGGTCTTGTGAACGCGGATCCAGCCCCGCACCGACATATGGACCAACGCACTAGCATAGACGATGCACATGGATCAGGATGAGAGATCTCGGATTCGGGTATGCACAGAAAGCGTGAAGCGTGACGCGGTCTTCCGGGGTCCTCGTCACTCATCCCCTCTCGGAAAAGTCTGGAAAACATACACTAGATTCTTAATTTAACATCGGCTCGTGTTATTGATGTGATATGATACTGATATGCATGGGTGGATATTTGATTCTTCTACATCCGACGGAGTGAATGGATTTGGATGAATTGAGCTTTGATGGGGATAGAACCGACGGAAATGACAATGAGAAAGTTTCAAGGGTTATGATCAGTTGTGTTTTTCCTGTCTTCGACCATGCGAAATCCATTTTGGACGAACTGAAGAAGTCGAAGAGAACGCAAATTACAATTCTGATGACGCATAGGGTAACAAGGACTGAACGACGACTCGGGACGAGTATCTTGGGGGATAGCTTGCCAGGTGGAAAAACTCTGCGTCGTTCACTCAAAGGGAAGGTGAGCATCGCATTATTGGTGGCCACTTGTCGATACGATTTGAGCGGAAAGCTTAGATGCGGAAACGTAAACGCCCTCGTATACACACCCATATCACTTATCCGCTGTAAATCAGTGTTTGCATCAGCAAAGATGATGACGAAGCACAGACGTCGAACTCGATGAATATGGAAGGTAGAAGTGAAGGAAGCCTGTTATCCAGCTTCCGTGGCAAAGAGGTGACGTCCGCCGACGAGAAGTTCTCGTAGGTGCCTGCGATGTATTTTTATCGTAGTCTTGTGACGTCAACGCATCTTTGTTCTATTTACTTAGCCAACTTTCAAAGCTGATTTACCTGCTCAAACAGTAGCATAGGTTTTGATGATATGGAATAAACGAGCTGCGGATGGCCGGGGAGACCGACACATCAGTTCCTAGCAACAGCTGAATTGAAGAATCGTGCCATAAAAAGCCAGCCTAGACTGAACGGCCAGACAGGGACGAAGTCAGAAGTAAGAAGGTTCATAGAGTGCCCGATTGAATACTGTGCGCAGCGCCCAACTGAGATGGAACCGCCTCGGCCATACCTACGCCGCGACAACGAAAGCAAATTGATTCATGATCGAGCGTCCTCATCCATATGCTCCTCATTCCACGTCTCCAGCGCGCGTCGCGAGGTCGTTGCGTCGTTTCTGCGGAGACTATTCACGAAATGGCTTGGTGCAATGATTGAATGAACTCGTGCGTTCGGCGAACGTGCTGGTGATTTGAGAGGGCTGGGTTCGGTATAGAAACAATAGACCGAGTCCTTCTAGATGGCTTGCGCGGCATATTCTGAGATGTTACCTTGCCTGCGCTCACATGAACAGGGAAACAGAGCGGCCAAGAGCAAAACAAGTATAGAAAAGAGGACTTTTTGTCGTGGACGGCGAGCATCCAGATTGGGTTGTGTTGAATGGAGTCCGCTGACCGTCTGCATAACATATGCGCGAATTCTAAATATGTCAAACCCGGCTTGCGATCGGCGCAAGAGGATGAAAAAAGGCGTTTCGAGCAAATTCAACGCATATATGCATGTCACACCCTGCATCCGCATCAGAGGGTTTCCGAAGAAAGTTTTCTCGCTTAACTAGGGGTTATTTGAGTTGAGTTGATCTCGTCACAGATGGGGCGCCTCTTGAGAACAGACAATGTTTGACCAAGAAGGAAACACTGCTGTAACAGCATGAAGGGAAGCATCGGGATATGCCATGAGGGCGATTATGGCGATTGTGTAGCACCTTTTGGGCGATACAAGGGGCTTTGAAGTGCCAGTGTGAATCGCCTGGAGACGCGGACAGAACAGACGTTCTGAACGGTCGCACGCATAAGATCCGAGGACACTCCCAACACCGCATTCGCACGACGGCCTGCGTCGAAAATTGCACGAGTAGAAAGAAGGTACGAGAGTAGAGAAGGCAAAAATCGGACGAATGGTAAATCGATTTCGCATTGGGCCTGGAAAAGGAGCAAACAGGCGCGGTGGATCGAGAGAGGCGAAGACACTGACTTGGCTAGGCTTGAGATGTGTGGAAGGAGGTGTCCAGGGTCCCAGTCCAATTCTAGATGGGCCAGCCGGAAATGGCAGGCGGAGATCGACGGATAATGGCAGGACCGAGCCGCTGTGACCATGCGCTTCTCTAACCGGCGATCGGATATTTTCGCAAAATATGAGATTTAAGGGTTTACTCGTCCGCAACAGAATGCATGAAGGCTTTGATATAAAAAGACCCGTCGCACCTGGCTCCCGACTGCCCCAAAGCATCTCTGCTTTTCCCCACCCCCGCACACCGAGTTTCTCTCGCCTCCCCGAACCTCTTCCCTCCTAGCCTCTCCCACACTTCCACACTACCTACTCCCACCTCACTCATGGCAGGAGGTCCAGCTGCTGCTGGCGGTCCCGTCATTGGCTCCGGCGCGTCTAAGAATGCAGCTGCAGGTATTGTCATGGTCAGTTCACAGTTCTGCTCTCTTCACTCCTTCAGCTGACCAGTCCCTTGTTAGGCGTATGTGTTTTTTGGTATAAAGTTAGCATTTGATGGTTCCCTGACCCTGTTTCCCCTTCGTAATTAGCGCCTTCGCGGCTTTCGGTGGCATTCTCTACGGGTAAGTGTATTGGTATTTTGCGCTTGTGAAGAGTACTGATTAGCGCACATTTAGTTATGACACGGGTATCATCAACGGTGTACAGGCTATGGAGGATTGGCTCCGCACATTCGGAGAGCCTACGACGGATTTGACCGACTTCCCTGGCGGCTTTGGTATTACGACTGGTCAGAGGTCGCTTGTTGTATCCATCCTCTCCGCCGGCACCTTCACTGGTGCGCTCATTGGTGCTCCCGTCGCTGATATTCTTGGTCGTAAATGGGGTATCATCTTCACTTGTCTCGTGTTCTCCGTCGGTGTTGCGATGCAAACCGCTTCGACCGCATTGCCGCTATTCATTGTTGGCCGTGTAATTGCTGGTATTGGTGTTGGCCAGGTCTCGGTCCTCGTTCCCATGTATCAATCAGAATGGTGTGTAACGCTTTTCGCTTCTTTTCATTCTGTTCCCGCCCCCGGCCCCTATCTCCACTCTTTTGACCTTGCACACGCTTCCTGTGCCTTTCGATTGTTCTGTTCAATGTCACAGCGTGTCGCGAGGTCTTGACATTTTGACCTTCATTTGGCCTTTCCAAATCCGTAAACGTCGCCGATCTCGTATTTGTCCTATTTTTGGATGACAGACGGAATCTAATCCACTTTTTTAATTTCATGTCCAGCGCTCCGAAATGGATTCGTGGTGCTATCGTATCCGGGTACCAGTGGGCTATTACGATCGGTCTTCTGCTCGCCTCTGTTGTGAACAACGCTACCGAAGGTCGGCAAGACCATTCGTCTTATCGAATCCCGATTTCCATTCAATTCGTCTGGGCATTCATTCTCGCATCTGGTATGGCCGTCCTCCCTGAATCGCCACGTTGGCTCATCAAGAAGGGTCGCGACGCGGAGGCTGCTAAGTCTCTCGGTCGTCTCACCGGAGCCTCTCCCGATGATCCTGCGGTCATTGATGATCTCAACGATGTCCGTTCGAACCTCGAGGAAGAGAAGAGGTACATACATCGCACATTGTTTATTATTTGATCTGACTGAACAAATTTCTCCAGACTTGGTACTGCTACCTATTTGGATTGCTTCAAGCTCGGCGAACCGAACAAGATTTGCTTCCGTGTTTGCACGGGAATGGCCCTGCAGGCTTGGCAGCAGCTTACTGGTATCAACTTCATCTTCTACTATGGGACGACTTTCTTCCAAAACTCTGGCATCAAAAATTCTTTCCTCATCTCCGTTGCTACGAACGTCGTCAATGTGTTCATGACTCTTCCGGGCATGTGGGGTGTTGAGAGGTTCGGTCGTCGCCGTTTGTTACTTGTCGGTGCTGTGGGCATGTGTGTGTGCGAGTTCATTGTCGCTATTGCTGGTGTCACTGTGCCGAAGTCGAATCTGGCAGGGCAGAAGGTGCTCATTGCCTTTGTGTACGTAAACTTCAGCCTCTTCTAGCGACAAATGCTTATTTTTACCGACTTTTAAAAGCTGTATCTATATTGCTTTCTTCGCATCCACTTGGGGTCCGATCGCCTGGGTCATTACGGGTGAAATCTTCCCTCTCAATGTACGTGCAAAGGCCATGTCTCTTGCCGTCGCGTCAAACTGGCTGTGGAACTTCGGAATTGGCTATGCGACACCTTACCTCGTCAACTCGGGCAAGGGCAATGCCAACCTTCAGGCAAAGGTGTTCTTCATTTGGGGTGCAACCTGCTTCTGCTGTATTATCTTCACATACTTCTGCATTCCGGAGACCAAGGGTCTTTCACTCGAGCAGGTCGACATTCTGTATCAGCACTCAACGCCGATTACGAGCCACCGCATTCGTGCCAAGCTCATGGCGGAAAATATTCATACAACAGAGCACGGCAATCTCGAAGGGAAGGACGTGCACACGGATAGCCATTCCGAAGAGAAGGTCTAGATGGATCCCTTTATCCCTTCATCTATAATCTCTCACTTTTCTCCCTACCTCACCCCTCACTGACTGTCCTCTTATGTCCCGCCGTTGTGGTGGCACTTTGCTTCGTATAAAATGGGTTATGCTTTGTAATGGGCAGAATGCACATACATACAGATCTGCATTCATTATTTAATTTTCGTCATTATTGTAACTCGGATGAGTACAATGATCTCCTGTACTGCTTTTCATGTTTGTTTCTGTACGCAATTATACGATCATTTCATCCTTCGGAATGTCTTGACCTATGCCGTTAGTAATACCACGCATACTGCCCACAGTGAATGTGGGTCCTCCCAACGTGCCAACATATCTGACAGTGACAACGTCAGCTATGCTCTTTCCGAGCTTCTCGCTCCTATCTACAGCAGCCAGTCACGAGTTCATTCGTGCCTATGCCGTGTGTGAGGTTATCTTCCGTTTGCATCACCACACACTTCCTATTCTATAAATCTCGTCACGTCTATTTTCTTCTCGACAACACAGCGATTGCAACGCATATTCGGATTAAGTATTAGGTAGGACTCCGAAAGCAAGTTACGATAAATTTTAATCATACATTCTCATCATCAAAAAGGGACGTAGGGGCATTCGGGTCCGTGTCTGGTTAATAGGTTTGAGTGGGAAAATATGTACTCGAGGTCGAAAGGATCAGATGTGTGGTCATGAGGTACGTTGTGAAACGTCTGCATCCGATGGTCTAGTGATGCACCGTGTGTATGTGATATTGAGTTGCATGTGGTCAGGAACCAGGATTAGTGCTTGGTGAGGACACGTCAGCACAGGAATGAACGCTATTGGAAATTACGTGTAAGGAGCCTGTTGCAGCTTTTGTCTGCATTTCCACACATGCTCTCAACTTGTGCCGGTATGCATTAGGGTAGTATACTATCAAAGCTCGGTTTGGTGCTGGAGAGCATTAGGATCACCTACTGATGCATATACGCCTTCAATATAAATAGTTGTGCTTTCTAAAGTAGCCTCGACGTTCCTACATTTGAAATTTCAGCATGCTCTCTTCATAGCTATTTCATCCCAGAATAGGCTGGCTGTCTTACTAATGACAATCCACCATGGACAAAGTTGCATATAGGCGTCAATATCCATAGACTTGTGGAGTGCCTGATATTTGCAACTACTCCTCGGCCTAACACGGTCAGCTAAGTTCTTCCGAGAGATGCCTCAATATGAAGGAAGTCAAAGTTAAATTGCAGCTTAAATGCCAAACAAACATAGATAACAAGTGTACAAGTTTGGCTCGGTGAGACTTCGGAAAGTTGGATGACTAGATAAATGACCTAACCCATGTTGCTTCTTGTCGTCCCTCAGAGGTCAGAGTATGCCCTTGGATGTTTTATAGCTTTTTAACAATAGTCAATGTATAACTGTAGACAGATTGAGTAGGCATAAACTTCTTGTTAATGCATAGAGTTTCCCAAACATACATAGACAGAGAAATGAGTTCCGAGCCAAGAGAGCAAAGCAGTTAGAAACAGTACATGCTACATAAGGGGAAGAAGGAGAGCAGACAAAGCCAGTTTCAAAGCAAATTGAACGCTTGCTCTTACAGGGTAGACGAGTGAAAACAACGTTTTAGGACAACTATTATAGCGGCTCTAATAGCAGAGTTGCGAATAAAAGAAACTTGAGGGACCAAAGGTACATTTGGCATTCTCGCATTGTGAGAAACTACGTGTAAAGAGCACGTGGATCCATTACGTAAGGTGGACATTTCCTTAACCAAACGTTGAAACTTAAATCATTACTTGTCCACACCTTCCCTCATAACGTTATATTCCTGAGAGCAAGAAGACCTTCTTTTGATAAGTGCATGTCTCCTCAATTGCATGGGATGTACTGTCTTTCAGCATGTACAGCAAAAATCTTGGTTTCAAAAGCAGTCTGCCTGCGTTCCAACCTCAGCTTTGTCGAGTCAATTATCGAGTCATGTTTATCCAAACTGGTAATGGCATCGGACCAGTGGTTGAATGTACCCTAACATATTTCATGCTTATGGTCTAACTAGGTTTTGGTTATCATATGACAGACTCATTTAAATGTTACTGGTGACAGAAAGGTGCAAGTCTTGTCCTTTAGTCAGAGCTTTTTTACCGCTTATAGAGTGACATGTGAGGCTCGGAGAAATCTTGGGACTACCAACACTGTTCTTTCAACCCACAGCAACATTTCTTCCCCATGTGAGAGCTATCTGACTGGCTTCTCTGCTCATACATCCCCCAATTTTTGGCGGGAGTCGAGTCACGCTTGACTAGATAAATAACCCAGCCTTGCACGATCCTTTCCTCGCTCAGATAACGTCTTCATATACACCGTCGAAAATGTCTACAATTCAAGAGCTTCTGAATACCAAGCCTACCGAGGGCGAGGCACTGGCCGCAAATGTCGAAATGACGACTCAGTGTGCCAGGAAATCTTTCACTCGAAGTACAAGTGGGCTTTATGATTCGAAGGCTGTGGACGTTGCGACGCGGGAGGTCCCCGCCGATGGTGGCGTCGTGCTGCAAGAGAAGGACGAAGGAAATACTGCTGTGACGAAGACTCCTGCCATGATATGGAAAGCAAGAATAGATTTTACGGTGCTCTGCTTCACTCTATTTCTATCAGGCTGGGATGGAGGGACCACCGGATCTTTGGTTCCTAGGTTCCAGCTATTTACAATGTTCGTGGAGCATTGGGATTGTCATTCGTACATGCCCCTATAAATTCTAGTCGAAGGTCAACTTTACGGTCGTGTCCCTTATATTCATCACGAATTGTATTGTGAGCTTCGCTAAAGTCGTCGTTGCTTGTCATGCAATGTATTAATCTGTCCTTCTAGGAGCGACATCAAACGTGTATTTGAACGAGATTCTTAGCTTTGGAAAAGTATGCTTCTAGAAGTCATGTATTACTTTCTATTGACTTCTTGAATAGGTTCTCGTACTAGGTTGGTATTGTTGAAAGACTTGAGTGAATCTATCCTAACGATGAGTTAGGCGCCCTTGCACAGGTGCTTGGGTATGCACTAATGGCACCAGCGTTACCCTTTCTGGCCTTCTGCATCGCATTCTTCATCAACGGCTGGGGATATCCCTTCAAGTAGGTATTTTGATCCTTATAACTTCTATAGTAACACTAATAATCACTCAAAGGATGCTCAGAGTAACCGCTTCGTTGCGAGACTGTCAGAGAATTCTTCTGCAAAGATGGGAACCATGCATGCTATCTATGGTATGCTGCTATCCTCTACACACTCAAAGGGACACATCATTCATACTATTGTTGTGACTGTTAGGCTTTGGCGCGGTCTGTTCGCCATTCGCTACCACGCAATTTGCACAAATGCCGAGGCATTGGTCATATCACTTTATAATCTCGACTGGAATCGCCATAATAAATACAATATTCCTCTTGCTTACATTCAAGGGGAAGACTATGGATGGTGAGGATAATTTGCAATTAAATGGTGATCTGTCATAACGTTCTATGCAGAATATTAATGTTTCCTCGAAATTGGTGAAGCTGCGACTGAACAGGGGACAAGTGAGGACAGCAAGTACAAACAAATCATGACGCAGAAGGTCGTCCATCCTCTTGCGTTCTTTAGCTTGGTGTATGTCGGTATCGAAATTACTATAGGAGGTCCATACAGAGTCCTCAAGCTATGATACCTGGTAATTCACTGGCGATATCTAGGATGGACTATTTCATATCTACAGAAGCATCGTGGTGGGGGATCCTCATCCGGATATGTGTCTACTGGTTTCTTTGGCGGTACGTTTTTCTTTCTTGTGCAGGAATCAATTATCAGATCCGTACTTGCTGAAGGCCTTACGCTTGGGCGCGTCCTCCTTGTATGGGTGGATGAGAAGGTATATTTCCGAGACTCCTGCAATTATAATACAAGATGAGTGAATGAACTTTTATAGGTCGGAGAGCATCTGATCATATATATTTACATCCTCGCAGCGCTTGGGTTTGTATTTTCACCGACTTTGTACCGGTTGGATATACTTATATGTATTCCAGCCTTGAGTTGGTGGTATGGCTCGCCCCAAATTTGATTGCCGACGCGGTGGCTGTCTCATTCGTTGGTTTTATTCTCGGTCCTATGTACCCAATCCTCATGAACGAGGCTGGCCGACTTATCCCGCAATGGTTACTAACCGGTTCTATTGGTTGGATTGCATCATTCGGCTGTGCTGGTAAGTCCAGCCAAACATTCACGCAGGAGTGTGATTGAAGTTGATTAATTGTAGGCTCTGCTATTTTCCCGTTTGCAACTGGTGCGCTCGCTGAGAGGTTTGGAATCGTGAGCCTGCAGCCATTGTATGCTCACCCCACACTTATAGTGAAGTATTATCTTGAATTCGATTGTCCAGACTTGTCGTCCTTTACGGAGTGCTGTTTGCACTCTGGCTGTTTGTCCCGGATGGGACCAGACGAACAGCGTAAACGAGGAAGTCTTTATGAAAGATAGACCCCAATAGAATACATCTCCACTCATCAAGGTAATATCAGAATGACGTTCCTTTGTGCCGTTACAGAATTCACAGTCCAGTCACATTTTCACAGCGTTTATATATTACCTCAGTTCAAGTACAACCTTTTTATGCCTAGTTCATTCAAAGCCAGCACCTTACTATGTTTGTGTCCAGTACAGATAAAGTGTCATCTTGTAATGTGAATGAAAGACTGACTATCTGCCACGGACGTTGGAAATAATCAAATGTAAATCCTCATTTCCACATAGTTTAAAGAAGCTGTCACAGAATGAGTGCCAGAACGTAGATAATGCCTTGCCATGCAAGAAACTAGGCTTTGACCTGGTATAATAAAGAGAACCATTTCTACCAACAAAATTTATTACTCTCCCTACACAATGCTATTCTTCCAATATTAAGATGACTTACTCCTGGTAGAAAATGACTTCTCACCTGTAAGGGATATATAAGCTTTGAACATACTCAACTCAACAAAGCTCCTAGTCTATCTGTAGGATCTTACCCTTGTTAGCCTATATTTATCCAAGCCAGAAATAGTAATGAGTTAAATGGCTAAATGTCAATATAGTCTCTTACATATCCTATGTCTACAGTGTGATTTGCACCTCTGGTTGCTAAGAGTTGAATTTGTTTTATTGTAACGCCGGGAAGAGTGCATTATTTTCCCTTACTAATTTTCCCTTACTAATAGGTTTTCTGCAAAATGATCTTCGTTACCCTTTATAGAGATCACGTGATATTCGGATAAATGTCGGGACTACTAACACATTCTTCTGACCCACGGCAACATTTCTTCCCCATGCGAATGTTGTTTAGCTAGCTTCCCTGCCCATGCGTTCTCCTGTTTTCTTGGCCAGAGTCGAGTCATTTGGACTAGATAAATATTCCAGTCTTCTGCGGCCTCCCTTCATTTACGCACAACATCTTCATATCCTACGTCGATAATGTCTACAATTCACGAGTTCCGGGATGCAAAGTCTACTGATGGCGGAGGTCCTGCTGCAAGCGTCGAAATGACGACTCAGTCTACCAGGAAGTCTTTCACTCGGAGTACAAGCAGACTCCATGATTCGAAGGCTGTGGACGTTGCAACGCGGGAGGTCCCCGCCGATGGTGGCGTTGCGTTAAAAGAGAAGGACGAAGGAAATACTACTGTGACGAAGACTCCTGCCATGATATGGAAAGCAAGAATAGACTTTGCGGCACTTTGCTTCACTCTATTCCTAGCGGGCTGGGACAGTGGGACCGCCGGACCTTTAATTCCAAGGTTCCAACTATTTTATAATGTTCGTCGAGCATTAGAATAATCATTCATTCATGTCCTCATGTATTATCTGCAAAGGTCAACTTTACCATTGTTTCCCTGATATTCATTATGAACTGTGTTGTGAGCTTCATAGAAGTTAGAGCTCGTTACGCAATGCCTTAATTCGTCCTCTCAGGGATTCCTTCTCGGAGCGGCCACGAACGTATTTTTGACCGAGAGACTCGGCTTTGGAAAGGTACCAGTCGGGCGACCTCTCGTTTTGCTTTCTGTTAACTTCGTGAATAGGTCCTTGTACTGGGTTGGTACTGTTTATAAGTACATGTGGGTTTGTCTTAACAATGAGTCAGGCTCCCTCGCACAGACAGTTGGATATATACTAATGGCGCCAGCACTACCCTTTTCTGTCTTTTGCATTGCATTCCTCATTAATGGCTGGGGCATATCTCTTCAAGTAAGGATTGTAATCCTTATATTGTATGTATTCACTCTGACAATTATTCAAAGGACGCTCAAAGTAACAGCTTTGTCGCGGGACTATCGGAGAATTCATCTGCAAAGATGGGAATCATGCATGCACTCTATGGTATGATGTTATTCTTGACACATATGAGGGAATAAATTATTTATACTGCAGCTGTCGATTGCACCAGGCTTCGGCGCGGTCTGCTCCCCATTCGCTGCCACGCAATTTGCACAAATGCCGAAGCATTGGTCGTATCACTTTATAATTTCGACTGGAATCGCAACAATAAATACAATATTTCTGGTACTTGCATTTAAAGGGAAGACTATCGATGGTGAGGACGTCTTATCAGTTAGATGATGGTCTATTGTAATGTTCTGCGTAGAATGTTTTCTCGAGATAGGTGAAGCTGCAACCGAACAAGGGACGAGTGACGACAGCAAGTACAAGCAAATTTTGACAAATAAGGTTGTCCACCTTCTCGCATTCTGGAGCTTGGTCTATGTCGGTATCGAAATTACTATAGGAGGTCCGCATAGAGTCTCAAGCTATAAGAACTAGTAACTCACCAGCGATATCTAGGGTGGACTGTTTCATACCTCCAGAAGCATCGGGGCGGAGGGCCCTCGTCCGGTTATGTCTCTACCGGTTTCTTTGGCGGTATGTTTTCCCTCCTTTCTGGTCGGAAATCACTTACCAGAACCATACATGTGGAAGGTCTTACGCTTGGACGCGTCCTCCTTCTGCAGGTGAATGAGAAGGTAATATTTATGATAATTTCACAATGACAAGGAGTTAATGGTCTTCTATAGGTCGGGGAACACTTGATCATCTACATTTACACGCTTTTGGCGCTTGGGTTTGTAATTTTACCGAAGTTGTACCGCATGGATGGGGTATACTTAGATGTATTTCAGGCTCGAATTGGTCGTATGGCTCGTCCCAAATCTAATCGCCGACGCGGTGGCAGTCTCATTTGTTGGTTTTGTTCTCGGCCCTATGTACCCAATCCTCATGAATGAGACTGGCCGATTAGTCCCGCAATGGTTACTAACCGGTTCCATTGGATGGATCGCGTCGTTTGGTTTTGCCGGTAAGTCGCGTCAAACGGACACGCGGGAACGTAACTAAATAAATAATTGTAGGTTCTGCACTTTTCCCCTTCGCCACTGGAGCACTTGCTGAGAGGTTCGGAATTGTGAGCCTGCAGCCACTGTATGTTGATTCCATATTCATAGTCAAGTATGGTCCTGAATTTTATCATCCAGTCTCATCATCCTTTATGGGGTGATGTTTGTGCTCTGGCTGTTGGTCCCAAATGGTGCTAGGCGAACGACATAACGAGAAAGTCATTGAAAAAAATAGACGCAAACAGAATACATCTTCACTCATCAACCCATGGATTAATCGGAACGACATTTCATCAACTCGCTATAGGGGTAGGATTTTCACAGCATTTTTGAGCCTTTGTCCAATTGAAGTGAAATATGTCTATTTGTACAAAAAGAACACAATACACCGATCAAATTTATATATCCTCAGTTCAAACATTACTTTTACGCGCCAGGTTAATTCAAAGAAAGCGTTTCATTGCTTTCATGTCCAGTCCAATCAAAGCGTCAACTCGTGGTGTGATTAAGAGCCTGACGATCTGCTGCGGACTGCGCCCGGCAAGAAGCCAAACGTAAATCCTTATCGCCGTGTAGTTTAACGCAGCTGCCACGGAATGAGTGCAGAACGTAGATAAAGTCACGGCGCTGCGAGAAGCTGAAATGATGTACTATTCGCACCAGACACGGATGGTGTATCTGATATAAGCAAGACCTCTTCTTCGTAGAAAATTTGCCAAATCATTTAGCTTCATGCAAAGTATACATATATATGACACTATGATGAGAGGTTAGCAAAGCATCAAAGCGAGGACGAGCCATTTTCCTGCACGGACATGAACATTTACCGTTACACAATCTCTTTCATCCTTCCACAGGGAGTTATATACCGAATATGAAAAATGTACAGCCCATACAGAGCCCATCCCAACGAGAAATCATAAGAAGGCGATTTGCGTTGAGCTACGCCCGCTGCGAAGGCAGGTAAAGTGATTGTCGCTCTTGCCGCATTGCTTAGCAGAACTGCAACATTTGTTGGCACAGAACGCTCAAAGTTGCGGCAGGATGAAAAGATGGGGACGACGAGCAAGTATGTGTAAGTAATAGCAGATAAAAAGGCGTTCCATTGTCCACAGCAGTTCTGTTGAATGGGGAATGGCCGAACCAGAAAGACAAATGACACTAACAAGAAGTCGCTAACTAATAAGACCTACAGTACACGTGACAACATATCGTAGGACGCTGTGGGCGTAATTTGCATATGACGGCCTGAAATTTCTTCATGCCTCGTTTTCATGCTCTGTAACCTATCGTGTTGACAGGGCTTATGCCTGCAACTCGTACAAGGCGTAGAATTCCAAGTGACGGCGTCCTCCCTGAAAACCCCAATTGGATCACTATTCACGCAAGTGATGGCAATGCAAAACGTTGGCCTACAAATACTACTATGAATCCAGATTCGGTGGACAATGTCGACTTTATGCAGCCGCTTCCAATAGACGATGGGTCATCTATCAAGTGGCGTCTGGTCATCGGGAAGAAGCTTGCCAAAATGCTTAACCGTCCTGACCCTGGTGAGTAATCGTACACAGATGCTTTAATGGATAAATATTTAAATACTGCTGGACAGAAAGTGATAAATGGGTTCTTAAGGATTGGCCCGCTGGCTATCAATTTTACATTCACAAGAAGGGTCACAAAGATGACCCACGATGCGATCCTTATCTCATTGGTAAATTTATTTGTATTTTCGAATGATATAGAATAATCCACCATTTTGACAGGTTCAGAGATAGTTGGGCGATTTCGTTCGCCTGCAGAGTTTATACCTCACGCGTGTTGGCTTATGACAGACGCGACTCGTAATAGGTCAAATTGCGCCTGCAAATATTGTACCGGGAAGCCACAACGCGAGATCAGTAACACATTCGGCTTATCACGCATTGGCAGACTGCCGCGCAACGATAGTTATAATGTGAAAGATAGGCCCGTGTCTGTTACGAGAGAAGAAAATGAGCCTCTGCCTCATCGTCAGCAGCAGGCACCAGAGGCGTTCAACCTGTCAGTAGACCCCACACAGCCTGTAAATTTAGAACGTGAGAAAGACTTGCGAGCTCAATTAGGACCAAGCTCTCTGGGTGAACGACGCTGGGCGCGTGAAGGCGAACTGGTTTGGGTTAGACTTGATTATCCGATTCATGTGGATGACGTGGATAGCCACTCCGAAACGATTTCGTTTTGGCCAGGCATTATTGATGAGATAAACATCAAGTCTAACGTCACTCTCACACAAACCCAAGAAACACGGCTGGCAAACGCGTCCGAAGAGAGCCCGGGACCGACTACTCCAAGCAGCTCAGATGCTTCTTTAGATTTGGATCCGTGGACTGTAGTTCAAAAGTTCGTCTACAAGGTCGAGCTTCTTGTTACCTCCGGCTCGGTCATTTACGGCTCTGATCGTATTTTACCGTACCAGTCTTATGCCCCGGATAGTAGTCTCGTTGCAGCAGTGCGAAGGATCAAATTCAACTTGGATGATTCTACTGGCACGCTTGATAGAATGACTGTGCCTTCCGATCCCGAAGGGGATGGACAGATGGAACAAGCGGAAAGGGCCTTGTTCAATCGTTTCCGATCTTATAACCCGTTTCCAGAGAACGAGCCTCGACTTGAGCAAGGCGTGGAGCTAAGTCAATATATCTCTACGGCAGCTGGAGCGTTTGCTGTTGCGATTCAAATTGCCTCTCGTCTAACAATGTATTGGACCCCTTCAGATGCATGGGAGGGTAAAATGCGACGTCCATCGACGCGAACGAATGCCTGGAGCCTTGTTCAAGAGACATCTTCATTTGCGGAACGATGTGCACTAATCCAAAGGGTACTTGGATTATTGCAAACTAGCGACGACGGCTACACCGCTCAGACGAGATTCCAAGGTATGTGGTGGGGTCCAGAACGTATTTGGACGGGTGATATTGTGCGTTTGAAGCTTGGACGGTACGAAGTGGCACCAGAAGGGACGGACATGATTAGGAAGCCGTCTGGTGCAAGAAAATATGACCTGCTAGAGGTCAACATGGATAGACTCGGAGCACAATCAGCGGCAGGCATTTCAGATGTTGATAGTGTAATGCACGACGTGGACACAATCGTTCCAGATATCGTCTCATTCGAGACTGGTGGTAGCTCAGTGACGAAAAGTGTTGCTGACATCTGTGCCCAGAACTTAGGGGCTGTCTTGCGCTCACTCTTCTTACGAATCGTTAGTTTATTTCTCGTGCAAGTTCCAAGCGACGATGGGAAGAGCCTGAAAAACGAGTGCAGGATGAGTGGTATGCTCTATGAGCTTGCCGATGAAGATTGGGAACCCGATGGAGCGGAATTCCGAGAGCCCTTGTCTCAGAATACGGTCGAGACGGACTCGCATTCTCCAATCTCGTCAAAAGCCTCGATGGTGACGCCACTGAGGGCTGTTACGTCTAACGAGGCAAGACCGATACTCGCAGATGTGATCAACCAATCGGCCTCTCGTGGACCTCGACCGTCTTCATCAAGCTTAGATACACCAAAGCCAGGGTTTCCGACCGATGTCGTGATGACGGACCTCTCGCAAAACAGCTCGAGTTCATCCGCTCTGGTAGGACTGTCCCTGGTCAGAGAACAGGAGGCAAACTGGGAATCGCCAGTATCTAACGTGGAATCATCAGTTCCTTCTGCTTCTACTTCCACTCCACAGAAGTCTACTGAGCGGCACTGCCCATTGCCACCTCCTCCGCTTAAGAGGAAATTCCGACCTATACTGCGAGATAGACACGAAGTTGTCATGCCCCTCACGGAGCTCGCGGGTCGGTACTATCCCGGCCTGCTCGAGAATCCACATCTATGGCCACGTTTGCAAGGCGCAGTCAAGAATCCTGAAGCACCCGAAAGTAAAGTTATTGGCGCTTTGGACGGTTTCTTGCCTGGCGTATATAACTCCGTAGATCCCACACGATTCTTGGCAGGCCGTGAAAAAATGCTTGACGAAGCGGAGAAGATAGCACGGGCGGAGGTAGTCGACTATTGGAAATGCCAAACAAAAATAGCAAATGCGATTGTGGCGGACGATGATTGATCGCATTTCCTGGTCTGCCCCTTTACTGAACGTTAAGTGGTATTCGTAAACTTCGTAAACGTATTCATGTTTTCCGCACCACTTCGTTTTCTCGCATGTTTTCGATCGTCCTGTTATCCGCGTTGCTTTCGTCCTTGCTTTTCCACACTTCCTCAGAAAATGCCCCGAAGTCAAGCGAAATACTGTGATCTGTAACGCTTTGCTGACTGGAACGTATTCCTACTTCCCGCATTTTTCGCTTTCCCGCATGTTTTCAACTGTGTTTGCTATCCACGTGCTTTCGTATTTAGTTGTCCTTTCTGCATTTTCGCTTTACTACTTTTTATTTTTAATTTGCTGTGGTGTTCCCCCTTCCGATCCCTTGGGGATGCCCTACCATCAAGTATATGATCCACTTGCAATGTGTATAATCATTTCCCAAGAAGTTATTTGTACATTTATTTCAGTCCAGACTAAAACCCCTTTCGATATATACTGCATTGTTGACATTATCTGGCTAAAAATAACATATAACTAAAGACAAACGAGTGGAGTGCTAGTATTATGCAGTTGACATGCAAGCACAGGCGAGGCAAAGCAATATTAGGTTAATTTTTTCGTAGGAAGTAGAACGCATGTACAAAGCGAAAATAAGATAGCATTCAGATTAATTGCCGGTGGAAGTAGAAGATACTGTCCTTTGTTAGTTAAGAGTCCAAGTAGTAATGTACGGAAGTCCGAGTTGGTTGCGTTAGGAGTGAGGATTGATTGATGAATACTCCAATTAACCCAAGAAGAAACGAGTGGAAGCCGAGATCACGCATACGCATAGAGACGAATCTATGCCAGATTACCGAAGATGCTTGTCTGGGTTAAGCTGATCGTACAGAGGACACAAGTCCTTCCAGCTGTCTGTGATTTATCCCATTGAAGTCAGCAACCAGTCGTTTCAGAATAAATTTAGATCTTACCTCCAGGTACATCATCACTTCTCATCCCATCCACATCCTCAGCGAACACAACAGCCAGTCCATGTTCCAAATGCCAATCGATATGACAATGGAAGAACCATGGGCCAGGATTATCCGTGACGAAACGAATGGTAATGTTATCGGTTATTTGGCCTGGTGTAACGACGTCCCGTCGTACAGGGTTCACGAAATTATATTCGGAGCTCCCAGCGGTTTGGATAACGTCGAAAGTATGTCCGTGCAGATGGAAAGGATGGTCGTTTATTCCCTGAACAGTGACCTCGATGACCTTATTTGGAGGGAGTGTGTATACCGATCCAGCTGGAAGCAAATCTTGTGCACTGCTTGCGCCACTTAGGACTTGGAGCAGCACGGGAATGCTTGGAGGCTGAGAGCCATTGATGTCAGTTGGACAAGGATTAACGAGTTATCCAAATTACTCACAGTGAATGTAGCATTATTCACCGCCCATGACCCACTCTTGAAAGATGGTTTCAACGTAAGAACTACGTCGGCACCACCAGGGTATGGTTCACCAGGCTTAAAGCGGGTTAGAAGGTTTACACAAAACACTCAAAGTAGTTACTCACTGCTCCAGGTTCGCGAAGAGGCTGCAAAACAATCATGTACGTTGTTAGTTCATTGCATTCAAGGAGCAAAACAACATTCATCTCACATGAAGATCGGTCTCCTTCAGCACTACAGGATACTGTGGCTCGAAATCTTTAGACGGTTCGGTAGCACTTGCACCTTCATAACGAAGAATGGCAGAGTTGACTCCGTTATCTGTAGTAGCATTGTTCGGATAGCTCGGGATTGCACGGATCCCTAATACACGAAGACATTTAAGATTTGTCACAAGCAGGAACATGGTAATACGTACAATAATTGCCAACAGGCTTGTCCATTATAACGACAATCGAATACCGTTGACCTTCGCAAATATTAATCACGAGCAAAGTTATTAGGCAATGTTTTCCTACCAGCGAATATTTCGAGCGAATCCACCATGACCGGGTCTGTCTCAACTCCATCCGCTTCAATAACTATCATCTTATGGCCGGAAATCGAAAAGTTGTACCTAAGGTTTTATCTATTAAATATGTTACCACGTAAACAGAACGGATACGTACGAAGGATGGCAGCTCATGTTAACAACCCTGAACCGATGGCGTTTGCCTGGCTGGGCACGAATAACTGCAAGTTCACTAGTAGGATTAATGTTCCATCGTCCAAGGCCGTTGATAAGAGTCGAATCGGGAACACTAAGGGCATACACAAATTAGAGATAACTAAAGGAAAATCTGGACCTATGTGCACGAACGGTGGGGGTCCAGGAAGGCCATTGAGCTGCGGTGCAGGTGTGTGGTACCAATCCGACAACGAAATCACGGTTGACTCTAAATGCATCATTTAGATGAACTGGATCGAAATGGCTAGTTTAGAAACGGAAGACACTGACCATCATCGACATCGTAAAGGAATTTTAGCGGGTCCTCGGGATCTAAACGAGATAGGTAAATTTGCATTCATTGATGATGAAAAAGTTCAAATTGACCATAGATGACCAAAGGACCAGACAAGCCATCGCAATACTGTGTCGACAAATGCGAGTGATACCTAACAATTCAATATTTAGGCAAAGAAGCATGCAAGATATTCAAATACACACCAGTATGTTCCGCTCTGTACTGGACAAGAGAAGTTGTATCTGAAAGGATCAATTGTCAATATCGTTTCTAACGTGGTGAATCTGTGAGAAGACCAACGTATAACTATGACCAGGAACGATCGGGCATTGGGTCACAGATGCTGCACCATCCATCGATGCAGAATGCCCGTTCTTCTGGAGAATACCGTGCCAATGCTGAGGTACACACTCACAATTTAGTATTTGATGAACCACGAGATTGCCTCCAACTATGACAAACTCACGATAGAAGTGGACCTTATCATGGTTGGGTCCGTTAGGCTGTCGGTAACATTGATCTACAGAAAGTAACTCAACATTTCACCGGAAAAGACACTTAACAATTTCACTTACGAGGAACCGATCGCCGACATTCCCGTAAATAAGTGGACTGGGTATCTTCCCATTAGCAGTGACTACTCTGTAAAACTATGAGCCTCATGTAGAGGATGCAAATGTTGTTCAACATACGAGCGGGAGAAACCATCAGGAGCAACGACAGCATTCGTGATATTCAATGAAAAATTGACGTCTGCCGCGAAGACACCTCCTAGTAAAGAACGAAAAGCAACGAATGTAAGCGCTCCCAACTGGAAGCTTAGGGACCGCATAGCCAAAAAACAGCGCGTAAGAAGAAAGGAGCGACGAGGAAGTAACAAGTCCGCAGAAGAGCGTGCAGGGGAAATAAGGAATGAAAGTTGTGTCGTAGTCCAGAAAAAAAGGCTCAGCTATAACCTAGATGGCTTCGATTTAGCTTGAGCGCCCAGACCGGGGACAAACAATTTGTCCAGCCTTATGAATTGAATACGAGTAAGGGACAACTGGCGTTGCCAGATTCCCGGCATGATTAAAACACTCGACCCCAGACAGACAGTCCCGTATGTCCCCTTCGCTTAGGACGTGAAGCATACCGGGCGGATCCGAGGTGTTCTAGTTGAAGCGAAGCATCAATCGTCGGACAGAGAATCCCGTTCATGTAATGGTAGACTCATGAAATGGAAGGGTGTTAGATGAACCCGTTGAATAGCATACAAACACCGATGAATAACGTGTACTCATTTCCAGAAGACTTGCAGTACAAAATCAGGTCGATTATTATTGGATTAAGGAGGGCGTGTCGAGTAACTGCGCCTGATGATTACAGCAGTTGATGCGCCTGATCCACCTCACGTAAACAAGCGATTGCGGTGCAAGGCTCCGCATGTGCACGAAAAGATAAATGAATCTCTCTGGACGAATGACGAGATGCTTGCATGATTCTGAACTCATCATTGTCTAGTTTGTCTAGTTATTTGCTCTTGTTTGGTGTGTTTCAACTTCCAATCTTTGACTCTGAGGTGATCATAGGTCTGGAAAAATCTTAAATTAATGTCTTCCACACTGGATCTTCAATATATGCAATTTTCATGCCCTTACCAATAATTTTAAAACTATACTTTATTAGAACATCAAGCAAATCATTATTCTGACCAAACTGTCATCTGAATATCGAAATACAATTTCCACAGTTATTTTCTATCGAACCACGCCCATCCAGTTCCTGGCAAACCTCGACCTTCGTGTACCTGACAGTGACACCACTTCCAGTCAATTCTAATTTTAAATCACAGATACTGGAACACGAGAACATATAAAGTTTAACAATTTCATTTTGAAAAGAGCAATTGCAATTGCATCAATTCGAGTTATTACACAAATTCTATGGAGTGCCAGCAACTTCATGACAACAAAAAATTATGTTCATAGAGGGAACGTGAAGAAGAAGAAAAGAACCCGTCAACGATACTGAGGAAGGGAAAGAAACGAGAGAAACGGTCACAGACCTAGTGTTTCTTTTTAGGGACCTATACTAGGAAATATACCATACCATACCATACCAGACTCAGACAGACACAAATAAAGACACGAGAAATGAATATCTCAAAATTACACAGAAGGAAAGAAAACGAGAGGAGAAAAGTGGAAGGGAAGAGACAAGAGAAGGAAGGAATCGGTCCAGATACAGGTATGATGAGCAGAATACTAAGACGAGGCGGGGTGAAAAAAAGGATTGCATGCGACAAGAAAAGAAATAAATGACAACTTGTCAGTACTATTTCATTGACAAAGGAGAGCATATAATCGACACGTGGGATACTTACTACAACACAGAGTTGACAGCAGTGGTAAGTTGACGACACGATGAGATAGTTAAAAACATGCAAGGTTGAATTGAACTGCAATTGGATTGGATTTGGGTTGGATTACGGTGGTGCAGCGTGGAGATGGAAGGTGATGGATCGTCCAGTCCCAGAAATTTGGCGATTTCGTTTTCGGGGCGTGGACGAGGTAAACGAGAAAGGAAAGGATGTCCGGAACAGAAAGCCGAAGAGGCAATTTGGGTTTTTCGAAATACTGCTCGCGGGAGACGACAGTCATCAGGATCAGCGTCCATGCATGCCAGACAAGTTCAAGTACTCACTTAATACTGACAACATCAAGAGAAGAAACCGGTCCGACAGAAAATCAAACAACCTCTACTGCGCCTTAGCTTGCGCACTCGGCTTCTTCGCATGCTTCGTCTTCGGTTTCGGTGTCTTCCCACCTTCACCATTCGAACCAGGTGTGGTCGACACGTTCACCGGTATAGGTCCCAATAACGGTTTAGCCATATCCTCCAATGGGCTCCGAGCGAGTTCTCTCAACCTCGCGGCATATTCCTGATCGGATACAGATCCTCTACCAGTTGGCACGAAGGAGACTGGGCCTGTGGGCTCGGTGTTGCTGGCGGGTGCTGCGAGCCAAGAGAGGAATGCGTCGACTGAGTCAGAGGGTGATAGAGGTGACATGGCGATTTAATGTGTTTAAGGACAAATTATGCGTGAGATTTCTCGTCAAGTCTCGTTGCGAGTCGTTGCTGGATGGATATATCTCCTGAGACTCTCCGAGCCTTTCTACTTAATGTCTCCTTGTCGTCGTCGTGGATCTTTATCAGTTTCTCTCGTTTCGTACGTCTCGCGTGTCAAGTGGTGAGATGAGTACGGGAGAATGCGTGCGTGATGTGACCCAAGGACTAGATGGTTCCACGAGACGGGGATGTCGTAATGTGGACGAAAGTTACACTGTTGTAGTGTATGTATGCGCTATGTTGGTACCTATTCGTTCCTGTTGCACGCAACGTGTATATGCGCCACAGGTCAACCTAGCAGAATCTAAGAGACGGCGATGGACACGGTCTGCTCGTCAAGAGCGTATGATGGAGGGAGGCAAGCAACAAAAGGCAAGGGTGGAGTGGAGCGCGTATAAGAGAGTGCATCTGCCGCGTCAATCGAAAACAGAGGTTCCGTCCATCAATTCTAGACCACTTCAGGCCCCACTTGCCTATTCAGTTCTCCTATGACACCTTCTTGCTTATGTAATCACTCTCCTGGGTAAAATCATCTCCACCTCGGGCATTTCAATCAGGCAATTCACAATACGAGGTCAAAAACGAAATGTTCATATGCGGTAGCTGAATCATCCATTACTTCGTATCCGTACTTTTCACTGCTCAATCCAATACATAAGTAGATGGGGAGTGCGGGAGAATTATGAAGAGAGAAGTCTCTGGAAAGGATATAGAAGGCACGAGGCAAAAGTGGAGCCGGTACTGCAGATTAATCCTACACAAGCGTACAGAGAGGATGGATGGAAGATATAGAATCGCCGATCAAAACAGACACATACAAACGATTGGAGACGAGCACTTTCTGTTTCGGTGACGATTAACTCCGGCGGAACAGTAAAAAAGCGCATATATCCACACCTTTTGCCCCCTTTTCTTTTTCTTTCCTTACTTCCTTTCAGCGAAGCCTGAGAACTGGAGCGGTCTCGTGTTCTTCGGAAATTGCATAAGGCGAACGACGGCTCATCGTACCGTGTGCCGGCTCCTGGCTCACTGGAGTTGTCGATGAGCCCGCTGAAGTCTCTGAATCGAGCGAGTCGATTGAAGCGCGAGATAATCTTTGCAGTTCCGTCGCTTTTGCCTTTGTCTTCTTTGCGGACGAATGTGCCCTCCGCCGGCTTGTTTCGCATGGGTCGGTTGGGAGAAGCATTAGCGAGGCGTTGACGACACCGGGCACCAGGATGACGGGTGCGAAAGAAGAGGCTGCGGAAGACGTAGACATAGTAGATGATGTCGATGAAGTAGATGCGTTTTGAGAACGGCGCATATGTCGCTCTGCACGTTTGCCAGCCGCCGTTTTGTTGGCAGAGGTTTGTGTGTTTGACGACGATGGCTGCTGTGCTATATCCGCGTCGTTGTCGTTCTTGTTAACATCGCTGCTCGGGCTTGACCCGTAGAAGCGGCACGTGGATGTCAACCACGAGAGGAGTGCTTGCAAATATGAGGTCATCGTTGGCGAAAAGTGAGACAAAGGGAGTTGAAGTGTCAGCGTCAGCTATATGCAACACAAACTAAGTGCGCGGAAGAGTGGAGGGAGAAAGCTAAGCGAGTGGTGCACTCGGCAGGCTTATGAGGGAGGAAGAGGAAGAAAGAGAGAGTTCGAGGGTGGAGACGGAGGAGGAAAAGCCCAGGCCAGGACTGAGTGACTGTTCGCTACTTTTTGAGTGCCACCTCTCCTTTCGGAGGGTCGATTGTAAAATGCATCGCGCGGGAGTAGTGTACGGCAAAGCAGAAATGACCCGAGGGGGTCGCGTGCAAAAAGCTGCAGGAGCGGTTGTACTGATTATATTGCAAGGAGGAAAGTTTGCGTGATGACGAACTTGAAGTCGAGACGCGTGATGCAACTCGATCTTCGTTTTACGTCGCAAGTTCTCCCTCCTCCCGATGACTCACCGCTTTCCCCGTCCCTGTCCTTCCTACTCTCAACTCCTTGCTCACTAGATGGTCTCGATTTCTGCTCTGGCAAATGGCAGATCAGTCAATTACCAACTTGAAGCCGAGCACGCCGCCCTGGCCATCCCTCTACGACCCGTCTATTGATCTCCTTCGGATCTCAGGCAACGAGGCAATCCAGCCAAGAGGTCATTACCTCAATGACGCCAATGGTCGGCCCTTCTCTTCCGTCCCTTGTCCAATTGCAGCCCGTCCTTTAGAAATTTACACTCTTCTAATCTTTCATTTGTAGACATCTTCCGGTTTACCCTCTACTGGACCTTCGTCTTCTATCTCCCGTTCTTCGTCCTCTGCGGTGTCCTCGCATTCCTCAACATCGCCTTCGCACCCACACTTCACCACTCTGCTTATCTACGTCATGAAGAGCAACAACAGTATGAATCTTTCCCTCTCGTGAACACGACACCACAAACGGCAGCCTCGCCTACATCTGCAACGGGTTTTGTCCCAAAGCCTAATGCTTCACAAGTATCAGCATCACGGCGCACGCCGCCAAAGGTTAACCCGCACCGTACTCGTGCTACCTACGCCGTATTGGTTCTCCTGATGTATCTCGCCGCTGGTCTCCTAGGTGCCGTCGTCGGCTCAGCAGTCATCGGATACCTTCTCGCGGCACTCTACAAAGCTGGACATTTCAACATGTCTACGTGCGTCATTTCCCCTATCCTTTGCTTCTTGTAATCGTTCCTTCATCTAATGAGAGCTTCTATGTGTCAAATCTTAACTATTGTGCTACGTATACAGATGGATCCCACCGCTGTTTGCGTTAGTCCAAACTCTCGTTGGGATACTGGGGTGGGTTCGAGTTCTTTCGTTCTGCTCGTGGGGTATATGCGAGCGTTCCGCCTTAGGCAAAGTGCAAGACTGATTAGAAATTTGTGTTCTTCTTGATTGTAGTGTTTATCCGTCTCTTGCCGAGATCATATGAAGTCGGGTTCTCTTTTGGTGGCTTTTGGGTCTGGGTGTTTGCTGGGTACCTTCGTACTCCCTTAGGGCACTTGGTTTCGCCCGACTACTTCGCATCTTTCAGTCATCTTATCCTGTTAGTTTCTGTGCTCTTTCGGGTTGTTACACAACTTATAATGATCCTTGCACAATCGCACTCCTGTATATCTACAATCAGCTATCCTCATCCTTTGTCTGTTAATTCAGTCTCATTCTCACCAAGGTCCGTCCTGAAGCGTCAAAAGAACCGAAAACCGAGAGGTCGGCTCAACAAGCTATGTGGAGCCAAACAAGCTATATAACTCGAGTATGTTGTTCTAATCGTCAATTGAGTTTGACGCTACCTACGTCTTTGTTTATCCAGGCCCCCTGCCATCTCTTGTTCTCTATCTCAATGTGATCTACCATGTTTATTTCTCCGCTATGACTTCATACGCATTCTTCAGGAGAACTACCGTTATCAGTTATCGTCATCTAATATCCCAGTTGCTCCTTATCTCCCATATCTCGACTACTCTCAGAGTTATCTTAACTCAATCCGAGGTACACACGTAGATGCTCAGATAGGAGCCGTTCATGAGATAGTGATGGTATGCGTTCTTGCATGGTTTTAATTAGGTCTCCGCGGATCATCCTACAGGAGGATAACGATAAGATTGTCTCGATACGTTGTGAGCTTTCTCACTCTTTGCAGAGCTATAAGCTGTACGTGGGACACAGATGAAAGGTGGCTATCTCGTTTCGTTAGGCAGTATTAATTGTTGGATGAGACTTGAATGTCTTGTCCTTGTGAACACCATATATAGTTTTTTTTATTTTCTTTTAGTAATGCATAACTATTGGTATTACATACTGAAAGGTTAGGTGTTTACTTATCAAGGGAGTTAATGGATTTCTTCTTCGATGGTAAGGTATAAAGGTGATGGGCCTATTTAAAAAGGATGAATTCACGAGAAAGTAAATAAAATATATATAAAATAATTGTATTATCTTTTTGCAAATACCCATTGAAACAATTTGTAGGAGCAATGATAGAACGAAAACAACTAATTCATTAGTTAATGTGGTGGCAATTTAACACTCTGTGTATTTTTTAATTTGAGAAGATGCAAGAATTGAAGAAATGACCAAGAAAGACGTGCAGAGTAGTAATGTAACTGCATACCTTATGCAAGTTACAAATACCTGAATATAGTTATTGCAATTTTTACAAATTTTACACTGTACTCGTCTCGAGTGCTTTATAACAATGTTATTTTTTTCCTCTTGATTTCGTTTGATATTGACATGCTTCGCCAGTCGTGTTGCCAGTGGACGCGTTTTCAAAGTCCGCACGCGACGGATGCGCGTGATCCGTCGCGTCGCGTTCACACTCGTGCTTCTTGAAACCACCATGTCTACCGCGTCAGGCAGTGCCAACACAAACACAAACGCAAACGCGTCGAAATCACTCAGTCAGAGTCAGAGTGGACAGCAGCCACAGGGACAAGGAAGTAGGAGATGGACGCATTTCCATTCTGCGTTACAGCTTGCGATTCAGAGGGCGTCACATAAGTGGACGTGAGTTTCGGGTTGTTTTTTGTGTTCATGTGTGCTTTGTTGATGGGGGTGGTGTTAGATACGAGGATTTCTCGGAGTGCTTTGAACTTTGGTGTAAGGAAGAGCCTGATGGCGCGTCAGGCGTGTATAATACCATTTCGTTGCATATGGAGAGACTCATCACCGTACGTCCCTTTTCCTTTCCACACTCGGCGTCACATAAACGCACTATGACTAACATAAGTCTCACATATATAGGATGCATGTGAAGAACTCTTCGAACGATACAACGCACGCGAGAACATTGACAAACTCCACGCCGTCGTAACAGAAGCACGAGAGCGAAAACAGGCTGGTTTACCGCCTGGTCCAGATACTTGGAAACCGAACCTTGAACCAAGGACCGCTGTGCGTGCGCGTACGATTCCGATATTGCAAAGGGAGAAGGCGGCGTTGGAGAAGAAGTTGGGTGCGGTACGTGAATATATTATTACCATTCCTCTAAATAATGAATTCGAGAACGTTGTGTTGTTAATGTGTTGACCTAATAGATGGAGGAAGAGAACTTGGAACTACAAAGAGAGATCATTGATAATGTCGATGCGATGAAGAGGAATGTCGATGAGGAGCAGCGACAGTATGATTTCCTAGACGAGGTGTGTCTGCCCAATAGAATCGGATTGATTTTATTCTTATGCCTCTTACGATTAGCTGGACAAACGATGGCACTCGTTGCCAATTGAAGACATGCAGGAGCTGGCACTTCGAAATGCAGAAACGCTGGCGTCGCAGACGGCCTCAGCGTCATAGGATTACACAGAGCTGTTTTGACTAGTTTTATTGGAATATTTCGTGTATTTTAGTGTAATGAGTCGAGCACGTTTATGCTGTGATTGGCTGAGCGTGATGACGGGACTCTAATCGGACCGCTCGGGCAAAACAGACGCGGCGATTCCCGGCCGGCCGCAACAGTTTTGTTGGCGCGTCCTCACCGACTTTGCGCTCTCTCACTTCCACCGACACCTCCCAAGTGTCTGCCTACCCCCACTCAAGCCATAGACGGGTCTTTGGCCATTGCTCCTAGACTTTTATTCCTATTTCTAATTCCCTCCCTCTAATAATTCCCAATGGCATCAGAAAAGAAATGGGACGCCCGGTAAGTTCATTCCACCTTACATCATTATCTTTTTCTTTTACTGAGCTGGCATGGACGTTGTTGTTCATTTCATGCTTTTCGTTTCGTTTAATCCAGCTATTTAGACCCTAAGGCCCCTCATGACATCGGCTACTACTCGAAAGCCCTCATCGGTGGTGCCCTTGCCTGTGGTGTCACCCACGCTGGCATCACTCCTCTTGATGTAACGAAATGTAACATGCAGGTTCGTTTCTTCTTCATTTTGTTCATTTTGTGCCAAGTTGTGTGCCCATGGCGCTCTGATGTTCGGTGTCTGCTGTCATTCGTGGAACAACAGCACATTTTATATCTCGTTCGCGTTATCGCCACACAACCACGCTGACACGAAAATATGTTTTCTAGGTGGACCCGAGCAAATACAAGGGCCTCGTTTCCGGTCTTAGGACTCTCGTAGCAGAAGAGGGTTCAACGGGTATCTGGAAAGGCTTCGGCCCGACTTTCGTCGGTTATTCGTTCCAGGGAATGTTCAAGTACGGTCTCTACGAGGTGTTCAAAGACGCGTACTCCAACCTTGCTGGCGAAGAGAATGCACAGAAATACAAGTCTCTCATCTGGCTCACTGGTTCAGCATCCGCTGAAGTCTTTGCGGATATCGCCCTCTGCCCGTTCGAGATGACCAAGGTCAAAATTCAGACGTCACCCCAGGGCACGTTCCCCACTGCATTTGGTCCAGCCCTTGCTAGAATGAGTGCGCTCAAGGCGGAGACTCGCTACCCCTTCGGCTCAATCGGCCCTCTCTGGTCGCGTCAGGTTCGTTTATTTCAACATTTTCCTTGAATCAGTAAAATCACGGGTACAGATCAAAATCGCTGACGTATTTCTCCGATGACAGATCCCATACACGATGGCCAAGTTCTTCTTCTTCGAGAAGATCGCCCAGCTATTCTACACACACGTTTTCACGAAGCCGAAGAACGAGTATGGTAAGAGTACGCAATTGGGTGTTACGTTTGCGTCGGGTTACGCTGCTGGTGTTGTCTGCGCGATTGTTTCTCACCCTGCGGACTCGCTTGTATCGCAAATGGGTAAGCAGTCGAATAAGGGGAAGAGTATTGGGGCGATTGCTAGTGAGGTTGGAGCTATGAACTTGATGACGAAGGGTCTTGGCACTCGTGTTTTGATGATTGGTACTCTTACTGGTAAGTCCGTTCTTTTCCCCAAATGTTACAGTATTTTCTTAGCCTTTCCCCCCTTACCCTATAGGCTTCCAATGGTGGATCTACGACTCTTTCAAGACCGCCATGGGCATGGGTACTACGGGTGGCAAGTAAACTGCGACGACGACGGACATACCCTTCACCATCATCACCCTATCGAAAACTCCGCGCATTCGTTGCTTTTGGCATCCATCCCTGTCACATTATGTTGCTATTGCATTTTATACACTTTGTCTATTGCGCTTTCTTTCAATAGACGCTCCAATAGAGCTTCCTTTCTACTACGATTTGTGTGTGTGCGTGTGAGTGGTTAGTTCGACGACCTCAGCGTCACGGTGCGAAGAGCATTCGACCTCATATGTTTGCCCGAGCAAAGGTAAAGGAGTATTGTTTGGAACACAGTCGACACATTTATCCTTGAGTTGATCTCGAATGAAACGGGTTAAGGGATGCCATACTCTCGTTTCAGTGATAAGGACGAGAATGTAAGCTGCTCTTGTTCAACCATTGTACTACCAAGGCCTTTACTATGAAGATTAATAAAAAGATACATCTACCCTTGTTGTACCTTATCCCAACCTAACTTTTGCATATATGTATAGCGTCTTTGTTACCCAATAAGCATCTTAACAACCTCTGCATACCTCCTCTGTGTACCCTCAATGACTTCAGGTGTCATCTCCCACCCTTCTCCTTCTTTTCCCGTGGGACCGGTTTCAAGACCCTTACGAAAACCGGAAGAGAGGAGCCAGTCACGGAGGTATTGTTTGTCGAAGGAGGGTTGGGGATGGCCGGGTTTGTAGGTTGAGAGGGACCAGTAGCGGGAGCTGTCTGGTGTTAGGGCTTCGTCTATTAGGAGGAGGGAGTGGGGGCCTTCGGGTGTTGTGACTTTTACGGTGGGAGCAGTTGAAGAGGAACCGGGAGAGGAAGGAGAGGGGGAGGAGGAGGAGGAGGGGGAGGAAGGGAGAGGGATAAGGCCGAATTCGAACTTCGTGTCTGCGAGGATGACTCCGCGCGAGAGTGCGTAATTGGAGGCTTCGGCGTATAGTGCGAGTGCGGATTGGGAGATTTGTGTGTAGAGGTCTTCGCCGAGGAGCTGTTTCGCTGCGTAATATACAAATATAAGTCGAAGTAAACGTCAGTGTCAGTAGTGGCGCTCAAGCAGACATAGGTAGACGAGTTTCGTGTTTGGGTAGTGCTGACCTTGTTCGGGAGAGATATTCTCATCGTGCTCTCCTTGTTCAGCCTTCGTCGACGGTGTGAAGAGTGGTTCGGGGAGCTTTTGAGACTCGATGAGGCCCTCTGGTAATGGAATACCATGTACAGTCCTAGATTTCTTATACTCACTCCACGCCGAACCTGTATAAATATCCCACTTCAGCATCGCTGATATTCGCTAGTTTTATAACGCGTATCAAAGGGAAGTTGCACCTGTAAGATAACCTCGTACAATAGCCTCAAGCTTAACGACTTTCGCCTTCCTCACGAGTAACGTCCGTCCGCTGAGTACGCGGTCCCAGTATGGTGAGATCTGTGATTGGATACCGGAAGGCATGTCTTCGAGCGTTGATGCGATGAGGTGGTTAGGTAGGACGTGTTGGAGACGGTTGAACCAGAAGACAGACAGTTGGGTGAGGAGGGCGCCTTTGCCTGGGACTCCCTACATGTGTGAGTGGATGTATGCGTGCCAATATCGAGAATGGACGATAACAGCATGGAGATTATTGTAATTATTGAGTGAACATAGAGACTTTAGTATTAATACACTTAGATACAACTCAAGAATTACACGTACATTCTTCAAAATAACATCGAAGGCTGAGATCCTGTCTGTCGCAACGAATAGCAGGAACTCGTTCTCGCCATCTTTGATTTCGTATAGATCGCGGACCTTCCAGCGAGAGATGAACTTGAGTGTATTAGTCTCTGGAATTTTCGTGTTGATTACAGCCTCTGATGGGGGTGGCATGGTGGAGGGAGGAGATATGGATACGGAAAGAAAGAAAGACGGTCTAACCGAAATTTTTACGATATTGAGATAAGATTAGATGGTATAGATCAGGTGGCTGTGCACAAGCTTTGGACAAAGAATTCTCCTAAAATAAAACAGTAATCTAACGTACACAATACAGGTCTATACAGTAGAATATGTCGTAACGCATAATGCTGGGAGAGGTCATTTCTGTATTCATTATGGGATTTATGCATTATGGCATTGCATTTTGGCAGAGAATGACCATTTGGTTTTGAGAAAAAGTCATTCATTATGACATTTATACATTACCACATTATGCATTATGACATATTTGACTGTATCTTGAAGCTACCGCCATTCTTACTATTACTAAGCTGAGCAAGTCTCCCTTGGATGTATTTCTCCGCTCCCTTCGGTATGTCCATGTCAAATAATTCCCTCAACGCATCGACCCTCTCTTCTTCATTTGAGAACCCCTTAGCCCACTCGACATGATCACCCACCCTACTGCTTAGTTTAACACTAAATAAAATCAACCTCTTCATATGTCTCTCCTTCGGTTTATCGGACTCCAATTCCTTCTCCGAAGCCGGGTTCGTGTGGGTTGAAGGAAGGAATACATGACGGACAACGAGGACATTATCGAGGAAAGGACCGAATCCTGGACGCTGGCTGACCGCAAAGTTCGCAGCCTGTCGATCAATAGGGAATGTTTCATGTAGTGCAAACTGATAGACCGTCTGCCAGTTGGTAACGTACGTCCCACATCGATATTGAAGGTGCCATTCGAGGCCTGGGTCAACACCGCCATCGTCATCTTCGTTGTAGTTATCCTCTGCTTCTCGAGTCAAATGCGAGGTACGCGGTATGAGAGAGGAATCAGGATGTCGTCCACGGACGAGACGATGTTCTTCTGGTGGAGCAGCACCCCGGACGGTACTTCCTGCGCGGAGGAGAATGGGCCGTACGAGGCATTGAGCGCCAAAACCAACGTCAACGAGGTACGTATCCTTTACCCTCCTTGGAGGTTCTGGCTCGAGATATGCATCTTGTGAATCCGGGAGTTGGATAAATAGGACCATGTGTGACTGTGCCGTGAATTCGAGTAAGTCTGAGCCGGTGTGGGGAGGAGTTTGGTTTACACGTGCTGGTCCTGGGTACGCCCTGTATGACCAGTGAAATTAAATATCATCGCGTTCTTTTTTACTATACATATATAGCAGAGATACTCAGAAGCGAGTTATGCTTACCTGTATCCAAGTCCACGAAGTACGTTGAGCAGGAGCTCGTTTTGTCCAAAACAATAGGACCCGAACCCCTTTTTAGCAACTACAAGCCTTTCGAAGAGACCTGCCGGAGAAATATCCATCTCATGCTTCTCTGTGCTGGTCAGACATGATTACTCAAGTCAGTCTAATAGTCACAGGGCGGTCATCTGAAAGTGTAACGAGATTGTAAGCTAATCTATTGTTAGTACTCACTAATGCATAGGAGTGTTCTCGAAAGGGAACGTAACAAGGTGATGTTGCACCAGCAATTCAAGGTTTTCGAGTGTACATGGTACGGCTCCTTGCACAAATTCACCGCTACTATTCGGTAGGAATCCAGGGAAGCGAATGTGCGTGAGATATTGTGCTATTTGAGTGGAGGTATAAACGCTTTTGACTGGCTTGACCCTTATATTGGACACCATTGAGGTAGGTTCCAGATGTATTTAGGACAGATGACAATTCAGACTTCAGAGAAGCAACAAGCAAGTCCAAGAAAAATTAGAAGAGGAAATGTATTTCGTGGTAAAGCAAGTCAGATGATTATGGTATGGTAAGTAGATGAAATACCAAGAATTAATTTCATCGATTGACGCCAGGTCACTTCGCGGAGCTTGAATTATGCATACGATTGCGGATCAGAGGGACGGAAAGGCGGAAGGCCAAGAGCTGGTCAGCTGCTACTCGTGAGAGTACATCGTCATCGTGCACCTCCAACCGTACGGTATTTTAGCCAATGGATGGTCGTTACCTGTAACGGGACAGGCCAATGATTGGCTTGGTATCATGCAACATGTAGAGCGACATCAGACGCATTTGAGTTTCACGGCAGAATACAGTATGGCGGGTATCGCATCGCGGATACACCGCACTGCGCTCCTTATACTCCCACTCCAGCACCACGACTGTTGTGTGTACGAAGCAGCTTTTTCTGTTCGGATAGCAAAGTGGATTGGACTGAAGGGGGAATTTAATTCCAGGCGTAAAACTAGCACAACACTCGTGTCTTATAGTTATTCCGATTTCGCCCGAAGACCCTCCATTTTCGCTCACCTCTTGCCTTCGTACGGCCGCACACGACGTAGACGAGTATAGAGTATCTGTCCGTCATCCGGTTCGTTCCTCGCAAAGCTATGAAGAGCTGTCTAAAGCCATCACGAGTATCTGTCTCTACTTCTACCGCGCCTGCCTCTTCCTCTTCTGCCCACTCGAGCCCGGGTTCAAGTTTGAAATTCGATGCGCGCCCACAGTGGAAGCGCAATGTCAGCTTTCGCGAAAAATCCGAGGACGAAATACACACCGCGGACGACTGGGATAGGTCCCCGGTCGACGTTGCTGCAAAGCTAACTTATGGGTGCGTACTTTTCCCCAACGTTTTTTACTGCAAGTTTGGTTCGCTGACTTGTTTGGGCTTTTCGGCCGAAATGATTCCGCCACTTGTAGTGACATCCTCGAGCTCAAACAAATGCAAGTCGACACTGCTCGCGATTGTGCGCGTGCACAGGTAGCAGCGGGTGCGACGCCTCGTTATCTTACGAATGTTCCTCTCGGGTTGTTGCCACTACTTCCAGAGACGAGTGGCGGACCGGGCGCCACAGCACCTCCGACGACACCAATGTCACCTCGTGTGCTGTCGCCATCAGGCTCTCCACCAAGGCGTCCCGGGTCGCCTGGCAGTGGCAGTAAATCTATAGGATTAGCACTTGCGGAAGCATGTCTCTGCAAGGTGTTTAGCGCAGATACGGGCACACCTGCTGCGAACGCGTACGGACACAAACAGTCGTGTGCACTTCACCAACCTGTCGGCAGATCGAATGGATCGCCGGTTCCGAGAGCAAATACTTCACCGCAAGCGCCGTTCAGACTGAATGTAACGCACCAAATTCCTTCTCCACCAGATACACCTCCACGCGCGATGATCACGTCGATCCCGCCGCCTCCACCTACGTCGCGTGCTCGGAACTTCGCGTTCTTACCATTGTTGGATCCCTCCACGTCCTCCTCACCCTCTTCCACTCCTAGTACGACGCCGAGCGTGAGTAGCGCTAGTAGTCCCGTACTTTCGCCTCGCGTGACGTCACCTCCTCCTTCATCACCTGGACCGATGATAAGATCCAGTATGTCTTCGTCCACATCGTCTTCGTCTTCGGTATCATCGCCTGGGGCATATTCATCGTATGATCCCTATGCTGGTCGAAGCCATGTAGGTGGAAGTGCAACATTGGGGTTAGAGCGTAAACTCGGGCTAGCTTCGCACGACTTTGATTCCCATTCGGAGACCGATTCAAGCGCAGAAGAGGATAAGGATTGGCCTTCCGACTGGCCTGGACGACGCGTTTCCCTAAAAGGCCAGCAACACCAGCACCAGCACCGTCACGGCGCAAGCGATGGTTCAAGTACGAGTAAGACCTCAGATGCAAAGAAATCGTCAGCGCCAACTCTTCCTCCTTCTCCTCCCGTCGAATCTACTCCACTTCTTAATCCTATACCTGTTCCAAGTCCAAACAGGAGTAGTGGGCAAATGTCACCTCGAGCTGGTGGCTCGAAGACACTTGCCTCTTCGCCAAGTAGAACCTCACGGACTTCCTCTCCATCTTCGACTCCTTCTCAGGCTTCGTCGTCTTCTTCGCCTTCGAAAGCACACAAGTCTGGGTTTCGGCTTGTTACACTTGCCTAGAATTTCCGGCTTGTTACACTTGCCTAGAATTTCCTTTGGGTTATGTTTATACTGAGATCGATTCTATATCATCGCTGTCGACAGCCTGAACGCAATATTCATTTCGCCCTGGTGACTTTTGGAACGCCATGAGGACGGTTTGCGGTATGATACGCCTAATATGTTTATGGACTTGGATGTCGCTTTCCTCCCTGCCCTCCCTTCACACATACCATAGGATACATGTCAAAAGTTCTACACCTACATTTCAAACATATTCCCCTCTCTTCCCAAGACCATGTCCTGTTTCTCATTGTTGTACGGCATGGTTTTTATCAGCCCTCTCATTCTTCAGCATTATCATCTTTCGTCATCATAATCGCATAGCATTATTCTACAGATTTTGTTCCCATATTTATCTACAGTATCTCAGTTCTGGATCTCTTCTCTTCCCATACCTACAGACGAATATGACACGCTGGCCTGCTGGATGCGGGTATAAAATAAATTCGCGATGCTGCGAGATTTGTATATACATACTCATAGAATGCAGTCAACTTGCTATGTTTGGCAGCCTGTGCGCTAGGTCTTTTGCTCGTTCGTTTGGCTAGATCAAATCCAGCATATTGACTCAATTGTGAAGATCGCGGATACAGGTGATATCATTCAAAGTGACACAACAATCTGGTATAAAACGTCCACGAGCCAGACAGAGAAGATTGTTTGCATATGCATAAATTGGCATTGAGCAGTTCATATATTTTGTATGCGAGGTGCATGAGAGGAAGTAGTTACATGCGCTGGATTTCGCTCCAGTTGTTATTCCAGAGTTGATCAATGCAATGTCGTGCTAACTATGAAAACAGGGAGTGTGGGAAACATGGAAAGACAACATGCTTATGCCTCAGCCGCTTGGCGGCTCCTCTTCACAGCTGAGGTGTGCTCCCTGTTACCAGCAAGAACGATAAAATTAAAATCAGTGTCAATGAAGAGGTAAATGGGGCCGTGGGATAGACAGACGCACCTGAAACCATTCTTGAAGCGACGGGAGACGTGTTGGAGGTAGCGCATGCGGCCTGTGCCCGTCGTCTTGCGGCGCTTTGCTTTCACGCTCCAGTTGTATGAACGGATCTTTGCGGAGGGGTAACCGCACTGCGCGCAGGCTGTTGTTTTCATCGCAGTTACGAGGAACGTGGATACGATAGACGTTCGCATCAAACGGGACAGATAAAAAAGGAATAAAAATCGAACGTGAGTATAGATGAACAAGAATCGTGAGATAGGGTACGCACTTTTGTGCTGCTTGTGGAACGAACGGTTCCCGCAACGGCGGCAGAGGGTGTGCGACTTGGTGTGACGCTTACTGTTCGTTGAGATTGATCAGTTTTCCGAAAGTGCAACGATCTTGGAAGGAGTAGACGCACCCGAAGGATGATGTACCTTTGCGTCACGAATACAAACCGCAGGGATCACAACGATTTCATTCAGCTAATTAGTCTGGATGGTCAAGAAGGCAGTAATCGGGCGTGAACAGACCTTTCGTCTGAAAAGAAAAGAGAGTATCGTCAGCAATACGTCGTTTCTGCTGCTATACCTGCGGGACGCATGGCTCCAGCCATCTAACTCCAGCATGTTATCCCTCTCCAACCAAAGCAATCCATCCGTTACATCCCACTCATCCACTCGTTCACTCGTTCAATACAGCCAGAACCCAGCATCACACGTCCTGCATAGATAAAATTGGCATGGATAGACTCACCATCTTGTCGTTGTCTTGAGGAAGCCGGAATTAGTTTTCGTTATTGAATCGTTGCAGTCGATCGCCTCAGTGGTGAGCAAGCGTGGGAGAATAAGGCTGTGCAGGCACTCACAACTTTTCGATTCCGATGTAGGGCACCGACTGCATAACTCCCAATTCCCAAAATGCTGAAATTCCACAATGTCCTTAATTCTTTCACCAAGCGATAAATATCATTCAAAAAAGTTCAACTGACTAGCGACGATGCTTTGAGGGTGCAATAAAAAACCCGGACATTCCAGGACACCTCAGCTCGACAATTAAATACTACAGTTGAAAATACCTTATTGCATCACATTATAATGCATAAATTGAATATTGCATAGCTTTCTGCCTAATCCCGGCTTGGGATAAGGGAATTATGCACAAAAATAGTCTATTACATATTGCATCAAGATTTGTGAGAAAATTATGCAAAATTCTGAGCATTTTGGGAAATTAGACTGCTTACTGTTGTGATTTTTGTACCCAGAAGCCTCACATATTGTTCTCTGATGTACTTCAATACAAAAAGAATGTTTCTGATTGACATTTCATTGCTTACAATGTCTTTGATGCTGCTACAAGACCAAGATAGGGTAGCAAAGATCTCTTCATGATATGTGGGGGAAAGTTATTTGTATTGACTAGCTTTTTCTATCTTTTTGTTTCTACAGATTCTGACTGTATTTCCTTGTATTACAAACTATTTCTTGAGTTTTACAGTGATATACATGTTTACTGTACTTGTCATTGTCTTGGTTGTCTTTCTTGATGCTCTAAATATGTGCTTATTTTCTTGTCATAGTGTATATGTCTTCAAATAAATTGAAAAGTAATATTGAATTTGGGTTCCTAATTAAGTAATGTTTTCGCACGGTTACCATAATGCATATTGCTCATATTGCATAGGTCTGAGGCCTCTCCCGACGTTATGCAATAAGATATTTTCAACTGTATTATACTAGGCTCTGGTTATCAAGTCTGGTCCATAGTTCTTCCCTGTCTTATCAACTGTACTCTGAGCACAGGCTGGCCAGTAAAATTGCTACAGGGAGATGACTTTGGGTTACAATATTTGAAAAATTAAATTAAAATAATAAAATAAAATAAAAACTATGCCACTTCATGACCAGTTGAACCCGTGTGAACCCGTGAACTGGCGATCTAAATTGGGGGTGCGCTTTTCGGTTGTGCGACGCGTCCATTCCCACGGCCCCTAAGTAAGTAATTTCATCAGTTATGTCATCGTCTGGTGTGTCCACACTTTAGATAGTTTGCTGCGAGAGTGTTTTCTACTCTCCACCTGTAATTTAAAATTGTGAAAAAATAATTATAATAATTATAAGATGATAAATAAAAATTTTACAGAAGGATTAAATTTTTTATTAAAATTTGAGTGAGAAACAATAAATTTACACATAAAACTACTAGTATCTAAGTGAATAATTTTATTTACCTGAATTCCTTTTGTAATGCTCTTTGGAATAGATTTACATCATTTATGATTAACTTTAGAAGTGTTAATCTTGATTGGACCTGCAGGAAGTAGAAGCAGAAGATTTACCTCAGTCTTGCACATCCAGACATGCAAGATTTCAATACAGTCTGGTAGTTAAAAATGATAGAATTTGAAATTTTAATTTGTATGTCTACTGGTATGGCTCAAAAAATGCATATTAATTTATTAAAAAGTACTAACTACTAAATAATAGTCATGGTAGCTTCAAAATTGTGCAAAAAGCAATTAAATGGAGCAAGAAATCACCTTTGCCTTAACAAATTAGGCCCTCTACCTCCTCCTGTGCCAGAATCACACAGAACAAGGTCTTCAGCACATTCAGCCACAATATGCAAGCTTGAAAGAGTCTGTGCTAACGTCAAAACAATGTTGAAGATGCTTGAATGTCAAGAGGAGCTCACTAAGGATAACAGTCGGCTTATCAGCAAGTCGTGCAAGTCTAATACAAAGCACACAGCTAGTTCTAGTACTCTTACAAAAGCAGTCAAATCTGAAGGGCAAGATTCAAGAGCAAGGTGACTTACTGGAATCCAAGGATTCAGACTTAAAGCACACAACAGGATAAAAAACGAAGAATCGAAGTTACAGAGCAGCACGAAGCAGAAGTAACAGCAAAGTGGCAGAAGATCCAGGAGCAGAAGGACAAGCAGAACAGACAGTCAGAGTATCATGAAGAACTAGTTCTTGAGTTGGACAAAGATTGAGTGAAGGAACTCAGAGTACCACAGATGAAAGAACAATTAGAAAAACTACGGAATTTCGACAAAGAAATACCGAAGGAGAAAGAGATAGGGAAAAGGGACGAGAGACTCAAGGTATTGCCAGTGCTAGATGCGCTTGGTAGATACAAGAATTGCAATGTGTAAATTAATTCAATCACTCAATATACCAAAAAACTAAAGACACAGTCTTTTTCGCACAAGAAAAAAGCTATATAATATTAACTTTATGCCTTTAAATCCTTTATATTCAATTAAATATGAGAGTAGTAACATGTGTATATTAAGCACTGTATATATACACTTAAATCCGTCTATTTTCACACAAATTTGATATTGTTTTTTTAAAAAAAGCATACATTATATTTAATATGATACAAAATAATGAAATATCACAAATTAAAGTCTAGATTTGCTCCGTTGTATTTTTTACATTAAATACAAGGGAGGCGGACGCTCTGACCGCCACATTTCGACCAAGAATGGTAATTTTTCGAATTCTGCTCGGACGCGTCTCATAACCAAAAAGCGCACCCCCATCTAAATGTCATGCTTTTCTTTCAGTCTCATTATCACCAGTGTATCACTGGGGTTTGCCAGAGTTTGACTGTTCATTTCTGTCTTGCAAGTATTTTCTTTTTTGTAGCCTTATTCGGACATTGTGGATAAATGGACCGTATGAACAGGCAGCACTGATAATCTCATAGGTACTCACAGTTACAAGGACGATTAACTTAAATCACAACTTTTGTACAGTATATGCAATTTATGTTATGGGGCACACGACTTGCTCCCCTTGTTGGTGTGTCGTTATTGAATCCCCCCTTATGTTAGACAGGCACTTAACATAGGAGCAATTTGTAGTATTTAAGTTTCTTACTCACGACATGCAACATTTCAGATTCATATACGTAAATCATGGCGGGAGCGTAAATGCACGACCGTTCCGAAATTTATGCCAGGGCATCGATGAATATACGTTAATTGAGTTAATAAATCCCGATCATGCATGCGGGAAGAGGAAATCCAGAATGTATTTTGTGCAGCCAATTGCTCATGCTCAGTGAGAGTCTGAGTCGCGTGTATTCTCACACAGGCTATGAGAAGCTTTGGATAAGCTTTGTCTTTGTCTTATTGCACGCGACTCAAGAGAACTAATGCATCTCGGAGAAAAGTTGGGTCCGTGAGGATGGAAGATGGCGCTGTGTATGTTATGCATTTCCAATTGATATGATACCAGTTCATTCATAAGATAAACAGTAATGCCAATAATTGAGTTTGCCCTCGTTTAATTTAGCATTATGCTCGGACACATGGTTTTAGTATAAATGATCAACATTACAAGTATAAATATAAATATAAATATACCTAAAAATACGAGAAACGGACCTCCTCTCTTATCAAGGGGATCAACAAACGTCAGAGATAACGAAATCGAAATCAGATATCTATCCAAAGCATATGCACATTGAATGTTCTATCCGAGAAACCCGGCCGAATCAAATGCATCTTGCTTGTTTTCTTGAACGTCTTTGATAAACACATGCTTGTATACGTTTACGCAGGTACGTATTGTTCCGAAATACAAGGAAGTTGAAGGAACAGCACACTAATCCGACCAGGTTTCTGGAAAGCGGGAAAGTTCTGTTTGAGTCAAATCGCTGATTAGGATCAAGATCAGCCAGCAACAGCAACAACAATTACTTGATTTACTAGGTGTACGTGTTCATTTCCTCTTTCCACATTGCGCACCGAAGATACCACGCTCACCACTTCTGACTTTCCCGCGTCATCACTCTCAAATATATCATGCTTCGTCGCTTCGCGGCTTCTCCGGACTGTCGAGCGATCCATGCGTATCCTCTCGCTTCTTTTCTTGACCCTATCCGAAGCATCCTACTACTATGTGTGGCATTACTGCTTTTGGTGAGCTTTGCAAACTTAGAGCAGTATTGGTGGAACGGGAGTGTATGCGCAAATATACACGTATTGATGATTGGTAGCTCGAGTGAATACACAAGCATGAAGTGCTCACAGCAAGAAGCTTGTGTACATCGACGACTGGTATATAATTTTAGATGCCCTTCGAAACCAAGAATAAAATGTGTATATTTAGAACCGAAAATGCACTAACCTAGAAATCGAAACAAACTAATGCATACAAATAAGGTGCTGAAAAACAAGCTGTAGGTCATATTTTCTGACAAAGGGCGTGAGAGAACATCACTTTTATATCATTTGTGTCGCAACTAACAATAAAAAAACAAGGTCGTCGATACAGATACCAGTACAACAAGAAGCAACGATGTAAATAGCGAGACAACACATGAGACAAAGAGTCGGGATTCTAGGTACCAAGCAGAGTCGTAATGCGTGAAAGAATACAGAAAAGAATTCGTGACAGGTCAGAGCGGAGGGTAGTACTGCGGGTCGAAGTCGGATACATGTAGTCGTGAATAAGGAAGGTGAGAGGTAGGAATGGGAGGCGGAACAAGTAATGAATCGTATATGGAAGACATCAGTATTAATATTAATTTTCGTTGAGAGGGTTTAATTGGTGGTAAAGAGTGATAGGGGGAGGTGAGTGATCGGAGAGATGAGATGAGGTAACCGAGAAGGGGTGGACGGATATACAACAAGAAATACATCAACTTCAGCAACAAATAACACAGCATTTCGATATTTATATGGATAACGAGTAGCCAAGATCAGAAAAGCCAAGAAAGCGAGTTGAAGAACTATGCGGAAGTAAAGATGGATGACGTATATACAAATGAGGATATGCGAGACGAAAGAAACGGGAAATGACGAAAGAAAAGTAAATCGATGTAGATGTACATATAAATTTATTTGCGTAAATGGAGAGATACTACCACTTTTCCGGGCTAACACCAAATTGATTAATTAAGCAAATGAGTAACGCGAAGTCTGTGAATTAAACCTACCCAAAGGTAAACCCCTGCGGAACCACGCGGTTGGCAAGCGCGTTCCAATCGGCCGTGTTTTTATATACGGTGTTCCCCCACCACGCTTGCACGGTGTGGAGCCCGATATTGTTATTCTGCGGGAACTCGAGGCTGGGAAATTGCTCAGTTGTGGCGCAGAGGCCCAGAAATGTGTCCCTGAGAGACTTACCAGAAGAAGATAAGTAATGATCCTAATGCCACGCTCGAGTCGAGCGCAGCAGATAGTACGTCTTCAAATTCGCCAAATGTCAGCCCTTATTATTCTCCTTTGAGGAAGTAGAGAACAGCTGTCTCACAGTTATACTTCGCCCACCACGAAAAATGCCTTCTCCGTACAAGGTACTGGAAAACGAACGCAACGATCGCCCAGGGGACGTAATTCACAGCCGTCGCAGGGGGGATTAGGTTTGTTCCTCCGAGAATTAGAGGTATACTAATTTGTGGCAGTCGGCGTGTTAATCGATCTTCTACAACAAGCCATCGACTCAACTCACTTGATGTACCGCAGGAACCGATTTGGGAAGCGTTTTAGCAGGAGGTATGTGATAACTGGAAGTACAGCGCCGATGATGAAGAAAAACATCAGGGCTAGAAGGCCTGTTAGACGTTGGTTTGAAGTGATGAGAACAGAGGTGTCGTACGACTATATAGTGGACATGTAAGAATGACAGCAGCTTGTATGTAGCTGAAGCGGCTCACTAGTAAGTCTGGCCCTTTGAAAACTGGTTGGAAGGGCCGATGACACCCCAGATGATACTAGCGGTGTAGAACACCTAGGCGAGTAGACAGATCAGTAACTAGGCGGCTTGTCACCAGTGGCAGATCTACCTCGATATCCGGGCAGATGAAGCGGTCAACCTTCCAAAACCGTCATGCAATTAGCCCTCAAACGAAGGGAAGTAAAGAGCTACAAGGTCGCACCTGATTTGGGCTACACATATCCGCTATTAACCCTTGAGTCAGTCTTGCACAAGACAGATTTGGGCATACAGTAAACTTACGGATATTCGAAAACATCCAAGTCTGTACGGCAAGATTTGTCGTCCCCGCAACAACAGTTCCCACAATTTGACACCAGAACATCGTTCGCGGAGGAACTTTCATGTAATGGCCTAATTTGAAGTCTGACGTGAACCTGAGCGCTTGGGAGACTCCGATGTATGTATATGTCTTGAACAGCATCATTGCAACGGGTCGTCCGGGGAGGACGTACCCAACAACAAGCTCGCTGATAACGTTTAATGCTATTTGCTGATTAGTAATGGCTTGGATGATGCCCACGGGGACGGTATACAAGAAAGCTAGTTGGCGTTAGGTGGACGTCCATGAGGTGATATGCGCTAATGAAACGCACCTATGAAAAGCGCAAGGCAGAGTGCCCAAACGGACATTTGTGTAGGCCAGACCTCGATGGAAATACAGCCAAACGCAAACATAGTTCCTAGAGAGAACTCATTAACAATATGTAACGAAACACGAGTCCAAAAGACGTACCGAATATTATCATATACCAATAATCGGGTACTGAATTATCGTAAAGTGAGTACAGTTATCATAGTCGGCGATAGAGGCCATATACCTTGTCTGTAGCTAGCCATAAGCCTCGCATGGATATCAGGCCTCTCTCCAATCCCGCCCTTGATCTTCACTAAGATGGACTTGCGCAAGTAAAGTATCGTGTGAACGATAGTCGCGGAGATACTAGCGAAGCTCAACCCATACGACACCGCAAATGCCGTTCTAGGCGGGGCAGGAAGGGAAAAAGAACCAACGCCATTAGCTTTACCCCTGACGACTGAACAACTCTGCTCACGGGAGATAAAGCGGACTATAATTATGGTACGCATCGACATCTAGAGTGTTCTCTGGTGTAAGGATCCTTTGGACATCGTATTGCTGTCCTTGGTTGTCGAAGGACAGCCTGGACATGATTCTATCGCCTCTATCAGTACGAAAAGAAGGTGGCCACAAGCGGCGAACTCACGGCATATACTGGCTGTTCCATACATTCGTGTACTAGTAGCTAAGTTAGTACTCTATGAAAGTAGGAAGCGGAGCCGAATTTGCTCTTACGTATAAGATAGGAGTCAAGATCCCTAATAGGCCCAAAGTCAATGTGCTGTTACGTTTCGCTACTGAGTTCGGGAACTCACAGAAAAATAAGATGAAGCCGACGATAATGTTGGCAGCCGCCCACCCTACGAAGAAGAGGCATATCAGAATTCAATCCAATCCAGACCCAGACCTATAGAGCGTGAGAACAAATCTTACATGGCGTTGCCAGGCTAGAGTGTCCAAAAGTTCAAAGTCAGATATGACAGGCAACTACGGCAGCTTCTCTCACTCACGGGCTCGAGACGTAAGCAATCTGTGCCCAATCAAACGTTATGATCGACATGCTAGAAGTAGAACGAACCAAAACTGTCTTGAGAACTGTCATACCAACAAAGGGTGTGAACAACAAAAGCTTACCCCATGCCACTTGCGTATCCAAACATTTGTTTCAGAGACTGAATAATTGAATGGATCCTGAGTCAGTGATATCACAGATAGCAACGTTCTGACAAGGATCTCTCACCACTATGTGTGCATGGAGATGTGTGCATAGAGCATCAGTAAGCATCGGTGTCTATGTTCAGCGCGAATTCCCGTGGTATCAGTAGTACGACTCACAGTTGTTGGGGGCGATCCAGCATACCCATGAGAACATTGACAGCGCGGTGAACAGATAACCAGGAAAGAAATCTTCGGAGATTCGGAAGCCGCAGCATGTCAGCCGTGTGCATCCCTTGCACATATGGTCGATGAACTCACAGTACACAGTCCCGACTGCCAAACAGACAGCGAAGAAACGCTCTCGGGACCAACCACCGCGACTGCCCATCCCAATGTACTCTTGGGAATGAAGAGTATTGAATAGAGCACATGTCACTAAATTTGCAGGCCAGACTAGAATGGAGCAGGTCAACATCAGTGACACTTGCCATGTATAAGAACAAAGAGACTTACTCATGGACGGAGGAGCAACGAGGAATCGCCGCGAGATACCTCCAATTGAGAACCCGATTAACTGGGTAGACATGACTAACATCCATTGATATGAGAAGTTGTATATCTGTCCATAATATACTCGCTGTACAGCCACGATGTCGGTCTATGAAGTATATGCAAGGTTATTCTTCAGCACATGGAACACAGAGCAAGCGGGTGCCGGCTTACAGCATACGCAGACCTCCCACCAACAGACGCCATAATGGTAATTATAACATGCTCCTTCATAGTGAAGGGACCTGGATTGAGAGAGATGCCGAATATCTTCTTCTCCGGAACGAATCGAGCCCATAATCGACCGACAGGATATGACAGAAGGACAGCTACAAGCTGCAAGGTCGAAGCAGAATGGACTGAGCGCGGAGAAAGAGGGGAAATGAGTGACAAATACTGACATTACTAAGGGCTACGGTCGGCCAGCGAAGTTGCATGAATTGATTGACACCGGGAAATAATATTGCACAAAATATCCCCATCGTCCAAGCCCGTAATGTGCTGCACGTAGACGAGACATTATTGTGAGGAACTCCTGATCGTAGCTGGGGTGGACAGTGAAGTGGACAAATGCGCACCTGGCAGGCATCTCCGGATCGTCGACATTTGACACCGCACATCTCACTTCCGGGTATGGCGAATCGTCTTCTATCTGTCCAACATCGTCCTCGAGATTGGGGTCGTCAAAGTAGCCGTCGTCATCGTATGCCTCGGCGGAAAGAATATTCTAAAATAATCATCCAACGAATTGATAAGCCCTCCCTCTGTGACCACTCAGCAACACGAGACAAATGCGCACCGTCCCCATCGCTGCTGATTCGTGAGGTAAGATGTGATCATCGGCGACGACCCCTCTAGCATTTGTTTCGAGGTCGAGTTCGTCGAGTTTGATATCCACGATGGAAACGTCGAGGTCGGACGGTGAAGGTGGGGGCTTCTCGTTTGAGTCTCGTGAGGAGCGTGATGCTCTTGCGAGATGAAGTATTGAAGACTTGAGAAGATATGAAGGGAAGGGAGAAAGAAAGGAAAGACTCACGACTCGCAGAAACGTCGCAGTAGTGTCATGATGAAATGGCGGACAGACTGCTGGAGCGGAGCAGATGTACGTGAGTAAGTATATAGTACCTCGTGCACGGGGAGGGTGGATGTACACGTCCGGGGAGGTATCACGTATGAGGGTGTGCTTCTTGGGAGAGGAGATTCCCAGGGAGAGGAGAGGAAATAAGAGTATGCAAGAGGCCAAGGGAGGGACGGAGGGAGGACGCAGTGGAGAGATAAGCTGTAATTTGAATGGGCGATGTGCAGATGGCCAGGGCAGACAAGAAGCCTTGCCAAATGAATGGCTGGCCCGGACGCTGCTTCGTCCTCCGCTGCTGCAGGCTTGGAAGACCCATGAGAATAGATGTTCACAATCAGCTCCGGGTTCGGTCATGCCGGTCAATCATCCTTTCCTCGGCTCATCCGCCGATCCTTCTTCCTCTCGCTATTTTCCGGAACCATATCTTAGATTTATCCTGCATCTGCTTGTTTGCTTCCAACCTGTCCAGTTTCTCATATCTGTAACCAACAATTTGAACAAATTATCAACAAATGCCCTGAGCAGACAACCTGTGAATTATCGAAATACCCCTCAGGACATGCCAGCATCCGGCATCTTCACTGTAGTTACCGGGTTACTCCTCTGCCACAACCACATGTCAGTTCTACAATCACATTAATCACCCATTCTACCCAAGCTTGTCTACTACTCATTTAGATGGTAAATTCACGAAGTGAGTCGAATCGCCTTCCAGATTCATTTACCACAGTAAATTCCCGACATCAGGGAGCCTCTTGAAATCTTCTCCTCGGACTTGGCACCTGTCCTGGTTTCTTCTGTTAGCCGAGCGGCTCCGAAACCTCTTTGTTTTCCACACTCCCCTCGTGTTAATTCATTTCTCTTCTACACCACTAAAGCTCACGAGATTGCAATTGACTGAAACTCTTTAGTTTTACAGGAAGAGCTTAGGATCCAGTTTCTTATTTTCCCGAATATTCTGACGCGGATCAGTCCTGAAAAATAATAATAATGCGGTTCTCCGAGTCTGTCGTGACACCAGCATGCTACAGTAACGGTGACAGTAACTGACACACGTCCAACACGTCTCCAGGCATACGTGCATACAACTCGCCTGATCCCGTTTCAGAGTAAGGCACTGGCAACTTGGAAGCTTGGAAGCAGAAGAAACTCGGAACGTCAGGATGTTGCGGACAAAGTTCAGGATTTTCGCAACGCACTTACTCGTGGCCGACGGGCGCCGCTTCACTGAGAGATTCATCCAGATTTCCCGGATCGCTTTAATTTTGAGAGGATACAAGCTGGAAAATGCCTGATGTTGTGGGTAAACTTGTATACTCCAGGAGCCGTCTTTAAGCGTTTCGTGCTTGAACGAGGAGCGGACATTGCTTACTATTCGCATACAGCTTACCGATATTTTTAATACCCTCTTCATTCCTTGTCGTTTGATACGTCTTGTCAGTGTGCTCCGATTCTGCGTTAAGCTAAGGCTATTGCTATTTGTGCATGTGCACATACCCTGACAATTATCCTGGGACATAAACCTCCCAGGTTGATCATTGGTAAGTACGAACGCATAATTTATGTCTACCTAGGTGAGTCTGTAGTACTTCGCAGTCCTGTCTGTATATCCACTTTGCCTGCTATAACCGTTCTCAAAGGCCCGAAGCACGACCGCAAGGTCAACTCCGCAACCACACATGTGTAACGCCTCTCACTTGCGCACCGCCGCTATTTGAGTCTTCTCTTCGTCGTGGATTATGCGGTGGTACATTCAAGCATTCGCACTTGCACCTTGCCACTTTCAAACGTGAAGCGACGATTCGCACGTAACCAACAAGAACTTCAAGCAGGACACTGACCGATGTGTCTTGATTCCTTACCCGAGAATCACGGAGATAGGCTGATTATGATCAAGACACTGCATGCAATACTTGGGCAGACAGTGAAGGCGGCGAAACGAAGGTAGCAAACTGCTTCTACCGTTCTTACGTTCCCACATGCCAGAAAGAACAACGATTTAGTGTATCAAGTGAGTATTTATAATCTCAACTCTACATAACAAATATAACACGGGGTATAGATTATTACTATCGAACTAGGATTGTACACAAGTCATATCTAGTGATTGGCATCAAGACTTAGTTGACAGTCCTGTGCACAGCAAAGTAATGATGAAGAAAGCTATCCCTGGAAGAGATTGCCAAATTTAAAGTTGCGGAAGTCATTCATATTCTTCGGAATTCGCTGTAGTATTGGCCTTTTCGGTGCTGTAGCATTTACTTCAACTTTCTTTATGTTGAGGTACGATTGCTTCAAATCGTTTCGTGCTTTATCGAAAATTCCGTAGTCGTTTCTTGAAACACGTAGCCTGTCAAATTCCACAGCTAGTCCCAAACCCTCGTCATCGGAGTCCTCTTCGTATTCCGATGTCGATATCGAATGTATAGTGTTCCCTGATCCTCTGTTCTCAGTGTTATGTGATCCCCCGTGCTCAGTGTTCTGCGGCCCCCTGTTCTGCGACTCTCTTTTATCATCTAGGACCTTCATTGGAAAGTGATGCACATTTTTAAAGGGCGTAATTTTCTTGAGTTCATCTAATGCATGATATACTCTGTGGCAGATATCCATTATTTGCTGATATTGACCTGAGTTATCATGATCCAGAATGGTCTTTATAGTCGTATGGAACGACTTTAGAGGGTTGTTACCGACTTCTTCCATACCTGGGAGAGTCAACGGCATACTCCCCTTGTCCTTGTACTCTCTGATAAGAGCATTCCATTCTTCGACGTGTCCGTCCAGTTCCTCCAGAAATGCACTTTTGATTTTCTTGAACTGTCTCCTGGCTGGAAATACGGCGTGTCGCGTGTGCTGCCGTTTCATGACACATTCTGGGGTATCATTGTCGTTTAGTTTCTTCAGTCTCTGTCTCGCCCTCTCCTTTTCATCTTTCTTAAGCTCGTCAAGAGCAACCTTTACTTTGTACAACTGTGTCTTCTCGTCCTTCAAAACAGGATGTGTTGACGCGAGATCAAAGAACTTCGCGGCAATCTCGATAGCCTTGAGGTGGTCATTTATGTAGTCAATACTCTGTCGTGTCTCATCACGGTTTCGATGTTTCTGTGTATTCTCGAGCCATTCTCGGTGCGGAGCTTGCGTCCTCCTTTTGTACATGAGCGTGCTGCCAAGTGCCGTCCTGTTCGTGCGCCTGTTCATGTCTTGTCCAGTAACAAACTAATGATCCGAAGGGGAGGAGGTTGGCAATCACCTTATATCCTCTACTTTGCTATAATAATAAGTTGCACATTAATATATGACAATTATGCTCCCAAGAGATCGTTACATAATGTACCAAGAGAAATCCATCATTGCACACTACTGGATTTGCCTTGTTGTTCATTGTGCGGCCGCGCCTCTGAACACACGACTTCATCCTCCTTTCTTTAGAAGTGTGAAAGACGATATGCCATGCACTTATGCAAAGTGCCTCAAGCAGACATGGAAAGACACGTCTTGACTGGTCCCCTCCAGAGAAATCGAAATGGACAGGTAGACATAAAAGTTGCGTATAAAGCGTCGTTATATTGCTTATCCCGTTGCTGGTGAGGCACTGGCAGGACAGATGTTGAGCGCTTGAAGGAGGTGAAGAAATAAGTTCAAACTCCGATGCAAGTCCGACATAGTCAGCACATCCGAGTCCTGTCTGAGTCTCTCGGACATGTGGTCGCTATGACTTCAATAAATGTGTGTTATATTCCTGTGCCACATAGCTCCTCTCTTCTCACCTATTCGTTTCGTGTGGAGAAATTCCAACTAATCTTGGATTCCGTAACACTCTATACTAGTAATCTGTCTTTTGGTGAATCTGTATACACACACAATATGTCTGCTAGAATGCTAGGTTTGATAAACAAATCACATTTAGTGCTCTATTGCGGTAATGGACTACTATGTCAATATGCAAATAAAACATTCTAGTCCTAAGCAATATGATACGTATTCAACTCTGCTTCACTAAGGTGCTAATGATACAAAACCACTATTGAGTTATATTTGCAAATCACTAGAGACATTTCCCCTTGGGTACTGTAGTCGTGATTATTTGCCTTTCATAGCCTCTGCTTCAAGACTCTTCACCTTGTCATACATTTTCTTCAATTCACGACGCGCTTTATCATATTCTCTTCTATTGGATCCCGAAGCAGATGCCTTCGTAGACGCATTTGTGCAAGTCTCTTCTTCATTCCTTCCTCTAAAACGAGTATGCACTTGTTCAGGGAGGAGAAGAGTCTTGAGTTTGTCCGCTGCAACGTATGCATTGTTCCAGATGCTCATTGCCTGGTCATATTGTTTCTCGCTTTCTCTTGACAAGATATGTTCCAAGGCTTGATAGAGTTCTCTGAGGGGGTTATTTATCGCTTCAAGGCCTGGAAGAGTCAACTGCCTCTGTTTTTCTGTGATGTACGTCTCCCACTCATCGCATAACGGTTTGAGTGCTCCTAAGAGCTCAGTCTTGCGATTTTCGAGGTCTCCTTGGGCCGCTGTTAATCTTCCTTGTACTATTGACCGCCTTCTTGCCTCTTGCAATTTCACTGTTTCACCTTGAATCTTTTCCGGCTCCTTATCGACTTTCTTCCGTTGCTCTTTGACCTTTGTAAGAGCTTGTTTGGCATCATGTATCAAGTCTACCTTGCTACGATCCGCAGCTTCTCTGCGATTGAAAAAGCTGCAGGCAATATCAAGCGCCGTGACCTGATCGTTTGCACGGTTAGTGGTCTCTTGTGCGTCGGTAATGTCGCTCGTTCTCGCTGTTTGTGAGGACGCTCCTTTGTCGCGATCATTCGACTTGCTCGGTCTCCCGGCCTGGGATCCCCTAGCGTTGGCACTATCCATGACGTGTTCTGCAATGCGATATTAATAGCTTGGTAAAAGCAGGGCAGTTGACTTCCGCTTTATTTCTACGTGCCTCTTTGCTTCTATATTCTATGAACATATCATAATTTGATGCGTAATCATGCATGCTAGAACATACCTGCAAGAGTGTCTCTGGTTGGACAATGAAAATATGTTCTGCAATTTGTTTGTCGTACTGATTGATAAATTGCCTGGCATGATAGTTTGCACGTACTTATAGGGACTAATGCCATCAGGCGCAGTTTTTTAATAATGCCCAAGCTGAAATAGGCTATTTGGAGAAAGATCACTGCACAATGCATAGTTGTGTGTGATTGATGCGGCTGTGTTCCTGTCTGATCATAGCCTAGAAATACGAAAGAAACATTGCCTTGTAATAAGCTTATAAGGACTGAAAAACGGGGATCAAGCTGCCTGTCCTGAGTCTTTGTAGTCTTGGAAGTCTGGAAACGAAGGTATGAGTCGAAAGAGTCCGGTGTTTCGACACGTACCATGACGTATACCTAGAGGCTGCCATTGGTTTACCGCACCTAGTGGCAGAAGCACATAAATTACATAACGCTCTATGCTGCATTGTTTACATTTAGTCAAATCCAACTGCACTGTCGAGGAAATAATGGATGGGTATGAGATTTCGAGTATTACCAATAACAGAACATCAGCTTTTCCCGTTCCTTTTATCCGCTTCACGCAGAGCCTCCCTTTTCACTTCACTACTCCACTTGAAGAAATTACATCTGTACTGAGAGTTTACTTCTTCTCGTAGTCGCCTATCTTTTCCAGCATCGTATCCTGGTCCTACGGGTCTAATGAACAATACTATGTCAACAAATAAAAGGAAATCTTGATAGGTCGAGTCATACCGAGCGCAAATAAAGAATGCTTTCCCTTTATTAGGGCCAGGTTTGTTCACTGTAAATTCCCTGCAAGCCTCACCATGTACGACGCATTTCGGCGGCTCAATACGTGCGAAGAGTGTAGACCATGTATGCGAATTATTCCCCTTTTCCGTCCGCGACGACCCAGGCACAGTCACCGGAGGCGATAATTGCACTTCTGACTGAACAGTTAAAGCGTCCGAATCGTTCAGAAGTGCATCAACATCAATGACTTCCGACTTTTGTGATCGGATTGGACTTTCTTCTTCCTTGTCATCTACGTCGGCCTGGCTTTGCGAAGACGTCGGGCCAGAGAAGAAAGAAGACAGTTTCATCTGGGCAGTCGTACTTTCTTTTCCTTTTAACTTTGGGGCGGAGTTACCCTTCTTTGATTTCTTGGGTGCTTGTGCAGGGTAGTTACTGTCGGCTTGCATTTTTTTACGTTTCAGAGGTGGTGCAGCCTCCGCAGCCACAGTTGCAGAGCTAAGCGATCCATTCGAATGAGGGTCATTGGTAGAGGATATGATGGTGAGATTTGATGAAGTGGACGACCTCGCTATCTTTTCTTCGGGTACAGGCGGAGGAAATATAGCCTCTTGGTTATACGACTTGGATTCATCTGCCTTTGATATTTCGCGGGACTCAATCTCTCTCGTTTTCCCAGAATCTGTGGTTGCAGGTGTAGAAGCGACTGTACTCGACTTCCCAGACGCTGGACGGATAGAAACGGTTGAGGCAATCGCCAAATCCGACTCTGAAGCTGTTGCAGCTTTCTTTCCGAAGAAACTCGACAATACTTGTTGTTTGCCTGAATATTCCACCCAGAACTTGGTTGCCAGTCTCGGCGGATCGCGTTTTTCGCCATTCATCTTGAGCATATCTTTTAAGTACAGTGTGTCGCCGCCTTCGTCCGTAATTTGGTCGTGTAGGTCAATATATACTGGGCAATGGTCAGAGCCCTTCACGTGGGCTTGGATATCACCATGCTTAAACCATGGTAGTAGACCCTTAGTGAGAAGGAAATAGTCAATCCGGGTGCCGTAGTTAGTTGTCCGAGCGTCTATCTTCTGGTTCCAACCTGTGAACACATTGATCATTAAGCCGTGAAATTCAGTGAGCAATGGATCACTTCATACTTACAGGTATACATTCCCTTTCTTTCCGGCCAACAGTTCCGTACAATATCGTACATGGGACCTATAGGATGAAGCCACTCGTGAAACCATTTTCGCGCTGGATGTACCCAGAACTCTTCCTTGTTACTCGGAAGCTCACCGTCGCAGTGATCGATAGGGGCAGCACAGACATTAATGTCTCCAACGACAATAACCTCCCGCTTGTCGACCTCCGTAAGTAGGCGTACCCGCTCCTGAAGCAAAAGGTGAAAATTCATTTTATATGGCAGCCGAGCATCCGACGTTTCGTTGGGACAATAAACGTTGATGAGAACGAAGAGTCCGAAATCGAGCATGAGAGCCCGGCCTTCCTTGTCTAATTCTATTAGATCCATATGTGTCTTTGATGCTTCATCTTCCAAAAGTACCATCTCATGTGCGTCCGGAATGACTTGAGATATTCGCTCTTCTGCGGATAAAGGAGGCTTCAGCCCAGACTGTAAGCGTCCCGAGATGCCTTCTTCTGCCTTGAGCGGCACAACCCGCGAAGACTTGGTACAGACGCTGACACCACTGTAACCTCCTTTTATAGCGGGGAAGGAAAAGAAAGCATCGTAGGACTCTGGCAGAGCGACACTTTTGTCTATGGTTTGACGCGTGGATTTGACCTCTTTAGCAAGGACATGGATTAGGAATAAGCACTTCAACACGTGTCGTTACGCACCTTGGAAGCAAATAATATCCGCACCTAGCTCATTGAGGATACCGTCTCCAGACTTGAGTGTGTTCCAACTAAACGGAGACATAAAGGTTGAGTATTATAGTATACTTATGATCATGCTCGGGTGAGACGCGTACGGATGATACTGTGGAAGAGTGCGAATTCCGTTCTAAACGAATATAGCACGTAAGCCACATAAGCATAGTCTTTCTATATCTGGTGACTCACTATGTTCCATGTGAGCAACCTCATTGCAAGGCATGGCAAACAAACGGAAAACGATGGTAGGCAAAGACGAACTTCGCGACGCGACCTGTGTAACCGCGTTCGCGTCTTGGGCGTTCAATGAGCGTCACGTGCACTTTTTGCTAGTGATTTTCTTGCAGTCTCCTGAGTCTTGCCAGTTACCTTTGAGCAATGCGCCCAAGTATCTACAGACCGCTGCTGGCGAGTGTAGCTAGTAGCAGCTCGAGTGCACCGTCAGTGTGCTCCAGAGTTGCCGTTCAAACTCGGCTTGCTTCCGTACAGCAAGGTAGGTTTACTGCTCTCGTGCTATTTTCATATCTAACTGTATGGCCAACAAAGCTTTCTCTGGTAGTGGACCGAATAGAAGAAAAAAAGACAAACCAGTGCGAGAGAAAGTAGCAGGTGTAAGTAACGTTCAAATGTATTTGACCGAATTTGTCTAACTGGTGCGGAATACAGGCCTTTCTGCCGCTGCCCCCAAACCAGGTAGAATCTTTCGGTGGTCATGTTGAGACCGGCTTGGCTGAGCTTCCGGTCATCGAGAAGGTATTGCTATGCCAATATCAACGTCTTCAAGCTGCTGATATTTGCAATAGGGAGCCTATCCTTCAAAATATCTCGGAAAGGCCATTCGCTTCTCTCCCTCAGACGGTGCCATGATGAAAACATTCGGACTTCCAAGAAATGTGCTTGTGGATGTACGTATCGCCAGACTTTCCGCACTTTGTTGTTATGTTGTGAACGCTCTCGTCAGTTCCGACTATTATCAGCACCGTGTTCAGTGTCACGAAGAACGACTCAATCTATCGCAAGGAGGTTAGACCTGGCAGCCAAAGGATCAAGTCTTAACGACCGCCTCGTCATGAGTAAGTGGTATGGAGAGCTCAGCTGCATAGTTTCTGACTTGAACTAGCTGGTCCGGCTGGTTGCGGGAAGAGTTATTTGATGCTACAAACGGTTTCTTATGCTTTGGCTAACGAGTGGATAGTCATGTACATTCCCAGAGGTAATTTACTTAAAATGTGCCTATAGGTGTAGCTGATATTCCATAGCTCATAAGCTTGTCGATTCGTCAACCACCTACTTCTACGACGCTCGAACCCAGACCTATTTGCAACCAACTGCTTCGAACCAAATACTACAGCGATTCCTAAATGTGAACAAAAAAATCATTGACCAAATGAAAGTCACTAAAGAGGTGGTCTTCGAGAGGCGAGCTTCAGTTCCTGTTGGAGAACCACTGCTGTCACTCTTTGCTATTGCTGCTTCCGAGCAGCATCTCGCTCCGATGATTCTGTCCGTTGTTCTTGAAGAACTCGGAAAGCAAGAGAAGTTAGCTCCTATTTGATTTCTTTGTGTTGACGTAGCTGACATGGTATCGATACACCGATAGGTTCCCAGTCCTTCTTGCCGTTGATGAGTTCCAGTCATTGTATTGCAAAACGGAGTACCGCAATCAGCATTACGAGCACATTAAGTCCTATCACTTGTCACTGCCAAGGCTGGTAATGGAATATGCGAGTGGCAAGCGCGTTTTCGTGAGTTAAATATTCTTCCGTGATACCGCAGTCAAAATCTCATTTTCGTGATCCCATGGCTTCAGAACCGAGGAGCTGTGTTAGGCGCAGTATCACAAAGTCTCACGCAGTATCCGTTTACTCCGGAACTTCAGACAGCACTCGAACGAGACAAATCGATTGACCCGTATACGAAACTCATCCCAGGCATGGTCGAGTATGCTCAAGGCTTAAAGGCGCTTCGAGTGCCCGACAAATTGGAATATGCGGAGGCGGCAGCTATGTTTGAGATTTGGATGAAGGACAGAGCTTTACACTCAGGTGAAGTTGCCTTCGTATGTCCTGTAACAGATGGCTAATTGCATTTTTTTCCCATGTAGATGCTTATGATGAGTTGTTCTTGTCAAAGTACAGCGAATCATCTGGGAATGCACGAGATTTCGTTCATGGAGGGCTGTTAGCCACGCAAACTTCATAATATTAATATCCTAGAATATATACAATGTTATTTCATAATATTTCAACGCACATTTGAAACACTTATTTTGAATACTTTCTACCGCTCATCCTTGCATTTGGCTGTTCACCTTCTTTCAGTGAAGACGAAATTTCTCGCGGTTTTTGTAATAATTAAGGCATTGATGCAGGGCCATCACGAAAAGTGACAAGGCTAGCATCGGCTTAACCGCACTAGCTCAACACAGCCATGCTCTCACCGAAAGGCAAGCACAAGTTCGTGCCACACAGCACGCAGCAGGTCACTTACGCTGGGCGATGATCCTATATACATCTGTCTGTATATAATACCTCTCCACCGTCTTCCTTCACCTTCTTTACACTTCTCGTCGCCTCGTCGCCGTCACTGTTTCCGCTGTTGCCGTTGGCCACGATGAGTCTTGACCAAAATCTCTTCACATTGAATATCACTCCTCGCGAGGGCGACCCGTTGGTCACGGAGCTCATCGATCCCTCGGGAACTGCTCATTATCGGAAAGTTCGTACACAGAACGCAGGAGGGCTGTATGAGTTTAGTTTATTCGGTGAGCATTTGAATATGTCCTGAGACACGACAAAATGAATCATGTATCGTGTAAACCTAATCAGAGCCACTTTACGAGTCATTGCTCGCAACGGTGACCGCTCCGAGTGCTACGAGCAAGCATAAGACAGTCGAGCTGCATAATCCATCGGTTCCTGTAGAATTGAAATATACTGGGACTTTGTATGCTTTACTTACCAAAACCGTACTGCTTTTCAAATCTGACCAAAAACTACCACTTTTAGCACCTTTCGTTGGTCGTTCAAGTGGGAAGAGTGCGTGTTTCTCATACTACTGTGCAAATCCATTGGCTGATGGTGACCGTAGACATGAATTTGAATGGAAGCGGGAAGAATGCTTTCTCATTCGTAAACCCGATCCTCCAGTGCTAGTTGCGATAACGAAAGAGCCTCCGGGAAAAATAAAGACGAAGTCGGTTCAAATACTTGATTATAATCTCCAAAGGTCCGTAAACCAATATCACCCTAACCAAATCATTGTCTAACTCGACTCGTCCCTTCATTCCGTAGATTCGATATCAATGACCGGAAGGGCCTTGAAATAGTCCTTCTCTCGGCTTTGTTATCGTTCCAAGACTACTCGGAGGATATACACGGTCGGAAAGAAGATAGTACTTCGAGTACACCTTCGCTTTTGGGTACACCCGCCACGAAGACTTCAAAGACTCCGGAAGTTACCTCTCCACCGCCTGAACTGCCACCGAAACCACAAAAGACAGGAGTTGAGAAAGTTGCTGAGATGCAGACAGGAGAGTTAGGGGAAGTTACGGTTGAGGCAGACGGCCTGGCTCAGGATTACGCACAGTACTGTGCAAACTTGCTCGAGGTTCGTCGCTATATGCCACTTCTTTGAATTCTTTACTTAATGACGCTTGTATCGTTACTATAGGGAGAAGAGACGTTCTTCGTGATACTTCGTTCTTCATCAGCCCTCACTGTGCCCAAAGTTCTAGAAATTGCACACCAAACGAAGCGCATTCGACACAAACAAGGTTTAGATGAGGAGCTTTATCAATATGTTCAATACGATACCGAAAAGTCTACGGGCAAGAAAGGACCACGTATCATCAAGCTGGATGATGATGCGGAAGAAAAAGATCGATATAAGCCTCCCGAGAGCTTGACAGTACATCTAAGCAAGATACCGTTACCTGAACTTCAGCCAAAGGTAAAGGAGAAATCAAAGGAGAAAGGGAAGAATAAGGACAAAGAGGCCAGCGATGAAGACCTTAAGGAGGATAAATCAAAGGCCAAGAACAAAAGCAAAGAGAAGGAGGAGAGCGAAAAGGAGCGTAAGAAGCGTGAAAAGGAAGAAGAAAAGGAGCGACAGAGGAGGGAGAAGGAGAACAAGAAGAATAAAAGGAAGAATCGGGCAAGGTCTCTGGATCGCGACGAGCGAGGTGCGATGAACAGCACGTTAGCGAAGCCGCCGCCACCGCCTCAGCCAAACGTCCACATCCCTCCGCATATGGTCCATCCCAACCAGCCCTCTCCGTCTCCTTCACAGCTGAATAATCCAATGGTCTATGCTGCCCCCACACCGGTCCCGCCAAGGCCACCTCTACTGTCCCCCCAAGGTCACTACCCAACATATCCTACATATCCGACTCACCTTCGCACAGGACCTTCTCCACAACCTCCAATGAACTATCCCATACAAAGACCCGTCTCTGCGTACGGGCCATATCTCGGCCCTCCTCAGCACCCTCCACCGCAGCAACGAGCGCAGTCTCCCGGCTCCGGCGTAACTGGACTGCTAGACAAGCTAAAGTCATGGTAATCTTGTCTCGACACGTCTCTTTTGCAATATTTGATTACCTTTCATCTTCGGACTTCCACCTTCGTCTAATTGATTATATTGGATGGCAATAAATACTGTAGATTCAGTTAACGGAAGGAATATTGTATACCATAGTAGACCATACAATGATGCATATTAAAAAATGAAAAACCAATGCGTTTTGTTTCGTCCGATGCAGTAGCCGAGACCGTGTGCTTCTGCCGATCACTCGGCTAGATGTTAAAGGTAGTTAGAGCAACTGTCACGCACTTTCCTTTCTCTAACCCTATTCATCAAGTGTCTTTTCGCAGCCGGTGAGGTCCTCGTTGCTGCTTTCGGGTTGTGCTGAATTGGTCTAGGAGGTCCAGAAAATATCCATGTCTCGTAGGTGCCTTGCATCGGAATCTCTATGATTGACTCAAAATTCATCAAGACAGTGCGATGAACAGTGTCGCCATCGACTCGCCGAGTTAGGGACAAGTTTCTTGATCTGTTAATTTCAGTGCTCAGCCTCTAGATGCGTACTCCTTGCATCACTGTTCGGTCTGTTCGTTCCTAGGCAAGGCTTGCTAGTAGACAGACTGCTCAGTGATGTCTTCACACAGTTGCTTGGTAGAAGGATGCTGCGCATCATGCACAGCGTCATAGTTTAACTATATACGCGCAGGGTTTCCTAGGCCCTGTTGTTGCTGGGCGATCGGAATGACTTGCTGATGGTGGGAGGTCATACCACCCTTCAGGACTATCAACACGAGAAGCGTATAAGAATATACGTGATATCTGTGAATGCCGAATGCAAGATCTCTCTTGAAGACGAATGAAGAAACCGCCTTAGCTCCTCCCTATTGAACTCCGACTTGACTCATGGACTTCTAGTCTAATGGCGTACGCCCCAGGTGCTGTAATGCCTGGACTCCGTTTTCCCATCGTTACAAGGACCTGCGGCGCCGGAGCACGGCTATCTCTTGGAATTGCTTGCGGTCAGCGAACGGACGGATCGTTGCTTTGCGTTGCATCGCATCGATTTCGCCTCTGCGACCGCATCCATGAGCAGTACCATCGTCAACAGGGGGACGCCACTATATCTTTCAATAAGGTGAAAAAAGAAAAGCCAACAATTGATAAAATCAGGTATCCCGGTCGACCGGTATTCACCATCCTCGTTGCAACAAACTTCTCGATGTCCGAACTTCTTCCTCACATACCCCTGGGCGTCTGTCCACACATCCACATCTCCCACACATCCCACATATCGAAGTTGGCGTTCATAGATGTGGAATGTGTGGCTTCTAGCTTCTAACTTCTTTTAACTTCTGAGTTCTGATTTCGTGTCTTCACGCGAGTTAAGTCCACATAATCAGCACGCATCACTTTACTTTGAGTGGACATCCTTGTTTTTCCTTGTGCTTCTGTCTTTTAGTTTCGATGCTTCGATGGCTTCGCGCGCGTGTTCGGAACGCAATGCGGATTGATCAGTCATGATCATCAATATCCTCCTTCGAATCCAAAGTTCAGAACTCAACAGGAGGGAGGATGGGATAGATGGGTAATCTGGACGCGAAGGATGGCGTTCGCCTCATTTAGACTGAATCACTGTATGGGGAAAGGCGAAGCTTTCATGATGTTCGTATGAATAGCTCTATATGTGCGTGGGTTACTGTGCGAAGAGATATCTCCAAATGATATGGAAAGAAGCCCACATAGCCCTGAGCAACGTTTCAAGTCAGGTCTGGGAGAGAGAACGATCCGGTTTTTCTCTCAGCCTCGGAACTCATCTGCATTTTGTTCCCCGAGCACGTATTGAACTCATCAGCTTTTTCAATATCACCCCGACTTTGAACTCAGCTGTCCTAAATTTGTTGATTTGATTGTACGTGTCTTGTCCTCGTCAGCACTGTTGACTACAAACCGGATGAAGCGCGTTTGGACGGGAGAACTCTCGTGTCTGTATTGTAATGTGTTTTAAAGTTACTGTTGCATACAAGTATTATGGTTAGGTTTTGAAGTTGTAGATCACTTCACAGAATGGGTATTATTCATACATATTGTATACAAACTCCGAGCCTCCAATAGGCGGATTTATAATTACTTCAGATATATAGAATCTTCGTTCATCTTTCCGATTCTTTATATCTATATCCGTCTCGACTGATAACAAGATGAAATGAGAGACGAAGAGAGGTGAGACGAGTAATCAACCGAGCCATCGCAACCGCAACCGCAAAGAACCACATCCGTAGTAGGCCAATCACTATCAGCGCTAAACGCCGAGACAATGCGACCCTACACTACAAAGCCACAAACACGAATGCATTCTCGTAAATCTGATTACTTTTCTTCCTAACGTTCCGGTCAACGTATCTCCAAGCAGGCGCTATATAAACGCGGAAGTACACGTGAAATCAATCCGTTCTTCCAAATACACATATGAACACTCAGATAGAAGCGCACCTGCATATATGCGCTTTCTTAACTTAAGCTTCTCTTCGCAAATATAGGATACATGTTCCCTGAAGCGTGTTAAATGGAAGCCCTACGCCTGAATGTTTGAAGGGTGGATGGTTGCATGGAAGCGGCGGTGTTTATTTGCGGGGGTGGCACAGAATGGATCTTCGGTTACGGTTGAAGTGAATGGTTTCACCCGTTTTATTTGTAGTTATTTGGTAAAGCAGTCGTTAGTTAATGAGCATACATAAATTGCGAGAATGTATTGTACAATGTGGGCTGCAGAATCTACATGAACAGAAGGCAAGGAAAATACACAATAAAGATGTCGGAGAGTGCAAATAGCAAACTAGGAAGACCCATTCCAACACTAGAGGTACCAATTACAAGACGGACATGAGACGTGATTGCCATATAGGCGAATAAAGAATTATGCGTGTATCATAAGGCAAAAGAGTGTAATATAGTGCTAAGAAAGGATGGCAACGCACCAAAGCAATGTATCACGGAAAGACAAAAATAATGAAACAAGACAAAATTACGCCGCACAGGTCACTTCAAACAAACTGTGCCAACTATCAGATCGGCTCTCTGTCTCTAGGCTTTCGTCGCGCATATCAATGAAGCTTGGCTCTTCAGTTGGATGCCAATCAATATGCACTTCGAGCCGGGGTTTACGCTTCTGCGAGGGCCGTCGTGTACGAGCTTCCTGTACGAGTGTATGCGGGTTACTGCTCCCGAAGTCGGAGACAGTGCGAGGCCGGACACGTGCGTTTAAGTTCGACACACCAAGAGAAGTTGCAGCTGTTTTGGATGGACGATGATCGCGAGAAGATGGTTTTGTGGAAGATGATACTGAGGAAGAAGATGCCGGGGCATCAAGAGGATGGAGGTGAGCAGGAGGGTGCGTCGAGGTTCGTTTTGGGAAGGAGTACGTTTCGAAAGATTCTTTCGAAATTCGAGGGCTGTATGAACGCTTTGATCGCTTCGGCTTGCGCGAGGCGCAACTGTCATCTGACTGAGGTGAATCTGGCTGGAGTAAGGAAGGATTGGGTAGCAAGTCCAATCCAAAGATTTTGTCGACCTCTGTGTCGATATCTCCATCCACTTCTCCCCCGAAAAGCACGCCCCATGCATTCTGACGAGGTGTCAAGTGATACCATGGCTGTCCGTTGATAGACACAGAAAGGCCACGATTGTCTGAGGCCTGGCTTCCGCTCGAAAGAGGCGACTGATCTTCGTTGCTCTCCGATAAATCTTCGACAATAACATTCATGCTCCTTCCTCCAGACAGAGTCTCCGCCTCTTCATCCTCATCATCTGAAAGGCTCATAAAGTTCTGCGAAAGCCGAGGCTTCAACCTCCCAACCGCACCATCTGCACCTCGACCCTCTAGTCGTTTCAGAGCATCCGAACGCTGGGCTCTCCTGTATCTCGTCGAGACAGTTGACGATCGGCTAAGCACGTCGGCGGACATGATCGATTTGTCCGAAGTTGCGTCGATCTCTACAGGGCCGGAATGAAGGAGCGGCGGAGACGGATCGGCAAAGCGCATAGGCGACAACTCCCTCCGAAGAGTAGTTGGAGAACTGGGGAATGCAAAGCTTGCGTAGCGTGGAGACGGGGCATGAATGGTCGTAGGTAGCCGCTGTGTGCTAGAAGACGGTTCCGGTAATAGTGACCGATGTGGGTCTGGGAGGCTGTTCGCTGATATTGGGCTACCTGGAGGCGAGGCAGGAGCAGGTGGAGAGAACATAGGAATAAACCTAATCAATACAATTAGGACGCGCCAGACGGGGATGATTACTGGAAACTTACGAATGGTTAAAGGTTGGTGAGAACGCAGATGAGCTCGCCTGCCGCCTACGGTCGTTTGAAGGAAAGAGTACGCTTTCTTTTCCCTTCAGACTAACGGACCGCAATGACTGGGACTCTGCGAGATCAAGTGAGAGGAAAGAGCGGTGCTCTGCATGATTGCGCTTCTTTTTGAAAGTGAAGTAAATAGGTTCGTCGGTCGATAATAATGACTCCAAAGTTTCGTGACCAGACGAGCTTGGAGCTGGCTGTAAGCCAACAGGATAGTCGGACAGTTCGGGAAGTTCATCCATAGGAGGCAGGCTGCCACGGCGTGGACCATAATACTCTGTTGCCCAAGGGGTGGAGGTGCACGACGGCGAGGAGCCCTCAGACAGTAAACCGCATCTAAACAAGTTTGAATAGTTTGAGAATGCCATATCGCAGGCGGAAAAAGGACGAGGAGGAAGGAGGAGCAGACGCGGGCAGCAGTCGGGAGGAATGTACAGACCAGACGCGCCCGCGGAGGTCATATATGAGCACTGCACAACTCGGCAAGGGTCGATCAGCGTCTGTCACATCACGGTTATTTTTTTACACATTTGCTAGCCTCATTTGGGGTATCGCTCAATTGTCGTGCGCGCATCCGACCGGTATAATGTCCGGCGATTCCCTCCCATGTCCATCGGGTCGCACTTGTTTCACCTTTGTATGACAACGCGAGAAAAAACGCCAGAAGGTTCAGAAGCCAGCCCACGATGCAGACCGTGAGGCAGCTCGTGAGCTGGAAGTCGTTCATTCGCGTTCACAAAATTATCCAACAGCCTTCCTGTCACCTCACAGCGCCTTTTGTTCGATGCCCCTCAATTACGGTCTAAGAAATAGCACGAAGAATTCTCAGCCGGTTCTTACCCTGCACACTAGACCATCATGCCATACCGCCGCCTCCATCCGGTCCAGTGCCCGCCGAGTTAGCCTCCTCCGCCCGTGCCTTCTTGATGAACTGATTGTGATGAAACCGGTGCGCTTCGATCAACGCTGTCCCGCCCCATCCAGCTCAGTCGAGAGCACTGTCGTACCATTCGTCGGCGCCCTGACCCGCCCGCGTCGCTCAGGCCTCGCAAATCACTACCATCACATTTTGCTTTTACTCCTTTCGTGAACAAGAAAATGCGAGCACATAGCGCAAAGTTCTCGGTCACTGCCTTTGTGGTGTCTCCAATACTCCGATCGCCGTTGAATGGTTCGGAGTCGCTATAGGCGACACCGTGATTGATCACAAAAAATGTAAACCATATCAGACCATAGCGCGGAGTGGCTTATTGACCTCGCAACTCATGGCTACAGTTGCTGTTAGCCGAAAAACCTTCGAACTGAGCCAAGGATACATGATTTTATTTTTCAACCCTGCGCCTCAATGCTCTACATCTTAGCGCTGTTCGAGTCGAAGATCTTGATACAGCAGTCTGCGCCATATGGACTTGCAGACGATCCACCACGTTGATCAGACACGGGTATCCGTATCGCAAATCGTTTTCGCTTCCTATACGTACCGTCAGCGTCTTATTTTTCAGCCAACTCTTGGCTTGAAATGCAGTCTACTCGATTCTCGACGTCACGGATGCATATCGCTTCGTCATCATCCTGGACTAACAGTTATCTCTCGGACTTTCTGCCGACCTCCCACTTGCTTAAATGTAGTAAGGCGCGTAAGATAAACGGACCGCGAAAGCCACGTTTGTCTCGTTGAAGGTCTCGGACCGACTCGAGTCCCGGCTTTTAATTTATCGGCATCGACCAGATCCAGCGAAGATGTTGGTGTCAACAATCTGTGGTCTCACATCGACAGGGCTAGATTCGCCCAGGTCTTCCTTTGTCAGTCTGGTTCGACCAAATTTCTTTCCTTTCCTTTGTTCGCATGGTACCTATGCACCTTGAAAAATATTGTTAACTCAGCTGTCACAGTCCTTCAGGCAGCTGAATACAAATTCTGTATACTAATAAACCGGAAAGGAGAAATTGATTCAAATTTGAATCACCTGCTCGCTTTTTCTGATGGATACCAAGCGACGTTCATAATTAACGGAAGTACGTTAACAATGGGTATGTCCCTTTATTTAACTGTTAGTTTCGCCGTTTTCCTTCCCTTTCTCCCCTTTCCTCGCAACTTCCCGCTGATTGACGGGTTAAGCCGTCATTAATCGAAGTAAACTGTGAGCCACAGATGTTGCGAAGAAAATACGTCCTACACCCTACTAAACCTGATGTCTAAAGCGAGTAATGGTGTTAGTACCACAGGATTAATTCTGTGACTAACTATTCCTGGTTGTCAAACTCAGGGGACAATTCAAGTCAAGGCATAATTTTGAGACACGAACTATGCTAACCCTCACAACCAAATTGCAGTTGCTTGGTTTTCATCAAATTCACGCTCAAGTTCTAGTGCCTGTTTCTCTTCTTTAGTTTACTTTATTGTGTCAGGTGAATGTATTTGTGCTGACTGCTCGTGTGATTTACATGTTCTTCGTATCCTTCTACCTACTTGAAACACACAGCAAGGTCACTCATACAATAAACAGTAAGATTTCATTTGTAGATCTTGGAAAGCTGTACAGTAACGTCTGTCTATGTATTGAGTACTAGTAATGCCTGTGAAACCTGCACACCATGTTGAGATTCACATGGCCAAATATCATTTGGATTCATGTATAAAAATTGTTGAACAAGATTGTGGTTGTCATTTATTGCACGTGCCGAGATTTTTTCCGTAAATAGTGAAAGAACGGATATGGTAAAAAGATCGCCATTATGATACTATGGTTGGTAAACTGTTACTGCCAAGAGCCAGAGTGTGCCCTGGCTTTTCAGCAGTTCCATACTGGTACTGTTTATCGAGTGCAGTTGATGTACAAACATGTGCTGCAGCAAAATCAAAACAAATTTATGTCTCGACTGTACTTGGAACGCATTTAGTGCATGAATGTCTGAGATGCAACCGGCTATTTTGTGCAGAATGTAATTTGCACAATCGTGCTTCCGAATTCAGGCAGAACGAACTGTTTTGCAATTTCTATTATAAATCGCGGTTTCAGGTACACATTGCAGTCAAGCCTGCCGAAGGTAAAAATGACACAGAGCCGTGCGAATGTTATACCATTATTGATACCTCTACTCACATTGTTACGAGGCATGACAGCAATGTTGTGCCCGCCCAAGACGATGACGCTCTTGAACGCATACCTCAACGCATACTTAAGAGAATGGACTTCTCTCGTGCGATTTGTAACCTGTTGACGGCCCTTCTTGCTGATATTGCTTGTAAATGAACTGAAGAGTATTCTTCGTCATCGGAAACATGCTGCTTCAAGTTATCGTACTATTCCTCTGTTCTATCATCGCGCAAGTCAACGCGTCTATGAGCAATGGACCTCAGAGAAGGGATGGTACTTCTAAGAAGGCTGGGCTGGGATGGGATGAGTGGAACAATACCGACGCTTCACAGTATACGGGTCCCAAGATCGGATGGTGCGTGTATTTTAATCAATTTGATGCATAACTATATGATATGATATTGAACGTCTTGATATACAAAGGTATTACACGTGGTCGCCCTGGTATGTGAAGGCGAATGTGGAATTCGTCCCCATGTTTCGGGCGAAGGACCAACTCAGTGACTTCCAGAAGTCGATCAATGCGACGATTTCTAGTAAGCAGGTCAAAGCCGTCCTTGCGTTTAACGAGTAAGTCTCGTTACAATACTCCTCCTACTAGTGCATCTTCATAACTGACCTTCCGCAATCTTTTTTTCGCAATGACCTCGATATTTAGGCCAGACCAATCTAGCCAGGCACACATGCCAGAAAGTGAAGCTCTAACATATTGGAATGAACACATCTTACCTCTGAAGTCCCAGGGAGTACGTATCGGCACACCTGCGGTTTCAAGTAACCCGAGTGGGAAGCAATGGTTTCAGAATTGGTGGAAGTTATGTAATAATCAGTGCCATCCAGACTTCCTTGCTGTTCGTGAGTTATCTTTAGTTTCAACTAAAAACGACAAACAGCCAAACTGAAAACCGCGAATTCGATCGGTGTAGATTGGTACGGAAATAACGCAACGGAATTCCAGCACTACCTTGAAGACTTTCATTCCTCCTTCGGCAACCTCCCCGTCTGGGTTACAGAATGGGCCGACAAGGTCAGTTAGCCTCCTTCCGTTTCTCCTTTTCACCTATATGGAGCATAAAATCCATACTCATGTTCTTCCCTTTCCTTCCAACAAAAATCGTCATTATCCTCGTTTGTCTATATAGAACTTCAAAAACGACACACAACCTTCAGTATCCGAGGTCGCCGACTTCCTCACCCAAACAACATCTTACATGGATAAGACGAGTTGGATAGAGAGGTATGCATATTTTGGTACTACGAAGAATCTGCGTGATGTGCCTGCCGTACGTGTCTCCCTTCCCACTTTCCTCATTTGACGCACGATGATTTAAATTTCTCTGCTTTTATTGATTCCGGGATGACAGAGCAATGCTATGATGGACAAAAATGGCAAGATCACAGCCCTCGGGAAGCAGTACATTGGTGGATCGCCTGGAAGCACGGAGACGGCTCAGACGACCCAGACAAGTCACACCAAATAATAGGCGTATTATATTCGTAGACAGCGGGAACAACAAGGTTGTTCGCTTGTCTGATGCATTTGGATATCTATGTCTCCTGATAACCTCTTCTCATCGATCATGATGGTTCCAATACAAGGATATATCGATCTATACCCAACGATATCCGTACAGCCATTCATTCATTAGTTGACTACACTTGCACTATATACGATTAATAGATAAGGACATGCTTATATATAACTAAATCCCTCCCTGATGCTTGATTAATAGACAAAATGCCATTGACTTAATAAGTTTGAACAACGCAAAGAAAAAGCAAAGGCTTTGATTATTCGTGAGTAAAAGCTGTATAGGTTGCATCAAACTCGGACAACGGCGAATAAAAAACACGCTCGGATAAGGCGAACAAATCCCTTTGTACATGGTCCATTAAATGCCAATGTTCGGGTTTGTCGAGTGAACTCATTTGTGGGAACATTGCAGCAGGACTTTGTGGAAAGTATGAGTTTCCATTTGGGAGTTGCTTAAGAAGTAAAAATTTACATGACTTGTGGTCCACACTGGCAGGAAAGCTGGCTGAGACTGATATTTTTTTTAATTTAAAAAGTGTCTGACGTGAAGGAACCAGTTCATTTGCATTGGTTGCTTACATCCTTGGGTAAGCAGATGGTCGTATTTGTATTTCACGTGCCGAAGTTTTTGCTATAAACGGTAAGAATGGAAATGGCAAGAGATTCGCACATAACAAGTAACCTCAACTCAACTTGAACTTCCACGTTCAAGCTCCAAGTTCTCTCACATATGCACAGAAATGCTTTCTTCCCAGAAAATTTGTCCCAAAATGCGTTATTCTAATGATACATCGTCACTGCCAAGGCAAAAGGTGTTTGGACTACGTCATCAACTATTTTCACGTTATTGATTAGGTGGAGTCGCCGCACAGGAAAATTAATGCATGCACCACTGCAGGTATGGAACATATGTATATCAGATCTATTTAAGTGCAAGCATATTTCCTGTACCAACCGTCAACACAACCTGCATTTGCCGACTGCTTATCTCTAAATGAGCTGAAGATCGTTTGTCCTGAGCTATGCTGCGTCAATTTATCTCGTTACTCGTCTGTTTTGCCATCGGTCAAGTCAAGTCACTTCCGCGTACTGGGCCTCAGCAAAGAGGTGTTACTTCTTCGTCTAAGGCTGGGTTGGCATGGCCTAACGGAAACGCTGATGATATTACGCAATATACGAGCACTGGCAAGGTTTCGTGGTACGTGCATTTCTCTCCGGATTTGCGTGTCTATTGATGCAACTTACTGTAATACTGAATGCCTTGATTTTACTAAGGTACTATACATGGTCACCAAACCCTACGGGCGCAGATTTGGAATTCGTGCCGATGCTTTGGGGGACAGACCAAATCGATGCGTTCACGTCTACAATCAACAAGACAATTACTAGCAAACAGGTTACTGCCGTCCTCGCATTTAACGAGTGCGTCATTTCACGTTATAGTTATTCCTGTGCACAGTCATAGCTAACCTCATCCTCATCTTCTTTTTGCGTCATTACTTCTTGGCGAAATGATGATAAGGCCACAACAGCCTGCGCAGTCAAACCTCACGGTCGAAGAAGGCGCACAACTATGGAAGACATACATCGAACCTCTAAAGGCACAAGGTCTACGTCTGGGTACACCTGCCCCATCGAGTGCACCGAGTGGGAAGACCTGGATACAAGGTTGGCTGAGTGCGTGTGCAGGAGGTTGCAATCCAGATTTCATTGCCCTTCGTGCGTTACATTCTTACATTGTTTAGAATTGATGAGTAGTTGACTTGAAAGCCAATTTGTAGACTGGTACGACATTAATGCAACGCAGTTCCAGCTTTACCTCGAAGACTTCCACAACACGTTCAATCTCCCTATCTGGGTTACGGAATGGGCTGATCAGGTCCGTGTCCCGTTTTCCGCCTCCACCTTCCACTCTCTCTCTTTACTAACTTCGTTCATACTGTAGAATTTCAATAACGGACCACAACCTTCATCTTCAGACGTCTTCTCATTTCTAAACCAAACGCAAAGCTTCATGGACGCGACGGAGTGGGTGGAGAGGTATGCTTGGTATGGCGTTATGGAGAACCTGAACGGTGTTGACCCTGTGCGTACTCTTCCTTACTAACCTGCTCAGTAAAAAAATCTGATATATAAATGTACCTTTCTACTCGTTTAATTGGATTGTACGATGATAGGACAACGCAATGATGGACTCAAACGGGAAGATCACAGCGCTGGGGAAACAATACATCGGCGAGACCTCAGGAGGTTCAAGCTCTGGCTCAGGCCCGACGATAGTCGGTTCTGTACTTCCTCGTTCACTCATACAAAGAACGACGTTGTTGCTGCTGTTTGCCTCACTACTCGCTACACTACTTCTGGCACTTTAGGACGTTCCATACGACACTTCAAGAGTCTTCTTTTGCATGGACACGTTGAACTACAAGAGACAATATGTATACCCAGAGATACCCAACCAACGATTTCTTATCCATCTTGTCTATAATACTGGACACAGACGTACGGACTGGAGGGACTATATAGGCAACTAAACGGACTTTATATGCATGTAACTGTATATACCCCCATCTTTGTGTCTTGTTAATAAACGGAATATGAAGTACCAATTCATTGAGCTGGATTATGACAGCGAAAGCAAAGGCAAAACGCACAATCTATGATTACCCATGAACATGAGTTGTATGTAGCTTCAAGTATGGTAAAAAAAGAGCGAATAGACTAGACTAGAAAGCTTATAGAAAGCAGTACAGGTACTTCCAGGATCAAAAATCCAACAAGCGAGAAAACGTGAAAATTTGAAATAAAAAGGAAAAGAAGGGGATGGGAGCGAGCGAAGGAAGTTAAAGAAGCAAACACATACACCATATTATACCTCATCGTACCATACCACACCACTCAACCTATTTATCTAACCCTCTAATTGGAAAAGTCAAGCATTCGGCTCATCAAACCCACTCAAACTTCTCACACCCTCAACAAGTCTCCGATACTCATTCAACAACTCAGGTATCTCCGACATCCTCAAATCATCCGCGCTACACTCGAGGAAACGACGACTGGGTGGAGGGAGCGGGGTAAAGGAGCGGCGGTGCAGACTGGTGCTGGTGGTACTGGGAATAGGAACGGGGGAGGAAGTGCGTGAGGAGAGAGGTGTATCGAAGCGTGTCGTTATTATTGGTTCTTTCGTGTCTCTGCCTGTTGTTGTAGTTGCGAGGAGGGAGGATGAGCGCGGTGGAGGGGATCCCTGTATAAGAGTTACAAAATCAATAAGGAAAGGGATTGAGAGTTTGCAGAGAAAAGAGTGTGGACGTACGTGGTGATGTCCAGTTGGTGGCTCAAACGAATGAATTGTTGCGCTCTTCGAAGTGATTCGGGACATCGAAGCCAACCGATCTGCAATACTCATCCTCCCTTTCTTCGTATTTGCATTTGCATTCGCATCCTTTCCTCCCTTTCCTATCCTTTTCTTCTGATGTTTCTCGCGCTCTCGACTCCGACTGCTCATCATACTTTCAAAGCTCCGTATACTCCTCGTATCATGCCTCGTCTCCATCTCCGCCTGTTCTTCCTCATCTTCCTCGTCGCCTTCCTCATCTTCACCGCTCTCCCCATCCTCTTCGCTCTCCCCCTCCTCCTCCTCCTCTTCTTCGTCTTCTTCTTCCACACCCCCATCCTCAAGCAACATGTTCCTGACAGATCCAGGCCGACTCTCCACCATCTCCTGCCCCTCCTCATCCGCAGCCTGGTACGAACTCGCAATCGACCTCGCTCTCTCCCTACTCCCCGCACCAGGCAATGACGCAGCAAGACTCGCAATCGAGAACCCACTCTCCCTCCTTAACAGCCCAAAGCCTGGTCTCAAATTATTCCACGGTGCACCCTCATTTGCATTGTCTCCGGTTGAAGCGTTCGTCTGGTCGGTTGGCGCGGTAGGGAGTAAAGAGAGTAGGACGCCGAACCCGGAGTCGACGACGCCCGAGAGAACCTTATTCGCTGACCCGGCGATGGCGTCTACTTGTTGCTCGACGCGCCCGCGGAGACCGCCGCCTGGCGTTGAGACTGGTGACTTGTCCGATGCTAGTGATAGAGGAATTGGTGTGAGGTCCGCAGCGCTACAAAGAGTTATTCATTGTCAGCAGTGTCAGAAAAGAGGTCGTTTGAAGATTGAGATTTACTAACCTAACGATATTCTTCTCGCTCTCCTTCAAACCTAACGCACCCAAATCAACGTTCTCCAAAAACTCAACCACGGCCATGAGATTAATCAAACAATAGCTCTCTTCCCCTCCAATAGACTGGTTTCGGTAACGTTGAGTAAACAGGAGATGCGAGACGAGTTTTGGTGGGTTCGCTTTTACGACGGAGAAGATGATGAGCGGGAGTAAAATGTCTCCCGATACTGGTGTGGGAGTCTTCGGTGGAGAGACGGAGAGAAGGGGTGTAGATGCTTCCTCAGCTGGAGACAAGGTGAAAGATGGAACGGATTTTGCTGAGGCGCTGTCTTCTAGTAGAGGGCCCTTGATCGTTTCCGTCGTGATACTTTCCTCAAGCGATTTATCTACAGGTGGGTCGGATAGCGGATCTGGAGATACGGTCAACCTGGTAGGGCTTCTGCTTTGATCCCTCTTCGTCTTCGTACTTGGCTGAGTTTCTTGTTTGAAGTTTGGTGCTTGTGGAGTCTTGTCGTCATCTGCATTGTCTTCGGACTTCAAATGTAGGGGTGGCAGACGCGACAATCCATCTATTAAGATTAGTTACTTTAAGAACTGACCATATATCTTGAGTACTAGACATTCGAACGTACCAACAATGATCCGATGAGAAGCAACGAGTATAGCTGCTTTGTCGGCCGGACAGCATGCCACCTCCAGCTGGGAAATAGCTAAATAATCCTCAGTTAGCAGGATGCACGTCAAAATTTTGTTTGGCACCTACTTTGTCCACACGCTTCAACGATGCGGTACACGTCATCTTTAGAAGGACCAGCGTCAACGCCTAGATGATCCAGGCTCAGATCCAGCTTATTGAGCGCATTAATACGACTCGACAAAGCTTCATCGTGAGAAGCGTCATCGGAACTCGACGGTCGGTATAATCTACTTTATGGTTAGTAAGTTTACTCAGTCCTCAAAACTGAGGTAGCTTACCGATCGTAAAAGACGGAAGTGAGTGTGTTCTCAACCTTCTCCAAGATATTCTGTACCTTCAGGTCGAGTTCGTGCCTTTCTCTCTCCTTCTCCTCCTCTGTAAGTTTATCATCTTTTCGTCTTAGTGTTGAAGGCGAACCGTCGACTCGTAGTTCCTCCTCCAAGCTCGCATAGAACTCTTGGAATCGCTCTGATACTTCCTCAGCTGGGTCATCAAAAGCAGACACCTCCCGAAAAGAACTCTGATCCGAAGCAAATTGACTTCCACCGTTGCCATCCTTCGGTTTAGGTGCAGGTTTGGGGAAAGGCAAGTAGCTTGAAGAGAAGTTCTGAGTGCGATCGATGACCCATGTAGGAAGTCCCGTGAGTGCTTCTTTAATCTCCACCTTGATGTACTTTGCAAGAGATTTAGATACGTTCCGCCGGATGATGGGATGGTCTATCGTAAACGCAGACACTTCGGAAACATGGTCTACTGGAGCTACATCAGGAAGTGGTTGAGTTGTTGGCGCAGGACTTGTAGGAGCTGGGGACTTTGCAAAGAAGGATGCGAAAGGGTTGGCAAGACGTGAAACGCTAGAGGCAGGCGGTTTGGTGCCAGGACGGGGTGGTAGTGGGGGCTTTGGGGGGATAGCGCTGCGAGGAGGGAGAGGTAGAGAGGGTATGAACCTGGGACACGAGAACCTGGGATAATTGAGAGCCGAATTCGAAAGAGTAGGTAGAGGAGGAAGTGTAGCGAGAGCGGTAGATCGCGTAGAAGGATCAGACAGCGCCTTGAACAGTTTCGACGAAGTTGGCACAGTTGACTGGATTGTTAGATCATCTCCACTGTAAAACCCGATACATCAGTACATGCCACTTGCAGGACGGAGACAAATGAAATCAATCAGACAAAACGAAACAAATATCTTAATTTGTTTCGCTACGTCATACCATAGAAGGGCATGATCTACACTTGACGAGAGGCAAGTACTCACTTGATTATCCCTCTCATTCCAGACAAGGTAACGAATGGCGAATCATCTCGTGCGGAACCTTCGCAGAAGATGATGTGGTCTTTCACGAGTTCAGGCGTTATGACCTCACGAGAGCCCGCTAGCTCCGTAGGGAGCAACAAAGCAGCCTGTGCAGATAACGGCAGCACGCATTAATCACATTTCTCTTGACACATATGTGTATTTGACCGATCTGAATGAACCGCCTCACAACTCACCTTGCCTGTTGCAATCACGGCCCATACCTCCGTCCACACAGGCGCATGATCCGAACCCGCCACGAGCTCCTCAAGCATAGCCCAGCCGAGGCAGCCCGCGTCGAGACCATGATGTTGCGCTACGGCCTTTAGATTTTGCAGCTGTAAGCGACTTGTTGCGCTGGGTGCAGTGGCTCCACCCGCGTGCTGGTGCTGCTGCGGGGATACGGATACGGGAGAGCTGGCCGTACCAGTTGTTGCGGACCCTGTGACGACGCGTGCCTGACGAGGCGTGTACGGCAAATATTTCGGCGCGGAGGGTGGAGGCTGCGCAGGATGATGCGACGGACTGGTTGCTGATTCCGCGGAAGAATGGACACTAGTGTTACTGGAGGAAGTACCATTGGCAGAAGAAGTACTGAGAGAGGCTAAGGTTCCAGGAGACAAAAGCGGGTGAGCATTGAGTGCTTCGTGGGATGGAGTTCGGGTGAGACGGGCAGTGGGATGCCCCGGAGATGCAGGTCTTAAGGTCGGCACGGCGTTGTTCGTTGAGGCCGACATGGCGTCCCCGGGCTTGCTTGCTCGGCGGAATGAATATACTCAAGGCAATGTCATACAGGAGTTAAAGCCTGTGGGGAATGTTGCGGACAACAACGACGGTGTGCTGCTCGTCGACGCGCACCGTCAGAAGTAGCAGACTGCATAGCGTCGCGCCTCGCAGAGTCCGGGTGGAAGGTCACGTGCCGGTAAACTTTACCTGCTACACTAACACTTTCTGCTGTTTGTTCAATCTTCAATCTTTCTTCATTCTCATCTTCCTGACTCCAGTCCATCATCATCTGTCATCGGAATCCTTTGTACTTTTCTCAGTTTTGGCATAGCTATCTCCTATGTCCTTCAGGGCACCAAAAGAACGCTATGCGGGGCAGAACGGCTTTGATGACTTCAACAAGCGATTACCGACAGAGTCCCTCAAGGAATCAGAGGCTGTTGACGCCCAGGACGCCGCCCGCTTCGTCATCAGAGAAATGGGTTCATTCTTCCCCTCGTAGGTATCTTCCATCTTGCATCAATACGTACTGTTCCTTTGGCCACCACCTCAATCTGAGCGCTCAAACAAATATATCAATCTCCACATTAGCTTTGAAGACATGAAAAAAGATATACAAACGCCTGAAACCGTTGAAAGCACGAAAGAACGTATCAAAAGATTGAAGAGGGAAAATCAAGACAACATGGCCAAACTGTCTCGCTACTATGCCCAGGAGCTCTATGACGACTCTATGGATCGGTATCTCCAGACTGATGACATCAAATACTTTGACTTTGAAGATTTCTCCAAAAGCTCAGACGAGTGGGCACAACATTACGCAAGACTCGAGGTTAGTAATGCTTAGACGTGTCTCACCGTTGTTCGTCCTTGTTGTGCTCATCAAACCTTATTGATGGGTCGTGTGCTGGTGAAACTCGACGACGGCGATTATGCATTACGACCGACACGGAAACACGACGGATCAACAGAATTTCTTCAAACAGGATAGCCAGATCGTTGCATCGGAGCACCTTGACATAGTGTCGCGCATGCATTACGATCACTTGCGTGAGCTTCTCCCGCTGTACCGGCGGCGACGCGACCTGGAGAAGCAGGCGGAGTTGACGCGAATACGGCTGGCAGCTCAGTTCCCGCAGACGATAGAAGATTACCAAAGGATGGACAGCAAGGGGGCGCAACTGCGGGTTGCGAAGTTCCTGATGGCGGAGGACCCGAAACGGGAGGAGATGCGAACGGAATCTCGCTGGGCATGGCGACAAACCGAGCCACTGATACAGCTCTACAAGAACAACGTCAGTGGGACAGTTCATCACCAATCATGCTTTTCCGCTCTTCTCTTCTTCATTTTCTCCTTTCTATTGATCTGGATGAGGGAGCTGATGAAACCAACTCTAACTCTGAATTTTGCAGGAGACGTTTCAACGGGAGATTGAGCGATTCGTGTCAGAGAACGAAAGCAGGGATCCACGGGCACGCAGAGTGTAGATAAGCTAGCCATAGGGATACATAAGATCAATGTAAAAGTGATCGGTGTGTCGTGCAGGGTTGAGTAGCATCAGCACGTGTGAGGGGTAGCCGAGGGCGATTGCTGTGCTGTGGCCATATCCATCTCACTTGAGAGCGGCTGTGAATCCTGCAGCGCACCGTCTGCTCTCGTCAAGGAATATGCACAGGAATGGCCGTATACACGCTCTCGGACAGCACGCCCTCTCAGAACTTGTCTCGCCCTGTATTTTACCATTTCCATAAGCATCTGTAATCCCGCGTTTCACGACTCGCTGCATAAAGTATATAAATCCGAGATCCTCGTGCACTGAGCTCCCACTTCAATCCTAAAGCCCTCAAGCAACAATTCAAAAGCAATATTGACGCCTCACCGCAGACACGCGTCATAGCACCGTGAATGGCATATAATAGACAGCAGACGCCGTACAAGTACATGGACGGACACTCAGGATACGCGTCACGGAGCCAAACGGTGAGCAGTCAAATCCATTAAATTATATATTTCGCGACTAACACGCGCCTATTTTTTCTTTCCTCTCTACCTCGTGCTCACACCTCTTCATTTCTTCTCTCTCCTCCGCTCTCGCGCTCTCTTGTTCTCTTTCTGTCTACTCCTAGCATTCGCCACATATACGCCAACCGCAAATGGTTGCACCCGACGTACCCTCCGCTGTCTCTAATCTCCTCGACGCGACGCGTCGACTCGAAGAATCCCTCCACAGGTGGGGTTCACTCGAGATTACTGAAACTGAAGTCAGCGACGTTTTCGTTACGGTGGGGAATTGCTACAATGAGATGCTTGCTGCGTATGTCTATTTTCCTTTTTTATTTTCGGGGAAGGTACCATGTTTGTTAAACGGCCATGCCTTGTATAGCTTCTCTGTATATCATATCGATATGGGGTACGTTTACATACTTTGCCCCCACCAACGTCGATTCATGAATCCATTGCCGTCCTTGTCTTTTCCTATCATCGTTACACCGTTCCCTTTTTAATTCTCGTCGCACCGAAAACAAAACACAAACTTATGCCACTCTCTCTTATTTCTTAATTCTATTTATAGGGACGTATCGACATTCCTCAACGACCTCCGCACTCTACTCGAAGAATGCCTCTCCGAAGACCCAACACCACAGAACCTCAACTACCTCATGCCGCAAGTCCGCACCATCATCGCAAACCTCCTCGTCGGACTGCGTAACAAACAGGCGTACTATTGGCGCGCTGTCAGCGCTGCCTCCGGGTCGGGTACGAGGAGGAGTTCTGGTGGCTCTCAGACGGGATCGAGGTCTAGTTCTGGTTCGGGCTATCGATAATCGGTAATTTCTTTGTCGAATTTGTTGAATTTCGTAATTTTTTGGAGGCCGATCGATGAATAGGAGAAGGAGGACCTGACGTGTGGATTGGAGGCGTGAAAGGATGGATGGATGGATGCGCGCCCGAGGACGAAGGAAGGAGGTATAGAGATTCAAACATTTTAACACTCATGGTCATGGCCATTCTGGATTTGGTATTTGTCGACGCTGGCGTCTGCACTCAACCAATCAACCAACTCAACAACCAACTCGACCAATCAACTCAAACCAACTCAGCCGACCAAAAACCTCTTTACACTTACTTGGCCCAACGACATTGCTTACGACCCCTGATGACGAATCTTACCGTTTTACCCGTGAAATTATCTCTCAATATTTGAATCCGAGTCGGGATATCCAATCCGGGGAGCATGGAGGTGGCGGAGAGGAACTAATACTAATACAAAATTGGTGAATAGAATAAACTCCCGTGTATCGGGGTTCGGAGGTCGCCATACGGAACCGAGTCGGGGTGTCCGCTGGTGGTGGAGGTCGGGTATGTTTGGACCTTTTCCTTTGCAGTCTCGTGCCTTGGAGTATTAGCCAATACCATTTCATACCGATCCGCCGATCCAATGCATTCATCCCGTCTACCAACCAACCAACCAGCCTTCTTTCCGTTGCTTTTTTTCTTCGTCTAAAACTGTCGTGCAACGTAAAATAACCCCTGTAGACTAATACCTCTATTTCTCCCTCCTGCCTTCAAATTTATTCTTGTCTTCGCTTTGTTACTTCTTAATACTCAAATGCTCACGTATCTATATCATATTTATGTATATCCCCTCCCCCTCCAAACTTTCCAAACTTCTCCAACCTCACCCGCTTACTTACTTACTTAGATACGGAATGAATGGACACTTGACCTCGTGCGTAATCTGAAACCATCTATTGAAACCAAGCATCCAGTTAAGTAAACTTGCATAACAGATAAGTACTAGTGTTATTAATTAGGGACTTGGCTTTGTCTTGCAGCGGAAAGATCGCATTGTGCGAATGGGTATATTTGTGCCTTTACTAGTAACTTATAATAGTGCTAATATTGATTTCCAGTGTTTTGATATAGCTTTGGAAGCGGAAATGACGCAAGCTAGTTATATTATTAGTAGAGTCCTGATATTTCGAATGTTCCTATTAGTATTAATATTATTCTATTTCGGATGACTGCTAGTACTCAGACGTAGTAGTGTGGATGCATATACCAATCGACAGAAGTCCGCGACAACATCGGAATATGTACAATGAATGAATACACCTATACCATTACCAACTAGCAAAGTGTCTATCCAAGTAAAACTTGTATAACTTATAAGTACTAGTGCTGCTAGGCTTGGCTTTGTCTTTCAGCGGAAAGATCGCATTGTATAACGTGAAAGGGCGTAGTTATGCCTTTAACGGAAGTACTAGTACTGGTATTGAGTTCCGGCATATTGATATTGATATTGATATTGAGGCTGTTTGACAGCGGAAAAGTCGCAAGGCGGTCATACTATTAGTATTATTAGCGTCAAAGGGTCCTTATCCTAATACCCTAGTATTCCGTTTCGAACTACTATACAGATGAAGGCAGATACAAATAATCAATCGAGGGAAGTATGTGACAACAGTGGAATGCGCAGGATAGATGGATGGATAGGTAGGTAGGTAGGTAGATAAAAACATATACGCGTACACATGTACATATATATGTTTATATGGGTATATGTGTATGTGGTACTGTGCGGGAAGGCAGATAATCAAAGCGTCAAAGGCTGAGGAGATAGTTCCCGAACGGTCAGTTGATGATTAACAGCGACCAGAGGCCATTCCGCAGTTGAAGTTGTGCTTGTAGTAGAGTTCCTGGATAAATGGATAAATGCATCGTTAGTTCATTTAGTGCTAAGATGAATGTCTATAAAATGACATGATCTACATACGGATCAAAGTCAGGTCTTCGCAGAAGAAAACACTGATCGAACGAGATTCGTTTCTCAGCACCAGAGGCTGAGACCGCATTGCCGTTCTTATTAGCATTATTATTTACTTCTGTGAGGTAACCATGGCTTGATAAATAGACAAGTGGTGTTTCTGAATTGTTTGGTTGTGTTCTGTTTCCTACTTGAGTTTGAGTTGTCCCGTGCTGTGGTAGTTGTGGGAGTGCTAGTACGTTCCAGTGTAAATCCGTGGGGGATTGAGCACAGAATTTGAATGGCCCGAGGGATGAGAGTGCAGCGACAATCTTTGAAGGGCCGGAATAGATGCTGTTCATTGTATCTCCTCCCACTGTAATTTTCAAAAGCAGGTTGTGATTGATTAATTATATGCGCCGTTTTTGTAAAAATAAAAATAAAAAATGGCCATACCGAGATTACGAGGACCCTTTCGAGGACCTAAAAGCAGTTTTGTCAGTGCTGCAATGCTTAGGTTGGTGAAGGCTGCCATCTTGGGAAGGGCGTTGTCGTGATCGGGTATGGAGTATGAGAATAATGCGTCTTTGGCGTATGCGCTTGCGAGTAATGCACAGTTCGTATCGAATGTCCAGGCATACCTAACACACAGGCATAGATTGAGCTGCAGCATCTTGGCATTGGAAAGAAGAAAGATGTATACTTTTTCAAGTACTCAATTGCCAAATCCTCCAGTTCTGTGGCCTGTCTTTCCAGGTCCTCCTGGTCAACATGAAGCGGTGCTTGAACGTCTTGCATTTCAACTACGTCATCCTCAACATTTATTGGTGAGACTTGCTTTGTCGGTGGTTGAGTTGCAGGCTTTAGCGTATCAGGCCAAACTGGGACCGGACTCTGCCTTTGGAAGGGGGGCCGCAAGGCAAGAATAATAAGCATGAGCTACTCTTGCGTGTGGTATGATTAAATCACAGGCTTCACCACTCTAAGGCGAGACCGTCATCCCTATACAACGAATGAGCTCGATTAATTAAAGAACAAATACCTATTGAGAGCATGGATACAGAATAAGAACTTACCGAATAAAGAACTTCTTCACAGACAACCCGAGTGCATTCAGAGCTTTAACTTCTTCCCTAATCCATTGTTTTCGAGCATCTTGATAGTTGCGAGAGGATGATTTATGGCATGCGGTTGGCAAAGGTGCGATGAGCTTCACGCCTGATGTTTTTGGTTCGAGGGATAGAGGTGGAGTGGGTGAATGTTCGCGTTTTAGTACGGCCGGACCGCTCGACATTATTTCTACTGTTCTCTGACGCGTTTTTAAAAGGTAGAGGGGCGTTGTAAATTGACAGGCCTGGTATTGCTAACGCCAGGGACGCTGATGACGGAACGAGTTCAAGACGCGTCCCGGTTAAACGCGCCTCCGTGACCTCACGCACTTGCTCAGACGCATCATGGCACTACCGACGAAAGGACGTGTTATCATCGACACGACTGTAGGCGAGCTAGATGTTGAGATATGGTCCAGAGTACGTCATCGAAATGTCTTTCCAAACTGAAAGGTTTGATTGTGACTACAAGTAGGAAACGCCGAAGACGTGTCGGAACTTTATTGCTCTTGCTATGGAGGGTACGTCAGTGATCGAGTACTTCATCCTTTCTCAACAAACTGACTGGTAATAATGCTTTTAATAGGTTATTATGATGGAGTGATATTCCATCGGTATGCTAGTTAAATGAACTACACGTTGGGTGATTGAGTTTATTGTTCCATGAATAGTGTCGTGCCCGACTTCCTCGTACAAACTGGAGACCGAACTGGGACCGGCGCAGGCGGAGAGTCATTTTATGGAGGTTGGTCCTTAATCAGCTTTTGTTTCCGTAAAGGAAGACGATGAGCTAATAACGTCGTTTTAGAGCCCTTTGAGGATGAGATACATCCTCGATTACGGTACACACACCGAGGACTCGTCGGAATGGCAAACAACGGAACGAAAGACTCCAATGACTCCCAATTCTTTATCACTCTTGGTAGGTATACCCCAGTGACTCCCTTCATAGATAGATAACGCAGAATTTCAATTTTTATACAATAGACCGAGCAGATGAGCTACACGGGAAGCACACGTTGTTCGGGCGGTGTGTTGGAGACACTATCTTCAGTAAGTACTCCGTATTGCTGTTATGTCTGGACTATGCATACTTATGGTCGGACCAACACTTGTAAGATATCATGAAGATTGGAGCAATGGGTGAGTCCTATACAAGTCAGTTTTCCACGCCTCTACTAAGAGAGTCCAATATGTAAGAGCTGGATAGTGAGGGCAAACCGTTATAGTAGGTTCAGAGTTATACTCAAACACGTGTTGTATTTCAGTAAAGTGACGTATACTTTCTAGTCCGCCTAAAATCAAGACTGTACGAATCGTCGACAATCCATTCCCTGACATCGTGCCCCGCATTACTGCCGAAGAGAAGAGGGCTCAGCAACGAGCTCGAGAACAAGCACAGAGAGAACGTGAAGAGGAGATTCGACGAAAAGGCGCAAAAAAGTGAGTTTTTTTAATTATGTTCTGAGTCTGAGTGATTGCAAAGGTTACTAATCAGCTGCTCAGGGATACAAAACTTCTGAGCTTCCAGGACGATGAGGCGGCGGAGGAAGAGCCAATGACGTTCAAGAAGAAGGCGATCGTTCGACCCGATCGTGAGTATGCTTCCGTCTGACGTTTTGTCCTTGGATTGGAAGTCATTTGACTTATGATGTTTGCCTTGAAGTAATTGACAATTCAGACCAATTAGCAGTCAAGGTCGACACCAGCTTAATAGCGCCGTCAAGCAGCAAAGCAGCAAAGCCGCGCAATGGACCAGACGAAGACAAGTCTGCCGACGACAAGAAGGGCAAGGTAACCTTTGCTGAAATGTCGCTACGAACGTTTTGAAGTCTGATTGTATTTCTCTTGAAGTCGGATAAAGGGAAGAAAAATAATGCTGACGAATCCGACATTATCGGACTCCGAGAAAAGCATGCCAAGGCAATGGGCGCAGCAGAGTTCGTCCTTACACTCTTATATCTTAACGTTGTCTTACACTATTGTTACTACTAATACTAGGTCCGAACGGCAGAAACAAATAGCTCAACTCGAGAAAGAAATCCGAAAACTAGACTCCAAACGGGCTGGAGGCTCGGACTCAGAAGAAGAGCGGAAGAAAAAGAAAGCAAAACGATCATATTTAGAGGAAGAGCTTTCGAAATACGAGAAGGGGCGGGGGCTCAAGGGTAAGAGAGATGGGAAAGGGAGAAAAACAAGGGACGAAGGCGATGTACTTGCGAAGATGGACGCCTTCAAGAGTAAACTGAAAGGTACATTCTTGGATGACGAGGGTGATCGAGAGGCCGAAGCTGAGGGCGAGGGCGACGCCACGGCCAGAAAGACTGACGAAGAGAATGCGGAAGAAACGATCGAAGTTGACAATGACACGGGCTTCCTGTCGCACAAGCTCTTCTTCCCGAAGGACAATGACGAGGAGGTGGCTAAGGCAGAGCGCGAGTACGAAGTGATCGACCCACGAAAACGGAGTGCACAGGCGAAGGAAGAAGAGCGCGAACGGAAGAAGCGCTTGAAACCGAGGGATGGAGGGCGCAGGTATCGGCGATGACGCCCGTGGGCCTGAGCTTCCGTTTCTCTTGTGTCGGTCGGGCAGTTTCAGTTGCATGTGTCTCAGCAATTCCTGTAATGTTGGTTGTCGCGTTGACGGAATGACAATTAATTTCGCTCTTCTCTGTGATACGGACCTAGTTTGGAATGGAATGATTCCCGTCGGCGGATATGTTTATTTACATCTTCGTATTTTTTTTTCCCGATTGTCCTAACTCGTGCACTTTCTGTACTACTACTATCCTGCCCTTGCAGCTTGATGAGAGTGTCGCCAGTGCTGCTCTGGAATTGAGAGTACAATGGCCGGGAGTGATGGGGAATTTTAACTTTGCTGCACCGCCCCGATTGGGAAGGTGGGTGCTTATGGCAGAGCGGATGCGCCAGTGCCACCAGCGACACCTAGGCCTGTGCACTCTCCCTACTTCTACCCCGCCGACCACCGCCCGACACTTCTCTCTTATCTATCATGGCATCCAAGGCAGCATTCAAACGTGTGAGTACTGAAACACCTTGCCCCCCTCCGCTGATCGTCCCCGCCGTCCGCCCACTACAATCACCGTCTCTGACACCGCTTCCCACAACAGTTGACAAAGGAGTACGTAGCGATGCAGAGAGAGCCTCCTCCATTCGTCTGGGCGGCCCCAGACGAGAAGAACATCCTCCACTGTGAGTAGCCTTATTGAGCTGACACCTCGAGACCCGGCTCATCCGTCGTTCATCATCAGGGAACTATATCATCGTATGTTACGACAAGCCACAATGCCTTCCGGGCCCCGACGCTGATACATACATTTTCTGTCTGATTTAGCGAGGTCCTCCAGACAGTCCATATGCCGGCGGCGAGTTCTATGGCGTCGTGCTGTTCCCATCTGAATACCCCTTCAAACCACCTGGGATCAAGATGCTCACGCCTTCTGGTCGCTTCCAGCCAGACAAGAAGATCTGTTTCTCAATGTCAGATTTCCATCCCGGCTCATGGAATCCAGCATGGAGTGTGGCTACCATGTACGTGTCGAATTCATTAGGTCGTTGTGCGAGTTTTCGTGACTGATGTGTCTTTGTGTGTGGCTGAACAGATTGACGGGTTTGCTCTCGTTCATGCTGGCAGACGAGATGACGACTGGCTCTATCACAACTTCTGATTCAGATAAACGCGCGTACGCTGCACGATCACATGCTTGGAATATTCAAAACAAGAAGTTCAGAGAGGCATTCCCGGATGTGAGTTGGCAGTCGCTATTTCGAACTATTACATTGCTAAATCAATTTTGCTGTTTCAACAGTACAGCGGACCTCTCATGAAAGATCTGCCAAATATGGCACAGAAGGAGCTTGGTGCACAGAAGAGTGCGCCTGTTCTCTCGCCCGTCTCATCGACGACGAGTGTTTCAAGCGCTGCTTCTAGTCCTATTACCCCTTTATCAGCGAATTCATCCGGTCCAATGATCCCGAATGGAACTGCCCAAGCCGGTACTGCCTCTAGTCAAGCAATTGTACCAAAAGCCAAAGAAAGCACACAAAAGGGACGTGGTGCATTCAATTGGGGCCAGCTAATGTGGCAGAAGTGGTATTGGGGGATATTCTTTGCAGTGGCGTGGGCGGTGTCCAGTCGGTTGACCGGAAGCCCTTAGAACAACAAACATTTGGACATTTGGTTATGACACATTCGTGGCGAAGTAATTTCCTGGGCTTATTAGGTCTCTAATCTCTCTCTCTCCTTCACGTCCTCGGGTCTTGAACAGACCTGTTAGATGCTTGGTTGGTTGTTGATGACATCAGTCTCTTGGAGCAATTCTTCCTTTTAATTCACACACAATCCCTTCTTCCTTGTATTTTCTTTTATATTGCTACGATCCTTATTCTCTCGTCTAGTATCGAGTCTTTGCGTTTACCCCTCGTTATCTACTTTCTCTTTTTTTTCCTGGTGTAAAATATGTAATATGACTAGGGAGGAGAAATAGGAGTCGCTTGCCCCAAACTGTTTGGCATGTGATTAATATTCTTTGCTACGTCTGCCTCGCCTTCTATGTTCAAGAATATCCACCTTTCGGGGATGAATGCTTTGACAGCGCAAGCGCAGTTGACGCACAACGTCAAGTGGAAATGGGAACCGAAGTCCATAGCCTGCGAATCGGCTTCAAGTCTCCACTACCCAGAAGCTGCTCAACTTGGATCCAAATGTCGTCCTTCACGTCTTCCAGCTCCTTGCCAGCATCAATCGTAACCCATGTGTACTCATCACGCCGTCGGGCATCCGCTGCAATGTTCGAGAAGACCTCCCTCACGCGGCGTTGCATTTCCTCCTTCTCATATCGTTCTTCGCCATATCCACCACGTTGTCTTGCCTTCTCGGGACTGATATCGAGGAAGAGTGTCAGGTCTGGAGCTGGAAGACCGACGTCGGGTGCTTGGCACCAATCGAATGGAAGACCCTTGGAGGCGGAAAAGGCTACACCAGAGAAGGCGTAGCGGTCACATATGATTATTGTTCCTTCGTTTAGCGCACGTTCGATGCTCGTGCTACGTAGCATAATGCACGCATGTATCGATAAGTCGAATCAGTGCGAACGTCAAGTCATTAGCCAAGAACCATTCCGGCAAACCGGCGATTTGGCAGAAAATGGTTACAGTGTTGCAGAGATTCACCGAGTAAAGAGTAGACAGGCATATGGAGGAGAAGAAATACGTGGGAAACCGAGTAGGGATGGCATATGCAAGTAGAGCGACTCACACCAGCTCCCAGCGGTTCGCAGAGAATAGGAGGTGAATCGCGCGGTCGTCGATGTCTGATTCTGAACGTAGGTACGCGTCTATCATCTTCCCGATTGGCGTCGTCCTGTCTTGTTATTCCCGAAATGCAGCGGGAAGCGATATATGTGCGATATGGAGAGCGCGTGTATCATGGTATCATGGTATGTATCATCATGAGTTTGTTGTAAAAGAAGGTTGCGAACCACGAGTATCAGGTCAGATTTTTCCGATTCAAGATAGACGATGGGGGATGTAATGAATGTCCTGACCAGGAAATTTCATGAGCTTCGTTGGGATATTTGATTGCTGCAGACGCGACAGAAGAGAAGCTGCTTGAGTGCTTTTTCCAGACCTGTCGAGTCCTTCGATAACGATGAAGGCCCCGCGTTTGCTGGCAGCCATGTTGAGAGATGAGATGGAATGCGAGAATCAAGACGAGATTCACAGATTTACAGTGTGCACGCAAATCCGAATCCCGTGGTGGCGTATGGTCAATATTGTGGCTCCTGGTCCAGGAGCCCAACTTCCCACGACCAGACAACTCGCTTCTCTCGGTTGCGAAACCTGCAATATACCAAGTGCTACTCCCGAACATTTGTTTCACTCCAGCTCGGAGTTGCTACTTTAAAAGACAGAAAGACGATCACGCTATGCAATATTGAATATATTTCGTGCGCGTCCACTCCTGACATGTCTCAAAACACTATCAATGTATTATTTATAACTAATGTTTTCTCCATAGGATGGAATTTTGCTGTTCTAGCACTCCACGGCTCTCAGACTTTGCAAGGAGCTATTCCGCATTCTGCAGCGGTGAACGCATACAGCGCGTTATTCATAGCAGACTCAAAGTGTATCGCGATATTTCCATGAAGTAATCCCACGCACGCCGGGTCCCGACCTGAACCTTCTGTTAGATCCGTCCTGTTAGGGCTACCAGCAAGCTTAATTGCCTGCGGGATATGCGGCACCGCATGACATGCAACCTTCCCTATTCCCTCACGACGAGCTTTAAGCATTGATGAAATATATGCTCGCCGTCTCGGAACAAATATACGAGCGAAGTTGAGAAGCTTGTCCAGATCCCCGTATGTTTTACGGTTCATGCGTCTTTTCGCCCAGCAAATCTCGCACGAAACATCGGACTATTGCCGTGAATGGCTGTGGACGATGGTTGTTAACCTTTCATGAAGGCGATGATGGCCACCTTGTGATGTTTTTCATGTGCAAGTTGTTGGAACCGGAGGTGTGTCCCTGGGAATGCGGTTTGTGTTACTTTTCACTCAAGCGGCTTCCGGTTATTTACTTGCTACTTCGTAGTACCCTACTGACCTCCAGTGAGTATTCATCATAATAATGGATCCGAAATTGTTTAATGAGATGTTCACTCGCATTTGTATAATCAGCCATTCCGATATCGGGTTCTGTGGATGGGAAGCTTGAGATAAGATGGATGTTTCCCTGTCTCGTGCTCATCTGCCACTTGCTTTTGAACAGGACCCTTTGTTCTGTGTACTGTGTTGGAGCGCCTTACGATTGGAACATTTCAATCGTAGGTGAGTTTCAAGAATATAACCACTTCAACGGATACTCTGAGAGCACATGTCAATTCACCACTGCTAGCCACCTTCTAATGCTGCTAGCCTGCTACAGCCGTCTTCATTTCCGCACCAAGAAATCGGATTAATAGAACTCTTCAAGTTGTTAACAACCAATATCGACTTTCACCGATAGTTTCTCACCTTTCGTTCTTTGCCGTCGTCATAAGCATAAGCCCGCTGACGAACCTGCGATGTTCATCGGGGCAATGGTCGTACTAGCATGCACGCGCATCATCAAAGCCTAACTGCGGCACGTACTCGGTCATGAAGGTCCTGCTGTTTGATTTACCTATTCAGGTTCGGAGAGCCTTGTTTGTTCTCAAGTTATGCGGGTCCCGAGAGCCGCTAGTCGTGATTGATCCGCCTTGTGGGCGCCGCACAAGACTTCCCTTTCGGCTAACACAGGTCGTTGATGGCAAATTCACGTTACCCTGTCTAACAGATAAGATCGAAATGAACAGATCCTGTTGGCTGCGTAAATGCGTCAGCACGTCTGTTACATGCATATGCAAAGCGCTTCTCCCGCGAACGTTGACCGAAATGGCCTTCTTCACGCTGGAAAACACTACTAGGCTCGGAATTACCCGAACGTTGTTCCCGGTATGCTCAAGAAAGGATGATTCAAGGAAGCATATCGCAGTGGCAAATGCCATGAGCGATCCAACCTCTCGTTTATTTCTCATGGGCGAGTTGACCTGGCCGAAAGGCAGGGGACTGGAATACATTTTGAACGTCCTGATTGGGAATTGACAGATCACATCCACCCCTATCGTCGACCATATCAAGGCCTTAGGCGCCAGTTCGTTGTTCCTCGCCGCAGGAACGATATCTTGGCAGGCTTGAGTCTCTCCACTGTGAGCCGATATGCGTTTAGCATATAGTCGAGCGCGTCGGAACTTCCAGCTGGTCGAGCGGGGATGGACGGGCTCTCGTCGGTTTCGGGATTCCCGGCAGTCCAGCCGGACCTCCTATTTAAGAAAGTTAAGTTAGAGGCCGAATAAAATAGGAACATACTTCTGACTTCATGAACTGAACTGATTCACCAATTCATCGTTGATTGATGACACTTCCGTTCCCTCCACAACTCCTAAGTGCACTCCGGACCGTGCCAATCGCTGACACAAGCTACGAATATACAAGAGGCTCAAGAGCTACATGATTTCACGGCAGGTGCTATACCTAAAAGAGAAGACCGATACCCATGGACGTCGTAACTATAGTTGCTGAAGTCTGGTCCAGGTACGGTCCGGGGGATCTCGGTCACGGAGTCACGCTCCACATAGCCCCTATTTTTTGCTAAAAAAGCACATGAACACTTACTTTTTCAAGGGCTATCACATGCTGTATTTACCTTTTAAAGTTGTTGTGTGGTTGGCTCGACCGAGATGCCCCAGACTGTACCTGGACCGGACTTCGGCAACTATAGCGACTCGTAACACTTCGCCCCTTTGTTTGATCACCAGACTGTTGCAGATAAGACACTGGTAAACCTGAAGTGCAATAAAACTGTATACGAAAGGTGACAGAAAAAATACCGAATAAATGTGTATACTTGCGCGCGCTGATAGTAGTTAAGTCCTTATGCGGTGGTCTGAACGGCGGCATTCCCAGCAGTTCTCGTCTTACGGAACTTGGTTCAACTTTACTACTGTATACTCGAATGAAACGGTTCCGAATCTGAATGTACACTGTACAAAGCGGGAAGCACGCTGATGCATCACAAGTACTCGTTACTTCTATACTTGTACATGCATATCAACGACGCCGCCATAGGAAAGCGGTACTTCGAGACGCACATTAAGTCCGTCCGTATTTGATTCTGCGCCTGGAAAGTAGTGATGTATCACTGAATCAGTCGCTGTGCAGGGCTTCCATGCAAGACAAAGTTCATTCTTCCCAAGCTTGCACAGGGGAAGGTGAGGGAACAAATCACAGCAGGTCTTACGATCTATGCCGATATTAATCACATCCTATTAAAGTGACTCAAGTCAACAAGAACTCTTCGTTGCTCCACTCGAGTTTGATACAAAGCTAGATATAGTCCTACTTGAGTTTGCAGGAGGTAGCACATAGACTATGTTCGGCCATCCGGGGATTCTCGTAGTTACTTCGGAAATGAAACACTGTCCCCTCCTGTGAATTCGAAGCAGGTTTACCCGTGTTCCCTCATCCCTGGGGCGCTTCGAAAACTTGATGAGTATTCCTGGAGACGGAGTTTCGGATAGGTTGGACCTATAGGACTGTGTCCTCGTGACGGGATTGGCGGCTGCGCGGGTTGTGGCTGCGGAGCCTTGGTTTCGCTCGAGCCGCGAGGCTGATAGTGGGCACGAGGACGTCGAAATTGGTCGATATGTTCGCATGAAATTTGTTCTTCGTGGTCCGTCGTCCGTCCTCGTCGGCTCCTTCAAGTTCTTTAATCCAGGACTGCGGTACTCAGATAGAGTTTGAATGACGCCAGTCCTCGAAAGCTCGGACCCTCCTCCATCCGATTCCGAACACTCGACTTTACCCGAAACGTATGTATTTTCCGGGCCACAGTTACTAATTTAGAAAACTAAGCGCGATCAACATTGGGGAGGACCAACAAAAGAATAGTGCAAACGCAACTGGTTTGGTACACTCACAAGTAATCTGAGCGATAGATCGGGAGGTTACGGCAGATTAATCAGATAACGACACTACAACCTGTCATGGACACCTTTCTGTCCTGTAAGTCAGCAACTTTCATAGACAGGGACAATTTAGTGAAATGATGCACCAAGATTAGTCAGGTCCAAGTTATACCCTGTGTCTTGATAAAACTTGCATGTCTGAGTCTCAGGTCAGGTGACTCAGGTCTCAGTGGACCCGTCGCTTACGCTTACGATTTCCGGTCCGTATAATTGAACGGGCCGTACGCTGCTGATTCGTTATCTCCTTCTTCTTTAAGTCATACAGCATCTGACTTCTGAGAACAGTTAGGAATTGGGGGATCCGAAGTAGCTTGCAACGTTGAGTTTGAGCCAGTTCCTGATAAATTTCTGTCCAACGAGTAGGGGAAACACAGTTTAACATAGCAAAATTCAACTCAGGTGCAATGCATGATAGCCCAACCTAGTATGTTGTGTAAAGCAGGTTGACTTTACAATAATTCTTAACGACTGCAGGCTTAATCAAGAATCCGGAAGATAATACAGGGAACAGACCAGTATCTATAGGAACCAAGACTAGTATTTAATACCTGCATATGATTATAATACCAATGTATAATTGACGTGCAAAGAAGATCGTGAGGCATGTTTCAAATCCCTTACTCGTCAGAATTTCGTTGGGCATAGCAGAGCAGGGAAAGAGCAACAACTTGACTGAAAATAATGTATGAACATCCCATTATCAGCCTTATGTATATTTATTCAAAAGTTTGAGGAAGAATTGTGACGGTCGACAAGAAACTCTAGATGCATGCTGGTGTAATTGCCCTGTGCAAGTAGTATTTTTCTTCTCGGTAGCTTACACGGAAATAGCGAGCTGCCTGAAGGTAATTAAACAAAAGTCGCAGCTGAACTAAGTGAGATGAAACAGTGCTATCCGTCCTGTATACTATGCACAAACTGTTGTACATCGTCCTTCCACGATCCTATCGGCATTGACAAAGTTGACACAAAGGTATTTTTGTATAAATTGTCAGACTATTCTGCAACCACATCAAGGAGCGTAGGTAAGGTCAGAATGTTATATTATTACTCGCGAATGGTTTGAAGCCAATGGCTCAGTCGATGCGATATGAGAAATTAGAGAGTGAACAGTTGCAGACACGTCCTGTTTGTGATTTATGATCATTTTAATTTATAAAAATTATTGCTGGCACGTGCGGCGTCGTGCGCTACGACTTCGTCGCATGCAAAAGTTGGACGCTCCAATGTTTCGTCAACCATCTCTTGGACATCAAAATGGACTTCAAATCCATCAGGTCCTCTGCCAGCTGAGATGAACTAGCAGTGCTTAATGGGTATCAATCATGCATTCACATGAACAACGCATTCGACGTGTCGTCTGCTACCTGAGAAACGGACCCTGATGATTTTCCGGAGTTGGTACACCAGCTCACCTCATAGAAACCTTCAATTTTCCGATTAGGCTGATGAACGTTAGCTTACATTGCCACCCACATCCAAAACACTGATCATCAAGATCAATATCAGCAAAGACCAGTTCCATCTCGTCTACGGGCTATTTACAGGTATCTGTACCCATCCATATTCGCAACAACAACCCGATCCCCTGATAACCATCAGCGTTCTCACCTTCTTTGCTTGTTCCTGCACGGTTTGAGGAAAAGATCGCCAAGATGGCTGTACCACCGAGATCGCGCCGTTACAACTGATGTACGCACGGTGAACTGGCTTGTTACTCCGTTTCCTGGTTCCGTCTCCCATGGTCGTGGCCGTGGTGCAGGTTGTGGTGGCGGCGGTTGCGGGAGAAACAATTAATTTTAGTGCTCTCACTCACGCCTTACGACGTTGTTCTCCCCCGGCTTCGCCGCAACAAGTTGAGCATTCGGGCATCTGGAATGTCTGGTTCGGGGAGACTCTCGGGCTAATCAAGTCTGGATCATCTTGATGAGCTGAGCATTGTGTAAGAGGCATCGGCGTGTTTGGCCTTCGTTCATTTATCGCTCCATCTTATTACCTCGAGAATAATAGAAGTCAGAAGTACGTTCATATATCTGTCATAAGATATTGTAAATTCTAACTAGTATGAGAAAGGACTCTCATGAGACGCTCTAGATGTTTTCTAGCGACCCTTATCCAGTTTATCCAGCAGAATAATTTCCTACATAGTCTTGTCTGTGGTATCTCGGTCCGTCACCACGTAGCACTGCACTCGATTTCGTCGCGCAACCCACGGCGGTCGCTCATGCGACGTCGGCCAAGAAGACGCACATCTCCGGGTGCTTCTCAACCAGAGTTTCTCCGCCGGAGCTGCAGTAATGACGACCCCGGATTGTACTTGCATGACTACTTCGCACCGACGATCCAATCCTTGCTCCGTCACAGTGAGAACGGACATACCAGCTCGCTCCAGCGGACCGTTTTCCCTCGTCCCAAAGCCAAGACATTGTTATGGCTCGGTGATATGACTACCCACCTTGAAGACCTGCTCCGGGATTCCCTCGACGGTAAATTTAGATGGTCAGATCCCTTACTACGGATTTGAAAAAGAGCAGCTGGATCTAAGCTCAAAGAGAGTTGACAAGAAGCAGTGAAACAGCTTCAGCTTCCATTTCCACCGTATATGGTCAAATAACCTGCAAGTTTCCTTGTCAAAATGGGACCGTGAAGGGCGTTGCTCTATCTTCTCACCTAGTTCATAAGCGAAAGTTTCCGACGAGCAAGCACGGATACCGATCCCACAACATCTACAAATGGAGCCAAGAAGGTAGCTTGAGAACAACCAAGACCACTAATATTTTCAAAAAAGTCACAGACGTTGATCTGCGCGGGTACTTCGCGCAGTTTGCGGAGAAACTAGAACAAATACATTATCTGCCTTCTCCCAGACCGCCCAGCTGGGCCTACGCAATACTTCTCAGCAGGTTCTCACCGATCCTGCCGAACTCCAGACACTTTGCAATTAGAGAGTCGAGTGAGAGTCTTCAAGTGCCAAAGTCGCCATTGGATGGATTTTCTGCGGAGACTAGTCATGACTTACACTCGGAAGACACAATCTGCGGAGAGGGACGCCCGGTATTCGCACACAAGCCTTGCGAAGGCGGACCTCAAGGTGGGCTCGTGGTTGGCACACTTGTTTGGCCAAGGAGGGTCGTTTGTCTCCTGAACCTTGACCTGAACCTCCAGAAGGGGAAGAAAGAAGGAACTCTGGCAGCGGCTGTACCAAGCGAAATCACATTCATTCTGCAAGCTACGGAAGGACTGGGCGTCATCTTGCTGTGCTTGTTTGTTTTTGCGCTACCGGGGGCGGCGCCGTATCGTGTGGGAGAATCTGTCGCCTCGCGCCGCTCAAGTCTCCAAGTTCCCCATCGGCAACGAGACAGATGCAAGTGAAGTTGTCCAGCAGATGAGCCCTATCTAGACAACGTCCGAGCTCGCGGTTTTGCGCAGTAGCAACGAGGCAGAGAAAGGAAGCCGACTACAATAACTTTGACAAAAAGCAAATTTGAAAGCGGAACCAAGGCAGACATCAATCTGCACTGGTGTTGTTTGAGGGACTGGCTGGGCATGATTGCAAAGGCCACGTGCGTTCCCACCAGAGGCGCGTGTACATACCGCATATGGCAGCTGCCGATGTGTCGTGTGAGCCCAGTGGGGCTTTCTGCCTCTATGTCGGTCTTCGCCTGCGCCCGCTAAGCCATTTTGCCCCTCACCCCATGAATTTTTTTGTTATTGCGTTTTTTACCCTCTACCACAGTATGCTGATCGATTGGGCGGCAGTCCCACTGGGGAATGCAGAAATACGCGCATTTTGTGTAACTGAAATTGATACGGCGAGATGCCAGCGCACTCTGACGTCGTACTTCAATCTTCTTTCTTCTGCTCTTCTTGTCGATTTACTTGCATTGGATTGATGATTGAGGGAACTAACTCGTATTCTATCTGCCAATCTATCGGAATGATCCGAACCGAATAGACTCGGATCTCTTGCTTTTGGGCCAATTGGCAGACAACGATGAGCGGTGTTTCCGTTCATCTCAGCCAGAAAATCCCGCTTCGATTTTGATGCATTTATGTATTTGAGTTATGTCTACTGTGACTGTATTGACCCGAGCGGATGCGGATGCGGGTGCGAATGAACGCGAAGGTCTACTGTACGGCTCCATGGCTCTAGGCCTCTAGTCAGGCATCGAGGCAAGCAAGCACGTAGGCAAGGAGGTTTGAGATTCATGAGTTCGTAAGTTCCTATGCGATTATGGCATCCCCGCGTCAATCTGACCAGAACTGGGTCGTCCAGAATCTCCCTCAACTTCTTGAATTCAATTCGCTCGGACGAAAGCGAGCGCCCAGCTCGTTGCGATCTCCCTTTGACATGCCTGCAAGTAGTTAGTACGGGTTTCTCCCGCTCCCCTCCCCTGCCCTCGTCGCTTCACGGGAACATTCCGAGAGAGCACGCTTGTAGAGAAACTCATTCATGTACACTCAGAGACGCCAGGGCAGACGTGAGGCGGGAACGGGAACGATATCGCAATTTATTTCTATATTTTCCTCTCACTTCCTTTCTCTTCTTTTTAATTCATTTTAATTTCTTCCTAGTTTTTCCCTACCCCGATAGAATGCAGGCATTCATACCCGCGTACTATAGTGTCTGGAATTTGAAAAGCGGGGAGAAGCGCGCGAGTCTTGAGTCTTGAGACGCTTGAGGTCCAAGCTCATCTCATATAAATTCATACGGTAGGTCTGTATAGACAGATATACAGTCGAGTATATCCGAAGCTCGCTCGATTTACTCGGAGGACGGAGGTATCGACGAAGGAAAAAGTAATTCAACATGGGATGTTTTTGTTTTACTATTTGAATTTTGAAGCATTGAATGTGCCAAGGTAGAGAAAAAAAGACACGGTATGGAGCGATGTATGCGTATGCATCGTCATCCTATGCGAATTGACTTGAATTAAATTAAGATAACGACGTATTCATTGCGGCTGCGCCTACACGCAATCGCGGTCGTGGCGAGGGCCAAGCCAGATTGCACTTCTCAACCAAGGCAAGCGATGAGAAAAAGAAAAAGAAATCCCGTAGTTTATTCACGATTTATAGTTTATCACATGTACTGTTGCTTAGGTGGTGTGTATACATGTGTATATTTCTACTACCGCTTGCTGCGTGTTGCTGTGTGGTGGTGGCGAAGTGTAGTGAAGCATGGGGCGAATGTAGTAAAGTAGTGTGCTTCGCCAATATGTCATGGGGTAGCTATAGTCTGGGCACGGTGGATTTTAAAGGTATTTTTTGAGATAGGAAGGTGGTTCTCTGAGAAAGTGAGAAGGTGAGCTTAACTCCGTTTCTTGCGAAACTCTCTCAGTTGAGGTCTCCGCGACTGAGCGAAGATTGGGGCTGAGTAATAGTGAGAGTCCGAGAACGAAAGTTTTTCAAAATAAGGTAGAGCAACGGGCGCAGCAGAATGACACTGCATTACCTTGCATACACCCAGATCCAGACAGCGTTTGCATAGCAGCATAACAATACATTTTTCACACACTCATCGAAGTCCATATGGTAAGAGAGTGCCACCAACACCACACAGCCGATAAAATCGCCCGATAATTCGCAATATCCAGTTTCGTAATGTTGTTCAATATGTCAATAACCGCCGAATGAGTTTGACGTCGGACAAGAACATTTTGACGCATATAGACGCATATGAAGGCTGAGTCTGTGAGCCTGTTTCGTTTCTAAATTCTTATGGGGCTAGGCGGCCGTAAATAGCTTTGAATATGTGTGTGGCAGTGTGTCGTTTGTGTCAATGTGTGTGGGTCATTGATGTCATACCCAAGAGAAATTCTGAACATCTGAACTGAGAGTCAGACTTGTCTATTTTCTTATGAGTCGAGGCGGCCGTAAATAACTTTTAAATATGTGTATATGTAGGTGCGGCAGCGTGTCATTTTCGTCGTTGTGTGGGTTATTGATGTCATATCCAGGACAAGAGGACTGAGAGACCAGGAGGAGGCCGATAGACCGACTCGCCGAGAAATGCGAGCATTTCGGTCGGATGTTACATTTCACTGTGTGAAATATTTTAGTCATTTACAAGAGCGATGTACATATGTTGGTTTGAGAAACGGCGTAACCCGCGCACGAGGCTCCCTGTTCAGGCCTCACGCTGAGCATCAATACAAGAAGCACAGTGTATGAGTTCAGGGTACACACATCTCCGGAATCCGGAGCGTTCATCACCTTATGATACAAATGAGCGAGCTTCGAGGAAGTGCACGAGGCATACGTGATACAAGCCTCTTGAAGCAGGAGGCCCGAGAGCATGAAAAAGCACGCGGTCGACACCTCACTCAAAGTCGGAAGACGAGCGGGAGAACACTGAACGAATGATTAAAATTTTCATTTCATTTTATTTGGCGTTAGAACTTGGAGAAGTCGGCTGTCAGGCGGGCGATAGCGATCGATATACACACGGTGGTACCCAAATACACAATACACGAAGCAAACAATAGCGATGTGCTTCGAATGTGTTGTAGATTATGTATGTTATGTACTAAATAAAGGTCATACACGTATTAAGGCTTAAAGCCAGACATAGACATAAGTATGGCCTGCTGGCAGTGCTAAAACAGATGATAGAAGTGTGGTGTAAATCGAAGTTGGTCAAGGATTAACAATACAAATGAAGTGCAAGACGCTTCTCATTTGGCGTCTGTGTCAAAAAGATGAAAGGTGATAAATGGATAAGAAAGTCATCAAATGTGTTGGTTGCAAATACAGTATACAGGCATCGAATTTGATTAATGGTTGGGGGTGTAACCGCTAGTAATTGTAGTGGAAGAAGCGGATAGGGGGAAGATGTGTCGATAAAGGAGGAACAAATTGCAAGACATGAAACAATGCAGGAGGATAAAGACGAATGCTGGTGTGGAAAAATGCTCTTCATCAAATTACGCTCAACAAGCTCATTAAAGCTCTAATATGTTTTGATTGGCTGGTCCCACAGGATGCGGTCCCCGAGTAACGACCTTCCGATGACGCGCATGCCGACCAGGACGCGACGAGCTAGAAGGCACCTTCTTTGTCGTGATGGTGCGTTGTATGTCGCTTAGCTCCAACCCATTTAATCATGGATGAAGTCGTCCGGTCCGTCGCGCTCCCACGCCGACTGGGGAAACAGATTTCGGGGTCGGAAGGATTAGTCGCGTGATACGAAAGCACCTATCACCGGGCCAACCAGGCGCATCCCGAAGGGAAGAACGTGGCCGCCATAGTAATTAACCAGTGGCTCTTTGCGTAATGCTGCGTTTTCGGCGGGAGCCAAAACGAGGTAGGGGGCGGAAAGAAGCACTGGGTGAGAAGGTAATGAGGCGCAAGGGCGGGAAAAGGAAGGCGTGTAGGGTGTCTTAATGTATCACCGAAGCATGAAAATATGTACACGCCTGAGGCGGGGCGAGGGGCGGCGTAGGGGACCAGGGCTGTTCGCAGTGAGAACGAGATAACGCCTGCGGTGCGCCCTGCTGCCGGACTGCTGGCACGGTGGTGTTTGCGTGGATGCGCTGGGAGTTGCCAAGGATGAGATCAAAGGCGCTGTGGGCAATTTCCCGTCGTGCCAAATTGGGCCAAATCGCGGGTGGGTTGTTTGAGAGCTTATTGCTCGCATTCGTATTCAACCGCAGCACGGCAAGCCTCACTCGTTCGCGGGCTGAACCCATGTTTGCGGAGGCTGCCACGGTCGGGGAACCAGGCGTCACAGGCCGAGCAGCTATGTACGCTGCGTACGGATGCGGATGTGGACGCAGATCCGGTAAACGAACCATGTCGTGAGCGTTTTGACGAGTGGGAGAGCTAAAATGCGAGGGCGCGAGAAGAGCGGAGTCAGCCAAATGTGTTCTTCACACGAAGACAAACACAATGCAAGACGAAGACAAGTGGAACGGGATGCGTGTATGCGCGTATATTCTCAGCGCGGGATAAAAATAGCGCAGAGAGGCGGACGGAAGAGGCAAGGCAGGGAAGGAAGGGAAGTCGCGGGCAAGTTGACATACCGTGTCATCGTCCTCGTCACCCGTCTCGCATTTCCTCTTCGAACGCGGCGGAGAAGGCGCTATTCGGGTCCACACACAACTCAGTAAGGGGTATACTCTTCCGAAGACGCGCCAATAGGAAAACGACGTACCAAACTGTGCACCAACTGCCTTTGCATATGCGTCGCGCCACTGCTCTATCCGTCGCATGCGTGAATGGAACGAGTCCGCGGCTACGTGTGCCGGTACGGGCTCTTCATCTTCTGAGGACTCCTCCTCGGACACTTCTTCTGACGAGCAGTACGATTCGGTGGCAGCTTCTTCCTCTTCTTCGTCTGAAGTCGATGAGGACGCGTAGCTCGTGGACGCGTATGAGGTAGATGGTACAGAGATGCGCTCGGGTCGTGACGGTGGGGGCACCTCCTCGAGCTCGATTATCTCAATGGTGCGTTGCTGGTGCAAATAATATTCGGGCTGCGGGTGGGGCGCAAGGCGCGGATCGAGTTGGCCAAAGGGCACAGTGGTGGTAGGCTTGTATGCATCGGCGGCAGCGTGATTGAGGTGGTAGGGGCTACCGACCATGACGAGGGATGTGTTTGAGTCGTTTGTAAACATTGTAGTCGACTGGGGAGGGGAGCCGACTTTAAAGACGGGAGCGGTAGCGAGAATGGGAGGGCACTGAGTTAGGAGGAAACGGTGGCCGGCGCGGACTGGGGATATTTATTCGACTTCAACTGGTTTATTTGCCGCCTTTCTTTTCTCGTCCTCTTCTTTTTCTCGTCTCGTCACAGCCACAGACCCGGTCGATTGGTCCCCAGCACAGATCCTCCGGGCAATCCCCGTGACCCAGTCCATGGGCTCCGGTCCACGAGAGCCCTCAGGGTCCTCGTCTGGCATGCATGGGAACCGGTCCTGTTCAAATGGGTTAATCACCCAGTCTTCGGAGCCGCACACGTCTCAGCGCCCTATTTTCTGCTCCTCTATACCCGACATCCCTCCGCACCGTGTATCTCTCACTATTGCACTAATGTAAAAAATATAGCACTTTCATGCATGCGCTCTGACGTGTTTGCCTACGTAGTAGACAGGCACAAATACATGCTCGTACACTACTCTGCTACTCGACGACAGCTGGCCCCTACGCAAGAATAGTTCGCGCCCCCCTTCTCTCCCACTCACACACCGACTTGGATCGCCAGCTCAATCACACATCCCTTCTAGAACCCACGCCCGAAACTCATCCGCCACACCGAAACGCCGGCAACAGCACCCCCCATCAGGCCATCTTTTGAATCAAATACGAGCCAAGAAAAACGAAGAATCCAAACAACACATCACCCGTGTCCACTTCGTAGTAACGCAGCTGAACACGGGAACAGAGTAGAACAAAACGCCAGCGTCTCCTAACCACCCTTCAACTGAGTTGCCATTAGCACCCAACATCTCACATTGCAGTATCAGGCCTCATCCGTCAAGGCGACTGAGCTCATCTCATGGTCTCATAGGTTTCAACCATGCCTCAGCAGCCTCAAACTGCTCAATGAGTTCTGGCAGGACTGCCCTGCCTTCGTGCATCAGCCGCATCGCATGAAGCGCCTGTCCTCGTGTGGAATGTGCATGGCAGTTTGATACAGTTTGTTTGTACGGCCGAACCAAGACCAACAGACGGGATCCCATGAGAACGCACGAGGTCCAAGATGAAGATTGGGCATGAGAAGACAAGGAGGAAGAGAAAACCCACGTTTCAATACACTTTCCATACCGGGAAATTAGGCTGTAAAAAGCACTCACGCAGTCCCAGAACCGGAATCCCCGCTCAACCTCAGCCTTCGGATACTTGATTCCAGGGAACGTTTCTTCACAGATGTCCAGTGCCATTTGTTTCTTCTCCCGTACACCCTCCGCGTTCGCATCTCGAACGCATTGGAGGCCGTTGATGTGTGTCAATGCATCCAAGTACACCTTTGCGAGAATGCCAAATCCGGTGTTGACGTCCGTCTGGAAGGGAAGAGATAGCGCAATGTCCAGCAAATCTTCTCGGGCGCGCTTTATGTCCCCGCGGAGCAGCATGTTTAACGAGGTCACTTCGAGCAGCGTTCGAAGGGCGCGCGTGAGTGATTTCACGAATGAGTTGAACACAAGCAGCTCTCGTGACAACGGCGCGGACCAGGGTTGCGGCTGAAAATAGTCGGATACCATCCATCGTGATAAAAGCGCGGGCGGACGGGACGGAATGCACGGAACGGGACCGAGATATAAATATAAATGTATCGTCAGTGATCATCAAGAAGACAAAGCGGGACCATCGAAAGAATAAGTTGAATGTAAAGCGGCCAGATGGGCCCGTTTGCCGGACTCAACGTACCTTCGAGTTCAACGGCACGATACTCAGGACTCGCATAACTAGTAACATGCATTGCTTCTCTTCGTCTACAAGGAGATTCTGTGAGAGCTGAACGAGCTAAAAATAAGACAATGCTTACCGGTACCGAAACTGGGACCTCCACTGAATGCCCGATTAGACCAGAGATGACCATGCATCACTCCAGCCCTGACAAGTTCAAGGAACAGATACAAAGGATCTTGGAATTTGTCGTTCACTCGCGCGGTTTTGATCGCAGAATACATCGCTCGCGCGAGTGGGCCATGCGTGTGGGAGGCCAGTAGAAATCTGAAATTTCAGTGCGAGGGAACCGGAGGACCAAACGGTACACAAACGCAGGGGCATCGTATTCAAATTCTTAGAGCCCCGGAACAAGAAGGGAAGTTGTACGCACCCACGGAGTTCAAGGAACCGCCATATTACGTTGGCAACGGCTTCGTCCTTTTTCTCCAAGGAAGGATGGTCCTGGTTGTAGTGGGGTTTGTCAATTTTCTCTTTGCGTGGGCGCGTACGGAGTGCAAGTTTCTCCGAGGCCGTTGCGCCAAGGCACAGGGCAAAGTCGATGGTGGATGACTGCAAGCGGCCGATTAATTGGCATGAGCATTGAAACAATTAAACGGTAACGGAGACCTACATTTTGACGCCGCAGTTCTTCCTCAACTATGACAGAAGGCACAAACCACCCCGAGACCCGCTCCGCCAACTGCCCTGTCTGTTGTGAATTGTGGGTGACGGCCTTTGGGCCATGATTGTTTGGTCCTTGCGGAGGCGTAGGAGGATCGTACCAAAAATGACCAGTGACCCGTCGGCTGTTCCAGAAATTGTTTAGGACATTGCTGATTAGTGCTAGGGCTGTCGCACGCGGACCCGTTTGACCGTCTGTCACTACCTCTTTCACGAAACGCCGATATTCCGTTGTCTCACCGTTATCGAGCGGTGGTGGCTCGAGGATTTGGCCTGACGTTAACCAAACGAGTGGCTGAGGGCTCAGTAGCCCTCGCGATAGGTAGAAGTAGACCTCATCCGGTAAACGATTGGTGAAGATCTCGTGAAGATCTGAAGGAATGTCAGTTACGGAAGGATGATGTGGTGGATGAGGAGGATGGTGCTGTGGGCCATTAACGGCGAGAGGGAGTGGCTGGACAGTCCCTTCAGAGGTTAGAATCAAGGAGTACTTGATCATGCTACGCGTTCGGGCGAAATGTTCATGATACCCAACCATCTTAACCGCAGGATGCTCCGAAAAGGCGTTAACGGCAGCGTGACCGGACTTGTAGTATTTGACCATATCGACAGTCGCTTTCAGCACGACTTCATGTGCAATAGGAGGAAAGGGTGGACTATGTTCACATCCAACGAGAATTCCAGTATCTAGAAACTGGTCTTCATTCAACTGCAACTCCGAAAGAACTGACCGCTTTGATATAAAAGAAAACGTCGGCGTGGGAGCGGTGAGATCGACAGCCGTTATAAGTTTGTCTATGCCGGGGTAAAGTAGCGTGTCTGTTGGTCCGAATATTGCATGAATATATGATTTAGGGTGCCGTTGAAGGTAGATCAACTGTGGCAAACGAAACACGTAGGTATTCGTGAATCATTAGTATCCGAGCAGAATTATCAATGTGAAAAGAACACACCTGGGCCCATGCGACATAAGGAGCGACTAGATATTCAACATTCCGATGTCTAAAAATCCGCAAGACCATGCGCCAAGTGTCCCATTGTTGAATGTTTGCTCTTCCTTCAAATAATTTCGTTGCCGCTTCTTCTTGGCCATTTTCGTATTTACCCCAAGCTGCCTGGCGATCACGCATCGCGTCCGCATGTTCTTGCTGAAGATGCGGCCTCATCTTCTTGTTTGGACTGAGCCCAGGGAATACGAATACAGGCTTGATGCGTAGTTTTTCGAGAATACGAAGATCGGACTCGATACGTTGGACGAGAGCAAGAGGTGGACCACCTGTTGCAGCAAGGAGAGGCTCCCTAGAAGGCGGGTTATCGAGAAGGAGCTGCAGATAGTGAGATGCATCGATGCCTAGACGTGAATCCGAAAGTGAAGAGAGCGGCAGCGTCGTGACTTGTTTCCGCTCTGACAAGAAACCTGGACAATAAGTCAGCATTGTCGTCACGCGTCATTCTACACTATCTCACCATCCAGGTGCTTGATCGCCATCGTAGAATAGGGCGTGTACGTGCGGTAGCAAGGAGCAGCGAGAGACTGAGCTTGACCAACGCGTTGCGTACACCAGCGCGACTTTCACTTGTTGACTACCAAGATCTTCATATTACGTAATATTCCTATATGGTACAGCCTACGAAGGATGAGTCTCTTTTTTTCAGTTTGACTTGCACAGCATCCAGACCTAGTTACCTGTGAAATTGTCTGACCTCTGTATACAGAGTGTACTGCATCCTCTCCCGTCTGCTTGCTTCTATACCCTCGAAACACTCTGAAAAACAACACTGACCTGGGAAATATCTCTATGTGGTGGAAGTGCTTAAATCGGAATGTGGTTGTCAATACATCGTATAGCCATACTACGGACTCACGAAGGTCTATGACACTTGCAACCTAGCAAGGGAGTAGCAGGTGTGGACCAACCGATGCTAACCGATGCTCATATAGAGACAACGATTCATCGGAACGGGTGTACAGACATAGCCCTCTTTGCGTGGTCTTCACACTATCATCACTACTGCGAGTAATCGCCTTGATTTTGATGTACTTACCAAAATGGCTTATAATTTTTTCCATCCACATCTGTATCCGGCTGCATCAGTGCACTGCATCAACTTCTTTGTTCCAGTTTCGCCTAAGAATGGACTACTGGCTGAAAATTTGCACGATGCTGAGAATGTCCAACCAAGTGCATATTAATTACCGGAAAGTATCAAAACCCGTGAGTGTCTGTAGCTCAAGGGTCTCCGAGAAGGTCTCTCCAGCAGTCTCATTGCCTTCGCGCTGGACGTCAAATATCTTGCTCATTATGCCATAACTGGTATGTATTTGCATTTATTCAAGCCTGTCTGGGCTTGACGATATAGAACGCTTGGACCTTCCGGATCCTTCTTTTACGGACCCGCTCAGATGATACATATGCACGCAAAGACCTCGTGAGCCATCGCTAAGCTGTCAGAATTAAGCTCTCGCCCTTCCCTGACTTCTCCGATGTCTTCAAGTAGCACGCTTTTTGCTCAAGTTCTAAGGCTATTCAATATCGCCCCTTTTCTGCACTCCTGAAACGCCTGGCTCTGTGTCGTTCGCGCACTTGCTCTTGGCATTTCTCATGAGGGGGAAGAAGCTAAATGTCAAAATCACAAAAGAATGGCCTCTTGCATGAGAAATTCCTGTAAACTGGTTGACCAACGTCTCTAAGGTACCAACACAATGTGGGACGTAAAAATCACTCGTCTCCATGCCATGCCCCAAAAATCAACATTTTTCGAAGAATTGGTGGCTTCAAATTTAATATGGTCGGGGTTTTCTCGCACGATGAAAACGGAATTTACACGTCCATGTGTAGTTTGGTTGAACACGTTTTGGAACTATTCTCTCAGGAAGTTGACTATAGTAACAGGAAGACCAACGACTGCGAGGGACAGGATCCCAATTCTTCAACTCTTAACGCCGTCTTTGCTGCATCAGCCAAGATGAGTACACGGAATGTACGGTGTCCAGCTCGAGCTTCGCTAATGCACTGCGGGAAGCGCGTTGTGAATAGGAGGAAAAGGTTCCGATATCTGCGAGTCGATTTACTCACGTTTGCTAAAAATAAATCACTCAAATGGTAGTGCACCCGGTTTATCCTACTGGTCGCCTCATACACTTGTAAAGGATAGATGATTTGCTTCTAGCGCTGAAAGTCAGAAAAAGTCGAGTCCATACTGCAAGCCTAGAAGCAAAACCACCGCACACTCGATGACTCGTGTGCCGATGACCTCGGCTGGGCGTTCATTATAATCAAGGCTGTGGTATTCAATTCGTGCGAAGTATTTTTACTCATCTCCAGACTCTGCCAAGAACGCGGTGCCGAGATGACGGCGGAGCTATGTTCCAAGTACGACATGTGAGCATGGCAGAAACTAATAGACAAACTTGAGCAATCGGTCGTCAGTCTAGACTCTTCAATGAGCGTCTACATACCCACGCACGCAACTCTATTATGTGGCACAAATAGTACAATCTGTCAGTGTCCTAATGGTGGAAATGTTCCTAGCTCCGCGTAGACACCAGTGGAATTGGGTGGTAAAACCTTTTCCTTGTTATGGTCCAAGCCGCTTGAATAAGTGATAATTTGTGATTTATTGTATTGAAAGTAAAAGAAATGTTGATTGACTTGATTGATGATGTGACCGGAATTTACAATACAACAATACAAGCTCAATGAATATTAGTTACATGACATTAGAATAAGACCATAATACGTTTGCTTTGCTCCTAAGCGAGTAAACCATCTTTCATTGCAGTATTCAGAAATCTAGAATCCCGGCACCCGGGCTGCTTGCCATCTCGAACGGCGAAGTAGGAGGACACACTCAACATCGTAGCCCTTAAGATGTCCAATCTAAGCACGGACATATTGACTCTGTGGGAAAAGGTATAAGCAGGTTATCAGAGGTCTTCATTCCCAGTCTCGCCAGTGGACGACCGACACGCTCAGGCTCGTCAGGTCAGGGAATAGGAGTAACAGCGCTCAGAGAGCGGCGCATACGCTGCGAGAAGTCGTATACGTGAGATTTTTGGGAGGAATATGATATCTAGAGTGGATTGGAAGCTGAGCACGCGGCCAAGGTTCACTTACTTCGGCTATACAGAACGTGGTAAGGATCTACGCACGCTATACTGACGAAACAGTCGTCCTGATAAGTGACTGCCGTTAACCGGGCTTTGTTATTATGGAATGCTGAACACACTCGAATGAGACTCAATGGTCGATTATTTATATTTCTGTAGAAACAGCGAGCTTGTTCCATGATACTGCCAATTAGGAGGGTTTGATCAGACCTTATCCGAAGATAGAGTGTAAAAGACATGAACCGCAGCAGCCAAATAAAAATATCTCATGGTATGCTCGCTGTGAAGGTAAAGCGCTTCGCAGTGTCAGAACCTTAACCAGCGCCCTACTGAAACGCACAAATCAGATAGCCAGCCAGGTCTCGACCGCATCCAGGTCTTCATTGTTCTCTAAACCAGGAGGAACTATCCAATACACTCCGTAGAGCTAGCCTGCAGGACGCCATAGACAGTTGCGCAAATCGTGAGACCACTTGATAGTTGAGACTCTGGAAGCACGGTGATCACGGGAGTGTTCATCGATTGAATCCGACATGAATGGAAGTATTTTCTTGTAATAAGCTCGATTCAAGTATGGTAATGGTAGATTTATATTCGCCTGCGAGGTACGGGGATATATCATTCTTCGTGATGAAGCGGACATATCTTAGAGTTCGGATCGCGGCGGTCAACGGATCCGGAAGTCGTGGTAACATCGAGAAATCTGATCGGGTGTACGAAGGATTTCCGAGTGTCCACCGCCGGGGACAGGTGAGAGATGAAGCCATATCAATAGAAACTGCACTATGAAAGAAAACCCATTTTGAGTCTCACTTGCGAGTCTGTGCTAAATACTGACCAATACGTCTATTAAATCAGGAAATCAGTATGAGGTTTCGTCACGGAACATTCCATAGTAAGAATGTTTCGGATAGAAATACCAATATCCAGCACGGAGAACATGGAGCGAAGATGTGCCAAATGTGCCAAGCCCGTTTTAAGACGGTGTAAAAAATGGGCACGAAGTACATCTTGCAGTTCAACTCGTGCACATGTAAGTAGGATTGGAAGCGCATTCGTAGGTGAATAGAGCGATCTCTTTTCTCTTGTTCCGTGACTAGACCCTTCAGGAAAAGGATGAGAACGCGTTGATATAGGACGATGGATGAAAAGGGATGAAATTACAGAACCCAAAATTGGAAATTGTTTGCACATCTTTGTCACTGTTTGTTTTATCCCACGAGCGGTAGCAAGTGTCGCTAGTGTTCCCTTCACGCAACGTCGCAGTCAGCACATACACTATCAAGCTCATTCACAGTATGAATGACAGCCTTTAGTATGACAGTCAGTGAGCAAATCAGAGCTTTCAATGGTTCTGGAGTGCAAATGAAGTCGAAAATGCCGGGCTTGTATCGTTGGCTTGATATGATTCTGCCTCCAATGATAATCTGCTTTATACTGTATGTTGTTCATCTGCATTCACAGGGGTTGCCTATTGACAGGTGCTGTGTACAGTAATGGGTGGTATTGGAGCTGGATTCAAGTTGGAAGTCAGTTTCTTCACGTTACCTCGGTTAAACCATGCTCATTGAAGTTGACGATGAACATCAGTACAGTTTCTAATACGAAGGAACGGCAGGGTCTGGTTTGGATGTAAGACTCTACAGTTCTCTGCAAATTCAACATTGCTAAGCCGCGAATAGTAATATATATCCTTGCGACGGGAGCTACTTTCTGTGCATTAACGGCACTTTATCTTTACTTCGTTTCGACAAGATTTCGGAATAGCACGACGGAATTGAACCTAACACAACCTGATTTGTCATTCCTCACTGAGCCATATGAATGCACAAACCTGCAGGGCGAAGTGAATGTCTGCCTCAAAGATGGAGCGATCTGTTACGGAAAATGGAAGCCTCCCAGGACGCACCATTGTTCTACGTGCGGAGCATGTCGGCGAGGATTTGATCATCACTGTCCTTGGGTATGTCCAGTATCTACCATACGCCACATTGCTTATTGATTAAGCTTCCAGGTGGGGACATGTGTGACTTCCTCACTGTTGCCTGCTTTTATACTCGTTCTTATTCTCACGCCCATCCTTTTTCTTATATCCGTTTTCCCCATTATGCCACTCCTTTGGGGGCGTATTATGCAAGGCCTGGCTCTATCTCGCAAGACAACTTGGATCAAAGAAATGTGGTGGAACCGATGGTATTCGTGGCTTCTCATAGGAGGCCCACCAGGCAGATGGGTAGTCGGAACCCTACTAGGAGTATGGGAACTTCAAATCGGCGAGAAGGAGTTCAGTAATCTCGAGGATCCAGGAATTGCTATAGCTAAGCCCGGTATTACTCCGCTAGTAACGGTCGCCTTCGCAATGCTTCTGAGCATATTCACTAGCGTTAGTACATGCTTCATATTTTGCTAGAGTTCCTGATAACTTTTTTTCCCTAGGCAATGGCGTTTTCGGCTATGCGGAACATTACTCTCGGACGGACCACTGTAGAGTCTTACATATCCAGCAGACCGTCGAGCTTCGTCGATCATCGCAATTCACGGTTCTTGTGTGTTCCCACATCATCCAAAGAACGGAGTATTCGGCCGATTTGTCCTGACGAACGATTGTACGATCTCGGGTGGAGGGAGAACTGGAGGAATTTTTTCCTCCAAGTGAAGAGAAATGGCATATTCGGAGCCGAAGAAAAGTATGATGGAAGTCGAGCTCTTTCGGTATAATCGGACTCAAGCCCTTTAATCCCATGACAGGTTCATCTGGCCCAAGATCAATCCGATAATTCTGCAAAAGTGCAGAAAGTCTGGTCAATCGCAGAAGCTTGTGCACACGACTCAATAGTCCAGCAGGACCGGTTATTTATACTTTATTTATACAACGATTGGTAGACCAAGGAGAAGGCGAATTCAAGATGGTGCTGTACCTGAAAGACGGAGGAATTCAGCTCGCTTTTCGTGGGATGCGCGAAGAGAAAGCTGTGAATTTTCTGACCTTGGTTTCCGCATCCGACTGAAGGCCAGTTGCCAGCAGTTTCTCCGGAGAGACAGGCACCGTTCCAAAGAGGTCCCCCGTCGGAACCAGACCATTGACTGCATGAGACCTCTTGGAACGTTCCGGTGAGTGCGCCGTGACCTGTTCAGTTCAATTTATTGAGTATTCTGTAGGATAGCAGTTAATACGGAGCGATGCTACCTGATGGGAAGAATGCGTTTGCTGCGCCGTCGTCCTCGCAGAGGTCAAAGCTAAATACATCCGAACGACCAGTTCAGCTCAGTTGATAATTTTAGGCACCTGAACACATACTGGGCGGACATCCCATGTTGGTTTGTCGGGTTTGAGGTGGTCTGTCCACACCACTCTTCATTTCCAGCCTGTGGGCACAGGTCCGTCACTTTCACAACGATAGTCTTGAATGGACCAGTAAACGCGGGCGAGTACGGATCGGCACTCCCCGTGACTGCAAAGCATCGTCCGCATGCATCTCCGGGCCCTAGTCCAGGACCAGAACCGAAAGAGAGCTGGTGTATAGCTGCAGTAAACCCTGATGCTGCCTTCCCGCATGCTATACGAAAGGTTACAATGAGCTTTCATGATCTGGTTGATGGATGCGCGATGGACTTACCTGGGCTCCCGCAGCCTGTGTACATCGTGAAAGACGCGGTCCCGCTAGGGTTCTGTATGTATCCACCAGTGGCACGCTTTTCGACCGTCGCAGCACCTGCGACAGCCAACACGCACGACAATAATCCCACAGACAGAGAGAGCTTCATGACGAATTGCTACTAGGACAGCAATAGTCGGTGGATGGATTTGCTAGCATTTCATTCTGCGATTTTTATTGCTCTCGGAAAAATCATCAGGGCCATGTACGCGATCTGGATCGAATACGGAGGTATCATGGAAAATGCAAATGTGAAAGAAGCGTGGTGTTGCTTTCTAAAGTCTCGCGGAGCCTTTAAAAACATTATTGGCTATGATGTGTCTCCCAGTCTCGTGGTACTCGGAAGATCCAATATCATCCATGCGTCGGACAAAGTACGGAACGTGAGCCAATAAAAGGCTAACTATTTAGGTGGACTTGAGATACAGTATACGCATGCTACACACGTTGTAATCATTTCGGATCCACACAAAAGCAAGGGAGAAGATAATATTCAATATTCGAGGTGACATGTACTCAGAAGAATCGACACCAGCGCGCGCCGCGGCGGCAGATACTAGTAAATAGAAACTCAATTTACGGAATTGCATTCTCCGGTCCTGCACATTCGCTGGCGAAATCCGACCGTCATCCGTGTCATCGTCGTCGATATATCTACCGCTACGGTACATTCACTCCAGCAAATCCGTCTGGTCCGCATTCAAGATGAACACTGAGAAGAACCGAACCAATTCCAGGAAACCCTCTGCTCGCACCGCTATAAAATATTTTTAATTTTCAGCTCACTGCAGCGCAAGGTCACGTATTAAGGGTTAGAAATATCATCATGGCTCACCTTCGTTGACTGTATGGGCTCCGTTGTACCGATCTGAAGCTCCGAGGTGGCCATATCGGAATATGTGCTTGGTCAAGTCCCAGTAATACCTCGTATCTGGAATAAAAATCAAGAATCGATGGCCGTCAAACATGATAATTTTTACAATAAGGCTTTTGGTGAACGGAACGGACCTGTGTTGCCTGTGCATATTCCCTCGTCAATATCCAATGAACTACAAGGCGACATTTCTTACACACCTAGCGACAACCCCGGCGCCACAGCGAACTTCTCAGACTCAGACAAGTCTGAGCTTCTCTGGTTCGTCATGAATGTGTACAGGATACTTCCTGATAGAAGGTCCCATGGACCGTTCCCAAACGTCGGACTCACAGGAGCAGGGTTGAGAGCACTACCGTACGCATCGGAAAGCGCTACATGACCATTCGCATCCTTAAAGTCCAGCGACAAAGAATCGTCACCGAAAGCATCCAGTGAAAGATTAAATTGCTTGGCTAACGGGGCGACGATGCTCGTAAAACGCGCCTCTAGCTCGGCTACAGAACTAACCATATATTTCATTTCAGTATATTATGTCACGAGTAAGAAGATGGAAGCACGAGAAAAGGAAACTAGCCTATAATCGGCGATTCGGTGGTTAACAATGGCATAAGCTTGTTCAGGAAGAGCGTTGCTCTTCACGCCGCCGTGAATAATATCGACCGCCTGCGTAGTTCCTGTACTAGGTCTAGCCTCACGGAAATTCTTCTCAAGCTCATTTTGGAGCTGCTTCAGTGCGGTATTATCATGGAGAGATGCTTTGATTAGCTTCTTGAGAGTGGCTGGGAGGGAAGGTGCGTGTTCGCCAAGGCATTGTAATTGCTGATAGTAAGTCCCTTCCCTTCTCAGTTGCGTCGGATGTGGGTTGTCTTCGAGTTCTGTTATTAGACGAGAAAGTATGCCGATGCTCTAGACACAATCAAGAATTCAGTATCGAGTGTTCTACATGAAATAAGGAGAGAGACTAACCGTATGCGGAGGTGGAACACTCGAATGTCCTCCAGGAGTCGATATCTGTACCCGCACATCCAGCTTCCCCTTCTCCGCCACAGCAGGAGTGGCAATCGTCGCCCCGAATTTCTCGGAATACCCACCTGCTCATCAAAACACCGGCAAGTTCATTTTAAGGAATGGAAGAAACAGTCAAACAAGCAAACGAGCAAATGGGCTGACGGGACGGACCTCCTTCATCAATAAGGATGGAAAACGCGTTCTTGCCATATGTTGAGAGGAGATGATCTCTTATTGCCGTAGCACCCTGAAACACAATGATTAAAATTTTAATGAAACTTCGAACTATTCATGCTCGTCAGGTATTAATAATCAGTTAAACCGACTCACATAGACCCCACCCCGTTCTTCGTCGATGCCCATTGCGAGAACGATGGATCTCTCCGGCTGAAAGTCAATAGAAAGCAATGTCTCGACTGCAGTCCTGAGATGATCTTCAGCCTCTGGTACAAAGTGAGACCTTGAGATGACGACAGACTGACATGCTGGCTATTAATCCGGACTTGTCGTCGCAACTACCTCGTCCCCAAATCCATTCACCTATTCGTCGTTCAACTCGCAGGATTGATCATCTAATAACTCGAGCATACCGTCAAAGTGTCCGGAGAAAGGTGGATGTACCCATTGCGAGGCTGTCTCCGGATCCACTGGGACAACGTCTGGTACGGATTTACATTCGTCAATTAACCAAAAATAAATATGTTAATCCGGGGTAATACCTTGATGAGATGTCAGTAAAATCGGCTTCAGACTCTTATCCGAACCCTGCCAATGGAATATCAAGGCAAACGAGTTGACTTTCGTCACACTCAAATTTGAATGCCTATTCCCCATTTACAACAATAATTAAAATTTAATGCTAGTCGATTTGGCAAGTCGAAAACACGGAATGAACATACATGAGAGGAAATCGCCTCTCCAAATAAGCATGAAGCTCTTCGAACGGTTTCCAATGCTCTGGATCTTTGTTTGGCGGTTTCTCCTCATCCTGAGTTTCTGTTCTATTTAATGTTCAAACGAAGTCAATAGCTGACCTTTCAAAATGACAAATTGAAAGAACGGGCTGATAAGAAACTTACGGAACTCGAACAGCCCCACCAAGCGACTCATACGCATGTAATCGGAACTCCTCAGTCCAAAACATCCCTTCCAATTCCCTAAACATATCTCTATGTACGGAAGGAGGCTCGACTGGCTCGACTTGTGGACAAAGTTCCTTGGCCTTTACCATTAAAGCAGTTCTACTTCTACCAGTATCGTACCAGTCGACATGGTTTGCATGAAACCGACTAAGGATCCCATTATTGACATCCCTCGGAGAAAAGCTCAGCAAACAGAGGAACAGAACAGCGCAGATAGCAAGTCTAATTCCATTTACGACCCTAGTGTTCGTCGACTTTTCCGATTGTAGAAAGATTTGTTGCGGCGATGACTTGGACTTACGATCCATCACTCGAGAAAGACGACAAGAACAACAAAGCCAGTCACACTGAACCTGAGATAAGACTGACATTACAAATAGGAATCGTGCTTCCATATGGCGTGCTGGTCATTGGTGAGAAAGTTTAGGTTAAAGGAATTCTAAGAAGCTTTATGCATCATCATCATCATGGGAAATTGGGATGATCGGCGAACGCGTTGTTTGCTTGTTGTTTATCACTCACACATATGCAAATACAACTTATTGACCTAAGCACAGCTGACTGTGACCAGAGCAATGCAGCACAGAGCATATAATACATTGCAGACACAGAGTCACGAAGACTATACAAACGATGCATTTTCTAGCAGCAGGAATAGCACGCAGACAGAAACAAAAAAGCAAGGAATTATTAACTTAAGAAACGAAAGAAATCAATTCGAAGCCAGAAGTGAAGAACGACGAATCCAACTGAACTCTTCATCTGGGCTTAAGACACAACCCTCGTTTGTCGTCTCGCAGTTCCCAGCGTAGTGTTGTTGACCTGAACAGAGAAACAGATAATAGATAATACCCGATTAAGTGAGTAAGGAATGGAGAACAGAACGTAGAGTGGCACTGACCTTCGTTGCAAACCGGAGCGAACACAAGCTTTCACCCATATGTGCCGCAAGAGGCGAAAGGTTGAGCACCATCTGTAAAAGTCGGTCCCGATTAAAAATCCGTCATCCCAGCCGTAAGTGCGAAAAGATTATCTTACCAATGTTTTCGAGTTCCCACTTAGCGAGTTTTGCAGCAGGTACGTAAGCTACAAAGTTTAGTTTCTTAGCTTAACAATTCCAAGAGTACGAACAGAGGGACGCGGTGCTCACCTTCGAGTTCCTATACGGAATATGTTTATCCACCTTCTCCCCCCTCTCCCCAAGCGCAGCAATAACATCCGCAAGCGCACTCAAACTCTTATTAATATTCTGCGTCTCCTTAAGTCTATCCTTATCACTACCCGCACCACTACTATTTAGCCTCTCCGACCCGGCGAGGTCGACAAGGTTTAATGAGCCTTCACAGGTCTCGCCACTTTCGTTAGTCCCGAAGATACGAAGAGTGAAGACGGAGTGTGAGCGGGAAGAACGTTCGTTCATTAGTGTTGCGGCTACTGTGCGACGGGATTGGGCGATAGATAGGAGGGCGCGGACTTGGCTGGGGGATTTCAGAGGAACTGTAGTAATCGCAGCAACGGCAGCATTATTGTTAGCGACAACAGTGCATGTAAGGAGATGGTTTAGTAGATGACTTACCTACGACGACGTCCGTCACTCTCGTCGACCCCTTCTCATGTTTGATTTCATGCTTCTTCTTGTCAAACTCGCCTTTTCCGAGAAGATCGTTGATGGTCTCATTATACTGTGCAGTGTAAGGCGAAATATAAGCTTAGCGTATGACAGACTCACGATTTCCAAGAACTGCCCTTCCATCTTGTATTCCCAGCCTTTGCTTCTCATCTGTTCTGTGACGCGGAAGACTTGCTCGACTGCACGAGGGATCATACCCGCTGTTTCTTCGTCCTATTTACACACTCGTCAGTGCTGAGAGACGGTACGGGAAAGGTACTACTCACCGCTCCACCCTCCATAGTGTACGACTAACAAACAACACAGTTGAGCACATAAACGTGAAGTCCCAAAGAAAATAGTTTACCTTTCCACTACCAGTCTGTCCATACGCAAAGATACAGACGTTGTACCCATCCGTACAGCTCTGCGCAAGCTGTGATATCTCTTCAAACACCTCAGATTGAGTGGAAGAAGGTTCGAAGACCTGAGTTGAATGTTCCGTCTGGTATCAGTGACAACCTCTGCAAGGACACAGAAACACTTACGCGATCGAAGCTGAAATTCCAATTTTCCTTTCGTTCTTGGCCAGTAGCGCTCTCACTACTCGAACTAAGCACGATGTCCTTGTGATCCTTTTTGTCAGGAAACTCGATCCGCGCCATACATGCAGCCTTCTGCGTTTCCAAGTCGTCACTCGTAGAATCATCCACGTTGTTCTCTCCCGACCCACACGCCGCTAGAATCTCAGATGGTAGAACGGGCCTGACACGACAGAATACACGTATGTTCCCTTTCAACTCCTGGATGGTATTATGCAGACGCCGACGAGTCATCTCAGCATCCCGTACTTCTTCCTCGAGCTCGTTAATCATTTCACGAGCCTTTTCGAGCTGAAGACGTAATTCCGAAGCATCCTGTGTTCTGCAGTCAAGTGTGGACTTCAGTGCAGATAGTTGAGCCTCTAACGCGCTGTTCTGAGCATTGAGCGTGATATGCGCTGTAGATTGGTGCGCAACGGTAGCCTTGAGCGACGTTACAGCTTCACGCTCTCGTTCAAGATCAGCCTGAGCATATCGAAGTTCGTCTTTCACCTCTCGTAACTCCCGTTCCTTCTTCCTCAGACTTTCTTCCAACTCATCAATCTCGCGAGCATGCCGACGCTTCAGCTCCTCAATTTGTCCAGATGCGTTAACGAGCTCTCTACGCTGAGTGACCTCCTGCGTCCGCGCTTCGGCGAGTTCTTGAGATAACGCAAGGTGGTTGGCTTGTAACTCTGCCACTTTTGTGCGTTCTTCCTCCATTTCGGCTGCCACGCGAGCTGCATCTGCTGCTCGTGCGCTCTCGATTGAAGAGACTTGGTTTTGTAAGGCGCTAAGTTGGTTGTTGTTGAGTGCTCCGCGTGTGACGGGTCCTGGACGGACTGGACCATTCGAGATGTTCCTCGTTGCGGGAGCGCGATTGCGCGCAGCCGCCGCTCTTGACGCTGTTGTAGTCGTTGTTGATGCACCTGGGCGGGCAGTAGGTGGTTGACTTTTCGTCGGTGCACTAGTCGCGCGTGTCCTGCGCGGCATACCAGTACCAGTACCAGTACCACCAGCGGCGGATCTCGCCACCCCAGCACTCGCCTGCCTAGTCCTCGGTAGATTCCCAGACGTCGTCCTTGAAGGCCTCAACGGACCGTTCATCCCCGGCTTAGACGGACCACCAGAAAACGCAGGCAGTTTACGAGGTTGGTCGAGTGCCTCTTGCGCTTCGTCATCGTCGTCCCGACTCTTTCGTTTCAGGGTGTTGGTACTATTGCCCATTACTGTCCTCTGTCTTGTTGTGATATTCTTATTATTGTTGTTGTTATTTGAGGTGGATGTGGATGCTGAGAACTTTGGCAGGCCAGACGTCGAGCTGGCGAGTTTTGGGAGACCCGAGGAGGTGGAGGGAACAGCTAGGCGGGACATCGTCAAGCGACTCTAACTCATGCACTTCGTCTAAACGAACTGTGTATGTTCTGTGGCTCCTTACGCGAGTCGACTACATCACGTGGTCGCGTCTTCATATAACCGCCCTCACTGTAACTTAAGCCACCTCTCCACATTTCTTGCACCTACTCATCCACAACCACCATCACCCCACCCATAATGACTCCAGAAGAACAAGAAAAGAAAAAACGCCTCGCAAACACAGCCCGCCTCGCCGCTATCCGCCTCGCAAAAGAACAAGGCGGCAAATCACTCACTCTCTCCTCCCTCGCCCAAGAATCCTCAGAACCAAAACTAATCACCCCACGTCTCTACCTCGGGAACTACTGGCACGCAACAAACGAAGACCAACTCAAACGTCTCGGAGTCACACATATCGTTTCAGTCATGGATCACGCGCCTGCTTTGGCTTTCTCGAAGGAATACCGTGCAAGGCTCAAGTCACTTCAGATCCCTATTAGGGATACTACTGTCTCGGCGATTGCCAATCCTTATATGTACTTTAACATGGTTGTTGACTTCATACGTGAAGCTATGAAGGAAAATGAGACGAATATTGTATTAGTGCGTATTTCCTTTACTAGTATACACAACTCTGGTGTCCTGTGTCTATGCATCAATGCACTATATGTACTGACGAGCCACCCTTCTCCCTTTGTTACAACAGGTCCACTGTTTCCAAGGCCGTAACCGCGCCCCAACTTTCGTAGCCGCATACCTCCTCGCTACCACGTCTGATTTCGACGTCCCAGACTCAGTAACCGCAGTAACGAAGTTCCTCTCAGAGAAAGTGGGCTTCCCGCTGAGCTTAAATTTCGGCTTCCGAAATAACCTCAATACCTGGTCCATGAAATGCAAGTCGCAGCGCTTGATACGAGCTCACAAACCTCGAGATCGAAAAATGGACGTTGACGAGAAGGTTACATAGTGCTGACACGATGTCAACGATGTAATTTTATGGATATAGTATCAATGTAACAATGTTAGCTAGTAAAGAACAAACAGCAGTCAGTACAGGAGACAATACAATCCAGGGAGCAGTTTTCAAAAAGGGAAGAAACGGTACAACAAAACAAACGACAACACAAAGCAAGAAAGCAAGAAGCCGATGAAAGCAAGTAGCCAATAGGCAAGAAAGCACGAACACAATAGAACAAACGGGGAAGCAAAACATGAGTATATAAGCATTCTTTTCAACAAGAGATCACACAGTCCTACCTCCCAGTCAGTAGGGCTTCTCGCACCGTACTTCTCTCAGCCAGCACGGCTAATAACTGCCACCGCGGATCTTCCGTATGCCGCTCCTTGAACTGCACGTCGTGGTCGAAATAATGCTTCGTGTCGCTAGGGCCCTCCGCTAGAAGTCGTGTGGCCGCGGCAGATTGGTAGGGCAGAACAGCGGGCCGAACGGTAAGAAGCGTTTCAAAGGCCGACGTGGTTAAGATACGAGTCGTCGGCTGCCCAGGCATTTTTGCAAGTTGGATCGACGTGATGGCATGAGAAGTCGAAGTGAGCGCAAGGGCTTGCGCTATTAGCTGTTTCAGTTTCGCCTATTTCGAGAGCGGTAATCAGAGACATTTTGTTCGCACAAGCAGTTCCTAATTTACCTCGCATGCCGTTAACATAAGACTAGCCACAGTTTTCGTTGGTGGATTAAGGTTATGCTGGGCGGAAATGAGAGCCACCCTTTCGGAAATATGTGAAAGAGTAGGAGCCCTTGTAACGGAAGCTAGGTTTACAGGGCTGTACGTCCCAGGAGGGTCTGAAAGGAAAATTTAATCTTCTTTGTTCTCACATAAGTAGATTGGAGTATTTACCTTTGCCCTCCGGTAATAGCTGAACACCTCTCTCCTGTACAATCTCATCAAGTTCGTGCCTCGGACGTTTGACCCCTGCACGAGCACCAGTATCCAATGCTTTCACGCGCTCGCGCTCTCTGCGGCCCATTCCGACGGCCCACATCTTCAGGCGTGTAGAATGAGCAGAAGCCGAAGCGTCATCTGCGTCTGCATTTGCTGCAGTCCGACGTCTCTTGCGTGGCGGCTTTCCAGGGACGTCCGGCGGAGGAGTGGGCGGCGCGTGGTGTAACGACGAACCAAGGACCGAAATAATAAGAGAGTTATGCAGTTGTACTGTATAGATGAGTCGTCATAAGCAATATCCTAGATGCGAACATAAACACCGAACGTACCAAGGTGTGATGTCGTTAAAGCCTGACGGATGATTTCCTCATATTCAACGCGCGATATCTTGCCGCCCAAATACGCGCTGAGTGTTTCCCAGTAATGATTAGCTTTGCCATTGAGAGCTACTGTGAGTTCTTCGCGGATGGCTGGTGCTGGGGTTGACATTGTGTTGTGGCTCAGTAGGCCAACAGAGGGTGGTGGTAGAAAGGCGAAAGGCGTGGACGGATCGTCGCGAGTCAAAAGGAGCGCCGATCATTGGCTGCTTACGTACACGCGCGCCTTATACGCGTCCTCTCTTTCAAAGTCTTTGAAGTTGAACCACGCAATTTAAGGGCATCTGTTAATTTCTAATTTACATTACAGCAAGACATGTACACTACAAAAACTATATACATTTGTAAAGTATGTATCTGAACCACCGACCCTTGGTTTTTTTTCTATATCAAGGAGGGATATGATAACTGAATTATGCAATTGTACTACATTTTCGAAAAACAATATATATAAGAAGTAAGACCTTGACTGCAAAACAAACATGAACACGAAGCGTACTGAGGTAGGATGTGGTTAATGCCTGGCGGACGAGTTCGTCGAACTCTTCACGCGGAATCCTGCCACCGAGATATGCACTGAATGTTTGCAAGTAGAGATCAGCTTTGCCATTGAGAGCTGCCAAGAGCTCTTCGAGGTGGCGTGCGCTGAGCCCGACATTAATATTGTGGTTCAGCGAGCCAATGGAGGGGTGTAGTCGAAGGCAAGTGTTTAGAATGCGTGCAAGAGAAAGTGGGAAGAAGCGTCGATCCTCGGGTGCTTATGTACACGCGCGTCTTATACGCGTCTTTTTGCTTTCAATTCATTCATCTTTTGACGCGTTCATTGTCTTGTGTTCTTTCACCATGACGAGCAACGCCCTTCAGCCAGGGCCATCTCGGCTGGGCGATAAGTTTCCGCAAGCATATGCGCTACCTCATTCATCCATGTCCGAAATCATTCTCGCACCGCTTGAGAAGCTTCAAAAGCTTTCAAATACGCTCTTTCTCGCTCTTGGTCCCGCACAAAGCAAGCCACCTCCGCCTCCACCTATAGAGGCTTTCATCGAGATGGACGCCGAACTAGCTGCTGCACTCCAGCAGGCGCGTGTTCATCAGCTCAAACAGCGACGTATTGAAGCTCTCTCTGCTGAGGTACTTGATTTGGAAGGACGGTTACGGGAGATTTCTACTGAGCTCGAACAGGGCAAGCAGGAGTTGGAGGAAATGATCGAGGAAGGGGATGAACGTGTTAAGGCTATCCAGAAAGCCAAGGAAGGTGAGCAACATTCGTCTCATGTCATCGTCAATAATATATTCACGCGTTCTGAAACTCTCGTAGCTGCACTACCATACCCAGAACTTCTCGCCTACGCACAGAGTCTAAGCGCATTCACATCAGCACCGCCGCATATGCCAGATATGATGCTTCCCGGACAACCTCCTCCACCACTTTTCTTCCCACCATTCCCGAATGAAGAGAAGATGCGTCGAGGTCGGCTTAACGCAGAAGCACCGCTTGGTTTGTTGGGCGAGACGCATTCAGTTGGTCGACGTAAGTTCTCTTAATTCTTTCGAAGTTTTTGAAATTTCTCAATATTGTTTTTGTTATACAGCACCGACCGTGTCCCCGAAAAGACCAGAACCGGCACCAGGGCCAATGCCTGGTTATCCATACAGAATGGACCACCACGCGCACCAAGAAGTCTTTGATTTGGACCTAGACTTGAACCCAGATTTCTGACCCGCACTTCCACGTTATGTACGACCTGTCATACTGCTCCCAACTTCTGGAGTCGACTTAGTGCAATATCACGTATCGCTTCGATAGCTCTCCCCAACTCGTTTCGCCAGGCAACGTCATCCATACTGTACGGGTCTATGCGTTGTAGACCATCAGGCTCGTCTGCACCGGGAAGGACACCTTCATCTCGGAGTTTTCCCTCCAACTCATTGCGTATCTGTGCTCGCGAACGGCCGTTGACGAACGTGATGTACACTAGACCTGGATATCGTCGTTCGTATATTGCATTCAAGTGTGCGAGGCTTTCGAGGACTGGTGCGGGAGTTGGAGTAACTGCTGCGTTGATTTGGGATGTATTTGTGGGTTGACCTTGTTCAGCTGCACTCAACGCACTCAGTCCTTCAACTTCACCGATTCGAGGATGGGCACCAATGAATTTTGCTTTTTGACCTTCCGGAAGCTGGGAAACAAGGTCTATTGTCATATTGACCAGAGCAGTGTAGTCCTTGGGTAGTTGGTCCTCGTCGGTACTTTGGATTTGTTGGATGAGTAAAGGTACGATTTGGTCTGTTAGTGTAGGTGATGGCTCGAATAGCAGTGAGAGTGCGTTTGTGAGGTATTTGCTGCTGGCGGATGTTGCAGAGTCTGTAGTTTCGGTAGTCCGGATTGTCTCGATGAGAGTGGGGGGTAGAGGTGAATGTCTATACGACGACATGTGTTGTGCTCTTGTCTATTGTCTATACAGTATACCGTTGGCCCTTGTGAACACATAGGGAGACAAGCTGTAGCTCACTAGAACTTATGATAATTTGTGTTGGTGTATTTTTTGGTGAACGCTGTTGTTTGTTATTGGATGGATGAAATGTCTGGTGATAATGGAATCATTCAATCAATCAATCAATTCCGAGTGAATGAAGGAACGACGATCAACCGTGCCGAGTCGGTCCGCTCAGAAGCACATACACCCCATATTCTCTATCTATAAAATAACTCAATCGCTACCATGACACCATCTTATCTTTACCTTCTTATCTTCCTACTTCCATCCCTCTCACTCCTTCTCTCCTAAAAGCATTGGCCCCAAAAGAGAAAAGTACCGTAATTCAACTTGACGCTATGGCACAACCGACACCTTTCGTCCTTAAGTGGGGAATAGTATCAACTGGCAAGATCGCTGCTTGTTTCGTCAGGGTACGTCTGTTTGCATAAATAGATAAATAGATACTGAACGAAGGGATCTTTCGTCTGTCGCAATATCCATGTCTTCGAATATAGGACCTTTTGATCGACCCAAAGACGTACGTCTCCGGATCTACTATACACTCACAAAACAAATGAACTAAGAGAAACTTGTATATACCATCTGCTTTAGACGAGACGTACATGACGTCGTACACAAGATCGTCGCCGTCGGCTCACGCAGCGTCGACAGTGCACGCAAGTTCATCGACGATGAGATTAAGGATAGCTCAGTGAAAGCGTACGGATCGTATGACGAGCTCTTCGCTGATCAAGTCAGTTCCCTACCTTATCTTCCGGTTGGATCCAGGATGACGAATAACTGACGAATAACTGATGAATATGTTTGTAGAACGTCGATGCTGTCTACATCGGTCCGTGCTTTCACTTATATCATAAAACGTTACTTTAACTAAACTCTCCGTAAACCATAAACAACAGGCACACCCCACACCCTCCACTACACCAACTCCAAATCCGCACTCCTCGCAGGCAAACACGTCCTCTGCGAAAAACCCGTAACTTCCAACTCCGCCGAACTTCGCTCCCTCCTCACCCTCGCAAAAGAGAAAAAAAGATTCTTCATGGAAGCGCTATGGACGAGGTTCCAGCCACTTGTGAATGAGTTGAAGAAAGTTGCCGAAGAGGTGGGTGGGGATGGAGAGAGGAAGTTGGGTGATCCTGTTGTTATGCATGCGGATTTGGCGGGGGATTTTGATATTGAGGGTGAGTATGCGTTTGCTTTGTGTGGAAATAGAGAGTGGGATGGGTTGATGTGATTTTATTTTTATTTTTAGATATACCTAAGACGCATAGGATTTTGGACCCGAAGCTGGGTGGAGGTGCGCTTCTTGATCTGTAAGTTATTCGGATACATGTCTCCCATGTCACCATCTCTGACTTTACCTACGTATCACTAGTGGCCCATATCCAATGGTCTGGGTAAGTCCACCTCCCACACCCCTCAAGACCGTTATACTGATGTTTATCTAGGCAATCATAGCAATGTACGAACACCCCAAGAACAACCGCTCACGCCCAAGCAACATTACCGGATCCATGCTCAAAACACCTCTCACAGACGTCGACCTCAGTACATCCTTCACACTCACCTTCTCTCCCTCCTCCTCCTCCTCCCAAACAAATCAACAACTCCTCTCTCAAGCAATACTAACATGCAACATAACCCTCCCCCCACTCTCCCCCTCAGGCGTCATCATCCGCTACCGTAACGGCACCATCCACGTCTCCCCACCCATCTTCTCCCCCCGCTCCTTCACAGTCCAGTATTTCGACAAACCGGGCTCGGGAACCGTCATTCGTGAAGAGAAACATGAAGTCCAATACATTGGCGTGGGGTGGCATTTTCAGGCTGACGAAGTAGCGAAGTGTGTGAGGGATGGGAAGGTGGAGAGTGGTGTGTGGAGTCATGAGATGAGTTTACTTGAGATGGATGTGTTTGATGAGGTTAGAAGACAGGGTGGGTATGTGTTCCCTCCGGGAGTTGAGCAGGTTGTGTGATATCTGTCTAGTGTAAGTGCGAGACGCGGATTGGATGGAAGGAAAGGAAGCACATAACAGAACTTAATTGGTTGTATTATCATAGGAATAACAAAGCAAGGAACATTAGTGATTGGCTTAGATGCTGCAAACAGCAAGACAGAGTATTCACATATCCAGAGTAACCAGGTTTGAGTGCGGGCTGCGAATGTAAAAACACGAGAAATTCAAGCTTCTCAATCTTTGCAGGTGGTTGGACCCTGGCACGCAAAGCTCTTGCTGGTGAAACGGTCAGATCAGGCCCAGGCATACACTACAAGAAGACAGCTTCATGTTGACGAAAAATATAAAAGTACAAATGCACGTCTACAACAAAGCCATGAAACAGCGAACAACGACAAGGACGGAAAGCAACGCAAGCAAGTCGTCACATGTAGAACTCCGGCTTGCGCGCGTTAATACCGTATTCCGCAAGTGCAGCGCTGAGGTCTTCCATCGTAAGTGTCGTTCGTGTCTTGTCCTATACATGATATTATCGTAAGTACACAATAAATGTGTGAGTGAGTTTAGGTGTTGAAAGGCGGTGGGTGGGTGGAACATGAAAGAACGAACGTACTCGAGATGACTGGCCTAACGGTGCCCTCCCACGACCACCTGCGGCTGCGTTCGTCCTTATTCGAGCATGTTGGTATGCGTCTGCAGCGATGTCAGATACGAACTTCTGTGCTGCGAGGGCAACAAGTCGTTTTCTATATACAATAGCACTTTGTCAGCGACAAACAAAAACATAGACCAGAAGGACAAGAATGAAGACGTACAGTCGAACGTCTTCACACTCAAACCCAACTCTTTGAAGAAAGTAGTCTGTTACTTCTTCTGGTATCTAAAAACAAATAATACAGACGTCGACATCAACGAACTGATATAAGAATATATTCATATACGAAATAACGCACCAAAGGCTCATGCTCATCCAATAACAACATAAACTCCGCAAGCGTTCTATCCTTCCTCGCCTGCTCAGCAGCCGACCGAGAAGACGGCTGAGGCCCACTCTGACTTCCAGTCGCCTGGGATGGACCAGACGACTGTTGGCTCGACGTCTGTGCGGTGACCATTGACGAAGTAGCTGGGAGTGGTGTCGCGGAAGGAGTTTGGTATGTTGGTTGTGGTGTGGATGCTGTTGCCTGCGTGCCTTGTTGTTGTGAATATGACATGGTGGGCAGCGTGTACGGATAAACGTGTGTTCGGTGAGTTCAGCTGAGTAAGTCGTCTAGGTCGAGGTCGTGCAAAGAACCAGTGTGAATGTCAGAATTAGAGTTGTGCGTCGACGATCAAGTCTCTCACGTGGTTCAGTGGCTGTGAATGTCGCACAAACACATGACAATAACTATCCACAGTACGAGTTTGAATGGCATAGGATTGGGATTTTGTGTATGTACAGTATTAGAGTACAGCAAATGATAGATGATAAAATAGGAGAAGTAAAGATAGCAGAAAAAGCAAAGCCGATACCCTACGTTCCTACACGAGAAGCAAATAAGCAAATAAAGATCGAGAAAAGCCGAGAAAAAATAGATATTAAGACAGAAATAGAACAGAATGAAATTAACGTGCATCCTTAGGTCCGACGCAGTCGAAGCTGAAAGAAAGGAAGAAAGAAATTAAGCATTTCCAACAGACATACCCATTTCACTCAAGAACCTCTCCCACGTTGCCTGGTCGTGCATTCCATTTGCCTGCGACACGTATGCGCTTTGATTTAGCAGGTACATGTCCGCCATGCCCGTCGTTGGTTCGTACTGCATTCCTGGTGCACCGTACGGGGGCATAGCAGCAGCGTCCTGCATGATCATAGGTTCGGACTGAGGTAGATAACCTCCCGTCATCGGGTACAAACTACCGTTCTGCGCCATTGCAAGGCCATCTTGCGGGGCGCCTATTTTATGAGGCTCGTCAGGAATGGAAAGCAGAGGTTCATACACAGATGATGCTGCTGCGAAAACCGGGTTGTGATGCACAGTCGAAGGGTCCCCGGCGTAATACACCCCTGAGAAGTCCAGCATCCGTATGTCTCCTGCATTCTGTTCCAAGCTAGAGTGAGAAGATGCACCTAGCGATGAAGAACGGTAGTCGTGCGTCCCGTCGGAAGATTCAGAAAGCGATGACGGTGAGGCCCCTGACGAGATCGGTAACGGCTTGATTGACTCGGTCCCCTTCACTTGTTCCATATTGATCAAGACTGTGCTTCCTTCCAAGATGCGCATAGTTGCGCAGTCAGGCCCATGGCGTTCCGCTTCTTCCTTATCTTCCCGTCCGTGTCTCTTATAATGTTCGAACATGAACTTTACCGCGTCTCGTACTGACGATAATAGTTTCTTGAGAAGGATGAGGTAAGCTGATACGATCGGACACCAGGACGAAGTGTACTTACGACACTTGGTAAATTGTCTTCAAACACCCGCATTTTGTACAGCTCAACGCCATCTTCAATGGCTTTCAGTGCATCAGCAGCCAGCGAGGAGCCCGGAGCATTGAACACTAAACATCCTAAAACAATCTTCACAAGACATGAGTCTCATCTCAACCATGACAGAGCGAAAACCTACGATCGAGGAGAATGCAGCAGACCAAAAGAACGGCTGCTTTGAGGCTTTACAAGGATATACACCATACAACGATCGTAGACTAGACAACAGGAGACAAGCACTCCTGCAAGCTGCCATCACGGATGCGCCATATTTGGTCGCAAGAGGGTCTACACTATTCATCCTGATCGCTGTTGCAAAGTACTTGCGATGAATGTACAGCAACGCTGTTGAACGACGGTCAAAGATGTATAGTCTAGCGCTTAACTGGAAACGTACTAGCTTCCCTGTAGCAGACGACACAGTACTGTTGCATAGCCTTCGTTGGATCTGTGTTCCATGCTCTTCCGTCAACTGGCTCACCCTTCCCCCGAGTCGGAGCGAGAAGCCAAGATGGTGGTGGCAGTTTCCGTAGCTTGATGTCGACCTCGAGGACTGCCGAATAGCTTTGTTGACGGACACTAAAGATATGGCTCAAGACCGGCGCAAAAATGAAAGCCGCGAAGCGGTGCTTGTATGCTTCATCTGGATTAGGGAGATCATCGATGTAGAATCATGATACTGTCAGTCACTAGGACATTAAAGCTGTTAAAAGTGGCTCACAGCCCATCTCTCTCTCGCCTTTGGCGTTATATATCTCCGACTTGTCCTCAGGGAAGCGACAGTCAGTGTAACTGATATTCAATGAAGGCGGTCGTCCGTAGATGATGCTCTGCGTTGTGTACAATTATGAAACCATTATTTGGGCAGATTTCATCTGGTCAACTCACATTCCACGCATCCCACGCATAGAGCTCCCAGAAGAGTGTGCGACGGCGCTGCGTCTCCTCTTCACTAAGTTTCCATGCGGCAGGATCGCGTTCTGATTTCAGCCGCTAATTTGAGCTTGTTATTTCAATGATCAAGGTCAACTTCACTTACGAAGACCAATCTAGAACGTTCAATCGAATGAGAACCAAATACTTTTGGAAATCGGAGCATTGACTTACTGAATAGGCCAGACGGTACATGACCCCGCTGACGAGCCATCGGCGCTCACATGCTGGGCTATCAACACAATTGAAGTATTGTACCATGACAAATAGAGCCTGTAACGATGCACTCGTTGATACTTTGACAATGGGGCTTAGCGACATTGCCGCGCATGCTAGTAGGTAGTACTTCTCTCCATCGGCTTTCCCGTTGCTATCTTCCCTATTTAGATGGGAACCGATTGCAAGGACAAGGTAAATGAGGGCAACTTGATGTGCATGTAGTCTATCTCCACTTGTCTCTCCTTTCGAAGCTTGCAAGAGTGCTTCAAGGAGATTGGGGACAAAGAGTTCCTGTTGAATCACTTGGAATCTGGACCAATGTTGATAAATGCATTAACACGGAGAGATAATGCATATACTCACGAACAACCCGCATGTTCGAAGTAAATAAGGGAAAGAGCCAAGGCTTTTTGATGATCAGGGAAGTGACGCAAAATAGCAGATTTTGCTTCCGGATCTGGGGTAATTACGTTGAAGGGGAAGGCATTGATGAGATCAATGATAAACAAGGGTAGGCCAATCCTGTACAACATTTGGGAGTGCAATGGTTGATGAGGATCTCCCTCGGAGCCCTAATAATTAACACGTTCAACATGAATGGCAATGATCATTGATATGATCAATTCGAGATACTTACAGGAAGAAGAGTTTGCAAGAACTGAAAGAAATGGGATTGAGCGCTGAAATGCATATGAACAAACGGGTCGCTTACCTCTGACGCTGAAGACTGTCCATGGAATCGAGTTTGACCCTCTTCTCCAATTGAAAGTGACCCTACGAGATCAGCCGCTTCTTCAGCACCATCTTTTTCGGAGTCCTCTTCCCCATATGCGTTCGCATCGGAGTCTGGGGACCGTTCGGCATTTTCGAGAAGTGGGTGAGGTTGAGGTGAAATTTGAGCCTGTGTTTTACTCAAAGCAGACTCCAGATCCCGAACGCGTGAATTCAACCGCTTGACCTGCTGAAGAAGCGTTTCGTTCTGCGTTTGCAGGACTCTGGAAAGTGTGGCAAAGTAAGACACTGATAGCTAATAGGTAACGAAATAAACTCACTTATTGCCCTTCGTCGCAGCCAAGGTACCTACATAACAACTTAGTTCCGATTCATCCGGGGGACTGCAGGCCAAAGTAGCGTACCATCAGGGCAAATATTGGCACACCCCCTACGAACACATGCCTAAAAAGTTCCCATGAGTCTATCACCACAGGCACTTGGTAGCTGGGGGTCGTACTGAGCACGGAAAGGTGCGATCACACTTCAACTTCGATCTGGAGAGTCAACACCAGCAATCAGAGAGTGTCCCAGCAGTGTGTGAAGGTGAGACGGACCTCCTGCATTCGGCGCAGGACATGCCGACCTTGCGGTCACGGTCGTTCTTATTCACATGGCTGGACGCCTTCGAGAGTTCCTTTTCGTTCGCCATCGTGCCCGTGCAAGAAGAGGTGGTTCAAGAAGAGAGATGTGGGTAGATGCGTGTGCAGCCAGGCTTTTCAGGGTCAGAGAGTGGAAGGGTGAGGTGATGGTTGTCGTCAAAGCGCTAAAGGCTAAACGGGGTCGATCTAAACCCAAGTCGCCTCTCCCCAGGTTGCTTTGTCAGACAGCGTCTCATGACAAGCTACTTTATACACCAGAACCTTAAAACAAACAGGCATGCGCATTTCATTTCCATTTTGCCTTTACAAATACTGCCACAGGTTCGACAAATCTAATTAATCATATTCGCCAAGAGTGGCTGCAAGCATAGCCAGCGACGATGAGAAAGAATTGATCCATCCAACACAGCAACCCTCGGCGCTCTGAAACACCATCACGACTCTCCAACTCAATCAGTCATGTCCCGTTCCCCATTCACTACCCGATGGTTAGCGCTGCATGACAGTCTGTGGAAGAAAAGAGAAGCAACATCAGCAGACTGCTCAGCAAAACACGAGGTGAGATAGGGTAGAAGGAAGGGTCAGAAAAAGCGAGACTCTGGTCTCGAAGGTAGCTGAGATGGTTTTCTGCACTGCGAACAAGTCCGCGTAAAGCCAAATGCCTCAAACATCATGCAAAAGGAAGAATGATCGTAAAAATGAGACAGAAAGGCACTCACCAAGTCCTCATCATGAGCGTGAAACAGCAAAGGATTTAGGAAAGGCGCAGAAAAAAAAGGCGCTAGGCTTGGCGATCCCGGCAAACACCGCCTAAACTAAGCTTGCCGGCGGCCAAGCGTGAACTGCATCATTGCACCCACTCTGGTTGGATTGAATTAAATACGAAGAAAGTAACGAGCCACATTGTCATCCCTTCAAGTATTGGTTCGAGCCTGAGCTTGCACGGAAACAAATTCAGGCATGAAATAAAAGGAGATACTGGTAAGATACACGTCTGATAAACTCGACAAGCCAGTCACGTCACGGTCACAACCCTCGCTTACCAAATTAGGAAGGACCCTTACAGCGAAATTTCAGAGTGTAACTTTGACTTGAAGTTTTGCCTCAGCCAAGGATGATTCTATATAATACAGAGAAGAGAATCTTGCCTATTTTCAGATAGAGTTAAATATTACAACAATAAAATATTTGACCATTACAGTCTGTATCTATAATTTTGTAGCTTTATCAAGATGATTACACCATCCGATCATTATGACAAATACTATATATTATAAATATTATTATGTAATATACATATATAGCAATTATTTGTCATATATCCTTATCTGATGGTGGCGAAATCTGAAAGAAAAAATTAAAAAATTTACCAGACTGCTGGAAAAGTATAATTACAGCATTTAGAGCAAAAAACATAGTTTGCAAAATAACTCAGCCAATATTCACTTTTAAGAAATTCTGTTCCATCATTTTGTAGAGAAGGCTTAATACAACAAATCGATGGTGCTACTTTTTGAGTTTTGGGTCTCTGGATGGACGAGTTTCGTGCTCATTGTGGAGGCTGCATTAGGAAGGTAAGGTTACATCACGTGAGTCACACAGCTTGTCGAGTTTATCAGACGCGTATCTTACTTGTATTTCTTTTCTCACCATGTGGCACATCTTCTCTTCTCTTCTGATAGGAGAATACACTTTGGGTAATGTTCTGACATGAGGTATTACCTCGCACGGATAATAAATGGGTTAACGAAAACCAGGGAGATAGGTGTTTTCAGCGCTACAATAATAATAGAATGAACGTTAGTATTGATCCGTGGCCTCATTAATGGGTCATGCGTACGGCACTTCCTCCTACTCTGTTAGTAGAACACACTTATAGTAATTTCCTAGCATGAGGAAACGCTCCTCGGCCAACAAGTAAGATAACGAAGAATCAAAACAAGGGCAAAGATGTTTCGGCGCTTCAGCATTAATAGAACGAACCTTAGTATTGATCTGTAACAACACACCAACATAGTTGAATCATGTCTCAATGTGAACAGAGAAGACCCCTTTGTTCTTTGAACTTTCCTTGGTGTGGTGACAATCATACGACACAGAAGCGAAAGAGATGGTGGAGTGAGGTGAGGAAAGGGATTAAGAACTTTAAGAAAAAGATGCGAGCTAAAATTTGCTCCCCACAAAGCACTAGTCTTTTAAGTTGGTTTTAGTGCAGTACAAAATAACGCTGACTTACCTACGATCGAATCGGCACTATAGCAAAGGTAAGAACGACCAATGTTATTTTTTCTTCGTCTTTCTGGACTTTTCCTTCTCCTTCTCTGTTTCCAACTTAACTGTCACCTCAACATCCATCGCAGCCTGTTGCTCTGCTCGTTCAAGCGACTCAAGTAAGGGAAGAAGATGTGGACTAAAAATTGCTCCCCTACAAAGCGCTAATCTTTTAAGTTGGTTTCAATGCAGTACAGAAAAGCACTGATTTGTACGATCCGTACTATAACAAATATAGGACCGACCGATGCTATTTTTTCTTTGTCTTCGCCTGTTTTGACTTCTCCTTCTCCGCCTCCGTTTCCAACTTAACTAACCCCTCTTCAATCTCAACCTTGTCAACCTCCATCGCAGCTTGCCGGTCCGCTCGTTCAAGCGATGCCAGTAGGGCGTCAATATTGGGAGTGACGACGAATCTGCGGTTCACCTCGCCAATGACGCTCAGCCTTTTCTTTTCCATGTCGACACGTACGGCATGTTGGAGGAATGAAGGTTGTGTAGCGGCGGAAACCTTTTTAATCAAAGGATCCTCAATCATGAAAAAAAAAAGAAAGATCCGAGGGATTGAGGTAGGAGTTACTCACGTCAAGCAGGATACCATTTTCCAAACGCATTTTCACTGCTCCGCTTTGATGAATTTCTAGTTGGCCTATGACTCCGTCAAGCGGAACAACTGGTGCTTCTTCCTTCTTGGATCCATCAGCTACAGGTGTACTCGCACCGGATGCAGGAGGCTTCACATCCGGGGCGAACGTTACAGCCTTTTTAGCCTTCTCCGAACCTCCTACAGCCTTCCCCTTGTCAACTTGAGACGGAGCAGTCTCTGTCATTTCGACGTCTTCGGATTTTGGAGGCTCGCGTAGAAGGAAGGTAGGGAAGGGTTCAGGAAATTGAAAGAAATAGAGTTTTTCTGCTCGGACGTTTGGATCCTGCTATTTGTGAGATTCGTGAAGGCAGAAGTTAAAGAGAGATAAGAAAGGCGTACCGCATCGAGATCTTCCTCCTGAAATGTAAAGTCGTTGATAAGATCTTCCATCTCTTCCTCTTCTTCACTTTCGGATAGGTCCAATGCATTTGCAAGGTCAACATGTTCATCTTCGTCCTCTTCTAAAGTAACCTCCTGCGGCTCAGCTATGGTAGCAATGCTTCAGTCTATCTTTGGTAGATAGAAGTAAGGATAGTAAAAATTAACCTTTTACTTTCCCTTTATCCTTCGTCGGTTCTCGTTTAACACCAGGTTTTCTCTTCTTCTGCCGTACTTTCTCCTTTCTCAAGCTCTCCGGAGCCATCCAGTCCATCCGCCTCACATCGTCGATATCGATTATCTCAACACCTTCATCCGGGTCGGAATAAGTATCGACGTCAATGACTTTTTGATTCAAGTCGGACGGCTCGCGTTTTAGTGAGGGTGTCGGTTGATGCGTAAGTCCTGTACCGAGAGAAGATGATGGTGTGGTACCGAGAGGTGCAACTGGTGCGAAGTTCGAGCGAGGAGCCGCTCGGCGGGCGGCTGAAGAACCAGCCATGGTTGGACCTAGAGCTAGTGGACCGGTTGCTGTCATCTCGGAAGCGGCGTGAGGTGCGCCTCCACGAGCATCTCCTCGTCCACGTCCTCTTACAGCTCCACGACCTCGTCCACGAGTATCTGAGGTTGGTATTGGTTTCTCGGCATCTGATTCCTGCACCAAGATCGTTGTAAAATATTCCCTGCATACAAGGGTGATTAAGCCAAGACAAACGTACCGGCTTCGGTTCCCTAAGAATCTACGCGTTAACGCACGAGCAAAGGAGGGACGAGTTCGACGACGCACTCCTTCTTTCTTCGTGGCGGTAGCGTCGGCGTGAACTTCATTTTTGATGTCCCGCGCCGCGTTACGTCGTCTTGTCTTCTAGCGGTATTTGCAATTGCTTTTGGTGTCGAGCCATTTTGGCCTGAGCCGGACCCAGATGGGTTTGACATTTTTTATATCAAAAGGGAGGATGAGAAGAGTAAAGTGTAGTTGCGTGGGTGGATTCAGTGGAAGTTTGAGTCAGTAAATTGAGTAAAGACGCAGATCCCAGTGGCGTCGATCATTTCGACTGGTCTTTACATACACCCTTCGCTTGTTCCCTTTGTATTCGTTCCCGTTAACTCTACGCTTCTTTCTTGGATCTCACACCGTGACCATGGGTGAAACAGAGCATCTTGTACGCCAATAATCGCATTTGCTTTACAAACATTCGATTAAAATGTTATTAAAGCACGTAACTTACAACGGAGTACACAATATCATCAAAGGCGCCTCAAAAAAGATCGCAGAGTGGAAGCCGACTCTGCTCGTCGCTATTGGTACGTTGAGCTAATTACAAGGAATATCGATATAGTTACTAAATCGTTGACATATCGCCTTCCTAGGTGGAGGGTCAGTCCTCGGCTCTCCTATTTCCGTCCACCATGTTAGATGAACGCAGATAACCGTGCATACAGTGGCTTCTTCCCGGCGCGCGTACTGGTTAGCTAATTTTTACCTAGATATGTACAGGCAACTGGAAGAATAAGCTGACGTATGTGCCTGCCAGCGTACGTTCTTGAAAGATCCCGAGACGAAGAAGAATATTCCTATCTTCGCCATCGGGCTTTCTTTGTACGAGTCTTTACCCGGAACAACTGCGGAGCAGGTTGGAAACGAAGTGATCAGGACGCAATGGCTGTATAATGCATTTTCTTTGCGCATATATCGAGACTTATGGTTGACTTATTGTCAGGGGATCCGAAGGCGCTCAAGTTCTTCTGGGTCGACGTGTTTTGATCGTAGTACGTGTTCCATTACTTTAAACGCATTTAAATTATTTAAATGTGAAATTAGGATGAAATCGACGATACTCGTAAAACCTTGCAGTGCGTGTCGATTATTTTAATTGTTTTCTACGTGTTTACTTATGTCTATCCTTCCAAGTTACGCCATCAAAGAGCTAAAGGCGGATGCCGAAAAGGAACTCCTTGCCTTACCAGAAGACCAGCGTGATGCAGCGCGTCCTGACTTCGCCGTTTTCGTCGTCCACAACAAGCTAAAAGAAAAGGCGGCAGAGTTACCCGCTGACCTACCGTGAGCCCGACTGTTGGATTTTGAGCTATTCTCGTGTGCTAAATGTCTATTTTATGCCAGATATTTCCCAGGAGACGAGGTGCCTGATGTCTGGTGAGAATCGTTGATGCATTTCGTAGGTAGACCATCGATTACTGATCTTTGACTACGAAGGCTTGATTATCCTTGGGAGTCGGTGTACGTGTTGTCTCACGATTTTATCCGAAACAATCTCATTTTGGATGACAGGGATATTGAGGAGCACGATAGACTGGCAGCACTAGACAAGCTGAAGGCAAAAAAGACTGCATAAACGATTCGTGATGGTATGCTTGGATATTATATAGTTTTACGTGTGATGCAATAGACTGTAAAAGATGTGCAAATAGTGAAATGCGATGCTGTTTGAATCGATGCGGAAGGCTGAGGGCGTGAGAGAACCTGGTTGGCTGTCGATCTGAGTGAGCACCAATTGGGACGAGCCGTCCAAGCTATGATTGGCGGACGCCCGAAAGTGAGCTCTCAGCCTCATTTTGCCGCTCCCATCCCTACCTCCTCCTTCGCTCTCTCTTTATCACCTCTTGTCGACGAGGCCAGATAGCTATCTGGGTCCTCAAGTGTCCGAGCTAGGACCTCTGATTTTCACCATTACTTCCGACTAAGCCGCTGGTGACTAAGTCCGCTTGGATTGGTCCTTAGTCTACTTTTTAAAGCGTCTCGGCGGTGTGAAGTTTGAAACTGCGGGCGTGTCCTCTACCTCGAACCACTCCGAATTTATTTGCCCATGGCTGAAGATGAGATTGAATATGAGGGACTTTCATCAGATGCAGGATTCGCGGTGCGTATCTACATGACTAGCTTGCATGGGATACAGTGCTCACTCTTTTTCTGGGTTTTATTTGTGACTTTAGGTCAACATGGCTGCGGGTGCCCTCGTGAGTCGCTTTTAGCATATCCATGTTACTACGACCTCACTGACTAAGTTTCTTATGCTAGGCTGGTATCACGGAGCACGCTGTCATGTACCCAGTAGACAGCATAAAGGTGTGTGCTCTCCGCTGGTTACACGTATCGACAAGTCGACTCAAATGCCCTAATTCTTCATAGACTCGAATGCAAGTCTTTGCGACCAGCCAAGCAGCAATCTACTCTGGTGTAGGGAATGCATTTTCTCGAATATCGTCGACTGAAGGCATGCGAGCGTTATGGCGGGGCGTCAATTCGGTGATCTTGGGCGCAGGTCCGGCACACGCGGTGCATTTTGGTGTGTATGAGGCTGTCAAGGAGTTTACTGGGGGTAATAGAGTTGGGAACCAAATGATTTCGACTTGTACGTTCTTATCGAACTTGTCTTTCCTGAAAATTTTTTTCTGACTCAGTGTTCGTTAAAGCTATTGCGGGCGCTGCTGCAACTATTGCAAGTGATGCTTTAATGAATCCTTTTGATGGTGCGGAAATCTAAACTGATAAACAAATAATGCTTGTTTACTGACTTGCTCCCAGTTGTGAAGCAACGAATGCAAATGCACGGCTCTGAATTCCGTTCAGTCATAAAATGTGCACAAACGGTACTTAAAACCGAAGGGATCGGGGCGTTCTACGTGTCGTACCCAACGACGATCATGATGACTGTTCCCTTCACTGCGGCGCAGTTCACTGTATACGAACATATAAAACGGATTATAAATCCACGTAATGAATACTCCCCAGCGTCGCACGTCGTGTCAGGTGGGTTAGCGGGCGCTGTTGCGGCAGGGATAACGACACCGCTTGATGTGGCGAAGACTTTACTACAGACGCGCGGTACCTCGAATGACCCGGAGATTCGCGGTGCGCGTGGGATTGTGGATGCTGTACGGATTATTTACATGCGAGATGGGTTGAAGGGGTTCATGAGGGGTCTTACGCCGCGCGTATTGACAAATATGCCGAGTAACGCACTGTGTTGGCTGTCGTATGAATTCTTTAGTGAGTAATTCTGCTGAGCAACTTTTCTCTCCGCGGTGCTGATCGTCGTTATCTGATATGATAACAGAGGCTGCGATCCGCGAATGAATAAAAGATTCATCTGGTATAGATTTCTTCTTATTATCTTGCTATCCAATCCTGTGTACACCTCGTGTGCTGCTATTTTTTTCAACTATCATCGCTCACGAACATTCCTCACCGATTTGCTCCGACTTTTTCATTCATGACATCTGCAACTCTATTCATCCATATGTTTTGCTAGTTTATTGCAATTTCGTAATTCGATGCACATTGAGGGTTACTTTTCTTTTGTTTCGGTGATATACGGTGAATACGATGGTGTTCTCGACGTCCTGAAGCCGATAGGTCGGGATTATCATCATCTAAAAATTTTGCATCTTGCTTGGATCAATTTATGAAACATGAGCTAACAAGTGATCTAAGCGAGTCATGTGATATTGAGATAAGGAAAAAGTCGATCAGGTGCCATGTGTGAAATTGACGACAATGATATAGCAAATTGATGTTTTGACTCAACTACGATCTGAACTGAATATTGTCCCGTCATGAGCGGACGGTCAAGAAAGCTCAATGTGACGGAGCAGAAGATTCATCAGGCGTTCCTTTTTACCGATAACTCGGTACGTCTATCCATCCTGAACGAAGAGCAGACGAGGTTAACTTGCTTCTCGTGCTCTATAGACACTAACACAAAAACAAGTCGATGCTATCGAACCCGACCCGAAGAAGAGAACGGACGCTATTAATGTTCTCTCTCAAACGGTGTGTGGACTGTTCTTTTTCTGCGAATAGGAATGTTATAGTGTAGGATATGCATATGCTGATGTCGGCGACGTGGGTTTTAGGGATTGATTCGTATTCAGAGGGGTGCAGGGGGAGGGATATCATATCGTGCAGTAGGGAAAAACGAGATTGAAGCGTGAGCGCTGTTATTCTTCTGAATTACATAAATAGTTCTATCTGACTTGTGTTGTGTACGACAGGAAGAAAGACCTTGCAGGCGAAGAATTACTCGTGTTGAATCATATCCAGGCAGCAAGCAACGAAGGTGCGACTGATACTTAACCATACTTGTGACTTTGCATTAAACATATTTTCCTCACCGTGGTATCGTCTATCTAGGAATTTGGACGAAACATCTCAAAACGAAGACGGAGCTGCACCAGACCGTGATCGATAGATGCCTCAAGTCGCTCGTACACAAGCAGCTTATTAAGAGTATCACGAATATAAAGGTATACTTACGGTTCTATTCAAGTCCCTATACCTCGCTCCTGGTGCTGAGTTGAGCGATCTTCTTGTAGTATCCAACCAGGAAAACCTACATGCTATACCACCTCGAGCCATCTTCTTCCATAACTGGTGGACCGTGGTACACAGATAGCGAACTCGATACGGAGTTCATTAAATTACTCATGGACGCGTGTCTGAAGTTCATTCGTGAGAAGGTGAGTGTAAAAATTGTGCTGTGTTTGCACGATCGACCGAGTCTTCGGTACTAATCAGTTTACATCTTGCTTTTGAAGAGCTTCCCAAGAGGGAAAGGAGACGCTCTCTTTCCTATATCCTCCGCACCGGCGTATCCTACGACGAAGCAGATTAGAACCTTCTTACAGAAGACACGGATTACGGAGACGGAGTTGACGGAAGAGCATATTGAGATGCTTTTGAATGTGCTTATTACAGATGGACAGATCGAACGGGTACGTTATCTCTTTGGCCCTTTCGGCGTTCGTTCCATTTTGCGCATTGATGAAACTTGTGTGGCTTGTAAAGTTACCTGCATTTGGCGCTGCTCTCTGGGAAGCAAATGCTAACGTACGCGAAGACGAGCATGATAGCGATAACGAAGACAAACCGAAGAAACGGAAAAAGAAGAAGAAAGACGTAGAAGATGAACGAGAGAAGAAACGTAGACGAAAATCAGGTCGAACTTTGCTATCGGATTCTGAGTCCGAGTCCGAGTCTCATGGAGAGGAGGACGTTAATGTAAAGAGTAAGAAGAAGAAACGTAGTGCATCGAAGAAAGCGATTAGCAGTGGATCGGATGAGAGCGAGGATGACAAAGAAGGTCCGCATCCATTTTGCTTCGGCTATAGTTCTCTTATTGACTGAACTGTGGACGATGATAAAGCAGATGCAAAACATAATGCCGCCGGTGAAGTATCGTTGGACGTTGGAGACTTCGGCGGAACGTATGTATACCGTGCCATTCGACAAGAACGTGTCGTATTAGGATGGTCGGAAGCTCCTTGTGGGAGGTGTCCACAAATTGATTTTTGTAAAGACGGAGGACCAGTCAACCCGAGGGAATGTCAGTATTTTGGTGACTGGTTAGCTCGGACGGAGATCGCGCTGGAATGAGACGAGGTCGTAGAGAATTTTGGTACATATACCCATTGCAATTGTAATACAATCTACAAATTCAACAAGACCGAATACAAAATCTCCACACTTTTTTAGCAGTGTTTGCAGTCTTATCAAATTCTTTCCTCTCTTCCTCTTCTCGGGTCAAATCCAATCACGACTTCGCTTTGATAAGCCCTGCCATCAAGTCAAAACTATTTCCATCAGGCTGTAAGTCAATATACTCCTCCCCACGGTGCGACCGATAATAACCCTTCGACGACTCCGTCGGTATCGTTCGTAATAGCCCGTGATCAGGAGTTATGCCGACGATTCGCACCGTTGTGGGCGGGTCGACGGTTGTTAGCTGGACGACTTGGTCTCTGATCCGTCGACCAGCCAAAGAGTCGGAAGGGAGGTAAGACCGATAGTTAATAAACGACAATCAGCATGGGCGGGCGGACAAGAAAATTATTATAGATGGCGCGGGATCAGAAAAGGTACGTACGAGTGAAGCCATCTATCAAGGTAGAGATCCATGAATGGTTCAAATGATGCGCTGGAGGAGAAGCGAGACCACATCTCGTCAAATGTGGACATTATTACGGCCGCAGTGCGTTCCATGGTTAGTGTGAAGTCGGGAAGGCCTGGTGGGATTAGTTGGGTGAGGGAAGTCAGTGGTGATGGGCTAAGGACGTTTAGTCCGCACCCTGCATGAAGATGTGTCGCATAAGTTCGCTGCGTGGAAGAAAAATAATTGAGATGTATAAGAAGGACGTACCGATGACTATATCTACGTGTCCACCCATAAAACTCGTATTGACGAGAATACCACCGATTTTCTTTGGTCCTGCATGACCAGTGACAGCATAGATGTCGTTTGGCCACTTCAGTCGGACTCGATCTCCGAATGCGCCGAGTACGCTGGGACTACGACATGCCTCTATGACCGCTAGGCCGAATAAGTATTGGATGAATACGAGTTTCGATGCCGGGAACGACGTGAGAGGAAGCCGAAGTAATAGGGAGAATTGAAGGCAGCCTGGAGGAGATAACCAGGTGTTTGAGCCTCGGCCCCGACCAGCTAATTGGTGCGTCGCGAGGGAGAGTAGTGGGATAGGTAGATGGCTGAGAAGCTTCGGGTTTCTGCGCAGGATAATTCGTTAAGATATGTCATGGGAACAGTGATGCTGGACTTGCTTATCGAGCATGGTCTGTGTACTCGTCACAACCTCGCCATACAACAAGACTTCCCCCAACTTTTGAGATCGAGTGGGCGGTAACCTTCGCTCGTTCTGAGAAACAGTGAGGTCTGCAAAATATTGCGAGATGTTAAAATTTCGTGTTGCCTCTGCTGGTAATTTGTCGCAATCTTTCAGGATTATGACGCTTCGAGCCGGTGTATTTGAGATAGAGACGTCCGACTCCGGTGGGTTCTGGATACGATTAAATAGTTCAGAGGAATATGGATCTTTGTAAAAGTGAAAAGTATCTGCATTGTCTTTGAGAACGATCGGCTCGGAATCTACCAATTCCTTTGTCAGGTTATCTAAGAAGCCAACTATTGCAGAGGTCGATCCTGAAGTTGATGTAATAAATTGGGGTAGGGGACGGAGTGTCCTGATGTCATTTAAGATCGGCACTTGTAGACCGAGAAGGTCAAGTGAGTGCTTCATCAGGTCCCAGCGGGACTTTTCATACTCCTCAATACGATTCTCCAGGTCAGGTTTAGTGCGCCTTATAGCAGAAATGGCAGGCTCAAGTGTCAAGGGATATTCCGGATGTATGGACCATAAGACAGCGCTCCCATTCCCAACTTTGCAATGTACAGCTGCGACCTTTTCGGCAGCGTATCCTTCCATATACCTTGCGATTATGCTTGTATTCGGAATGAATTCGGCATCGACAAATTCCCCTCCACCATTATAGTACAGGCCGTCAAGCTGTTGATCTGGGCCAGATGAAGCACTCGATACGAGAAGTCTGACAGCCCTTGCACCATTTTCGGTTTCGTACTGAAATCCAGGATATGTACAACCTCGTCCGATGCCATTGAAGAAGCGAAGGGGCCTTGGTCCAGTGACTTCCTGCTCCGAGCCTACTTCCCACTCGACTGAGCGACAAGCGTAATATGCTCCGGCACAGAGCCCAAGATATGACCCTCCTCCTTGTACATAGTTTACAATCTTGTCATTGGCCTGTTTTAGTTCCGCGACGTATGGAAGATCACGTCCGCCAGGCAAAACCAGTAAAGCACAGTTTGTATGCCATGGATCAGAGGTAAGAGAACGCGGTGTGATAGTTTGGACTGCGTAGTTCGGTAACAGCAAAGTACGAAGTGTGCTTAGAGTATGAGCGAGGGAAGTTTTTGATACTCCAGGACCGTTATAAACTAGGACATTCATGAGGGAGATCAAAGCTGGGCATGACCTGAAATTAGATCGTCAACATCGGGCAAGCCCGATTACATAACATAATTGTTGCCTTGCCTAATAAAGCAGTTCCGATGTGGTTATTCCGGTGTCGATTATGCACAGCCAATCGAGTAACTGGAAGGAAGGTGATTTACGTTGACTGCGTGCGACGGGAAGGCAAACAAATGAGATCGCTCGGGAGTCGGCGGTGCCGATAATCTGTGACGTTTCTTCGCACTGAGCATCTAAGGTTGCGACGAGGTGAAGAGATAGACGCGGTGAACTAACTATGGAAAAAATAAACAGAGAGGTTGGAATAAATAATTTACACATTTATCCCCTGTCAAAGCAATGGTCCGACTCAGAAGAACCAGGCCAAGCAAGGAAGAAAATGTTAATTCTGGGCATCTTCAAATAGTAACTTCGCTGCACGTGACACTAACGCCAGTGATCACGCCCTCGGTGTAGGTAGACATTCGGCGTTGAAACTTGACACTCCTTTCTCTACTCTCTCACTCATTCTGATAAAGTTCATGCTCGAGAGTCTTAGGAACTTAGTTGATGATGGTGCTCTACCTAGCGATCCCAAGTGGGTCACTATTGAAGCAAGCGACGGTGACCAGAGACGATGGCCATTAAATACTACTATAACTCCGGACTCAGCAGGCTTTATCCATTACATGCAGCCACTCTCATTGGATAGTAAGACGTCCATTAAGTGGCGCTTGATAATCGGTCAAGCGCTTGCACACTTGATGAACTATCCAGACCTTGGTGAGTAGTTGTCTTCAACCACTTCGAATGGTATTTCCTACAACACATTGACAGAAAGCAAGACTTGGGTTCTTAAGAATTGGCCTGTTGGATATAAACTCTATGATCGACATAAAGGGCAAAAAGATGGGCGGATACGACACGACATTTTTCTCATTGGTGAGCTTGTTTACATTTCTTGTTTCGAGTAATGTTGAATAATCTCCTATTAATAAGGATCAGACACGATCGGGCGGTTTTGTTCGCCCGCGGAGTTTATACCGCATGCGTATTGGCTTATGACAGACCCTACTCAAGACAGGTCAAATTGTGAATGCAAATATTGTACCAAGAAACCTCAACGTGCGATTAACGAAAAGCTCAGCCTGTTACAACGGCAGTCATCTCTTAAGCGATTTGCTGAACTGCCGCGCGATGACGAAAACAAAAAGAAGGACAGGTATACTCTGCCTGCTAGGGAGGGCCGTGTATCTATTGTTCTGCGTCGAGCTCCGAAGCCGGCCAAACTACCAAAGGGTCCCAAACAGCATGTGAGTCCTGAACGCGACAAGGACTTGCGAGCTTTGTTTGGGCCAAAGACTCTAGGAGAACGGCGGTGGGCACGTGAAGGTGAACTAGTATGGGTGAAACTTGACTTTCCGATACCTGTGGAAATACCGGATGGTCACTCCGAGAGGATTTCGTTTTGGCCAGGCGTTATTGAAGAGGCTCATTTCAAAGCTGACATCGCTCCCCGGACTGGAACGACGGCGGATGCGAAAACAGCTGCCTCAAGCTGTTCTAATAGCCTTGGAGATAATACCCAGACAATTGTTCACAGGGCTGTCTATAAAATAAACCTCCTGGTCACTTCCAAGACGGTTATCTATGGCTCCGACCATATTTTGCCTTACCAGTCTTACGCGCCAGATGAAAATCTTCTCACCGCGGTGAAAGCGGTTATGTTCGACTTAGATGATTTTGCCAACAAACTTGGTGGAATTATAGCAGCTTCTGACTCCGAAGAGGATGCAGAGTACGACCAGGCAGAACAGGCGGAGCAGGACTTGTTCAAGCGATTCCAATCTCTTGATCCCTTTCCCGGCTCGGAGCCTCAACATACCCAGTGCGATGAACGAACGCGGTATTTCGAAACGGCAGCCGGGGCTTTCGCTGTAGCGATCCAGATTGCGTCTCGCTTAACAATGTACTGGACGCCTTCGGACGTATGGGAGTACAAAATGCAGCTTCCCTTGACATCGCATGACTCCATTGCCGATCGTAGTTTATCTAGTGGAACTCTTTCACAGACAGACCAGCACGCTCTAGGTCAGAGAGCACTAGGCTTGCAGCAAGCAAGCAACGTCGGTTATACCGCCCAAATGCGCTTTCAAGGACTGTGGTGGGGTCCAGAACGCATTTGGATGGGAGATCTTGTTCGGTTGAAGCTCGGGCGATATCAGGTAGCGCCAGAAGGGACGCGGATGATCAAAAAGTCGTCCGGCGCAAGGAATGACGGTCTATTAGATGCTGACGGTGTCCATCTCGACAACACGTTAAGGACAAGCTCTACCGATATTGATTCCGTAATGCAGGATGTGGATCTCACCGCTCCTATCAATGGCTCACTTACAACTGGTGTCAGCTCGACAATAAATAATGGCAATGGCAATCATGTACGAGATGTCGGAGCTGCTTCGCGCTCCCTATTCCTTCGTATTGATGGCTTTTTCTCTGCACAAGTCCCAAGTAAGGACGGAGTTGGCGTGGAAAATGAGTGCAGGATGAGTGGCCAGCTCTACGAACTTGCCGATGATGACTGGGATTCCGATGGAGAGGAAACTAATGTCTCCTTGCTTCCGAAGAAGGCTAAGAAGGAGCCTCTTTCTCAAACCGAATCAAAGAACTCTCTGGCGACGCCGTTGCGCGCTATCATGTCCAACAAGCCTAGTGCAACACTCGCAGATGTGATCAATCGAAATGCCTCTCGTCAGTCTCACCTTCCTTCATCAAGCCTGTTTACACCAGACCCAGAGCTTCTTTCCGAGCCTGCTCCACTAGTGAATGCTGTAATGTCAGAAGTGTTACAGAATAGGACCGACTCACATTCCCTACCTCCTCTCTTGTCCACCAATACACTGCCTTCGCTCATTGATAGAAGAGATAATCTTGGCACGTCGATTGCCAAGGATGACGAGCCACCACCTCCTAACAATCCCTCTCTTTCCGGCCCTCTCGAGCCTGCCGAAAGTGCCCACTCTACGCCACCCCCACCTTCTGGGATGAAATTCCGACCTATCCTCCTTGAAGGGTATGAAGCTGTCTTGCCACTCACAACACTCGCAGGCCGGTACTATTCCGGCTTACTTTCGAATCCCCTTCTACGATCACAAGTGCAGCATGCCTTGGAGAACCCTGAAGCACGAGATAGTAAAGCTATTCGTGCTTTGGAAGGTTTTGTACCTGGATTATATAATTCCGTGGATTCCACGCATTTCCTACCGGTACGAGCACGAATGCTTCGGGAGGCAGAGAAGTTAGCATGGAAAGAGCTAGTCGACTATTGGAAACGGTAAATGCGAAGCGCTAATGCAAATGCGACTGATGGAGATTAATCGCATTTCCACTGCTTTTACTCACATTTTTACTACATTAAACCTTGGTTAGACAAACCATATCATCCGTATATGTATTTTTTTTATTTTCATACCTTTCTTTGCACATTCTCATCGCATCGTTTTTCGGGTTAGATCTCAACACTTCTGCTTTCTTTTCCTTTCTGTATCGTGCCTACTACAACCCCACTCCGCGGATCCCTAATTGAACGTATTATAATGTGCATCGCATGCTATCGCGAGTTTGCACGTAAAACAGAAAGGTGCATTTCAGTAAAGCCTATGTACCATAAGCCTGGTTATCTTTCCAGACTGGGTGGCTCGAACTTGAGAGACTCAGAATGCATTGTGATTCTTTTATTTAGAGAGCATGATATTCACAAACAGCTTGCAAGTCAACTTTCCCCTTCCTCTTACTAAGAATTGAGCAATCTCCTGCAATTGTCAATAAGCCTACCCTTTCAACATGGTGTCATGGTCATATCAAACTTGGTGGCAAGGTAAGGTTAGCTTCCACATCACGAAAAAGTCTTAAGTATTATACTTGCTTGTAATCTTGTATATTTTATAAAATTTATAAAATTTGACCATTTACTTATAATCTTCCTGGGGGGTTAAGCAAGGAAAGTACAATGTTAAATAAGCAAGAAAAAATACTTTTAAAACTTGGCAATTTCTGATATAATTTTATAAATTGTCAAGTTATACAAGTGATTATAATATACTTCCTAAATTACAAGGTTAAGACATACTTATTAATTTGTGACAGTGTAATATCTGCTTATAATGCTTACAAGCCATTACAAGTGTTTGAATAGCTTGCTTTTGCTTACTATACAATTTTATATCAAATAATTAATCGAATATAATTATATTTAAATTATAGAATACAAAAATAGTAAATAATACGCTATTTCTACAGTCCCAACCCCTACACCACCAGCTGCCTCTGCCTCATTCTTCTGCGAGTGGGATTTGTGTTGGACAAGGATGAACGCATTCTCAGGCCGTTCGACGTAGTCTTCGTCACCACGTTTTGGTCGTTGCTCGGTCCCTGCAAGTTGAATTGCGAGTGTGTGTGGAATGAGGTTGAGCAGGTTGTGGAGATTGAGGCTGCACCTGTGAGACGAGCTTAGAGTGATTAGCAAGTGACAATAAGAGCGAAAAGATGGACGCACTGCGACACGCGTGTAGCGAGTGTGGTGGGTCACCTGGAATTGGAAATCCTGAGCGTTTGAGCGAGCTAATTTGGTGCTGCAGGGGAAACGTGTCTGTGCTAGCGTGTTGCATGCTCTA